CATGAATTTAATCTTGTCCTGATTATGTATTTTATAGTGTAGCAAAAAATATCAATGACGAAATATAAAGTTAGAATTAAAGAAAAAAACTTTAAGTTAAAAACTTTAAGAATAAATTTACCATCATGGAAGAACCAGTTAAAAAATCTATACGGTTGTCTATTTTTGTCCCTCTAATGTAGTTAATTATTGGTCCTAACCCCTTTACTATTGAAGCATTTACCCTCTAGAATCACTTTATAACCCTTCAATTTTACAATCGTTCGAACATTTTCGTTTTGTATGTTCTTCATAAAATGTGTTTATAAATAGTACTATTAAATAAATAGTGAGAAGTACTTTTGAATTTATACATTCTACTGCATAATGATATTTAAATAATGATAACAGCTTTGTATTGATAAAACTTTATGATGAATGAGTGAAATAATTAAATTTAATTATTAAAAACGAAAAATAATGAGGAAGTTTGTATCAGAATAAAGTTTACTTTAAAATAGAATAATTTTTGTTGTTGCATACCAGAAACGAAATAAACAATCTAATGGATGAGAATAATAAAAAAGTTTTGCTCCTATAATTAAAAAAACTTTTCTGCTTTATTTATTTACTCATTTTTTTCCTACCAAATTATTTGCTCAATTATAAAATGTTACTCAGCAATACAATGAAATGTTTTCTCATCAAAAGAATTATTTAATAGCAAAAATGAAAAAGTATGTAATAGACGTAGGCAATATTTTAAAATAATTCGTTGTATTCTAAAGTTATACTTCATTGAACAGAAATTTATATATAAAAATATCTTTCATGGAATCTTGTTCAATAAATAGAGATAAATCATTTTTTTCAATCTCCATCAATTCAGTTCAGAATCTTATCATAAAAATTTTCCATCTAAATATTTAATCTAAAAAAATTCAACGATGTATCTATTTTATAATTATATACAATATTTATTTAAGATAGTATCACAGTGAGATGATAGAACAGAGCTATTACTGACCTATCCTAAAGTTGCTCTTTAGCTAATCTTGTAGACCTATGCTACAATCATTTAGAAGCTAACACATAAATTCTGATGAACCCAAAGCCCATATTAATATATCATGATTTAAACATTCACTGTCATTATATTCATACTAATTATTATACACTTATTATAGTTGTAATTTAAAAACAATTGCAATTTATTTATTAGCAACTGATCTTATTTTCATATAATAATCATCATAAATACTCATCAGTCTTATTTTAAAATTTTTATTCCACTGTCAAATAGATCTTTTAGCTCTTCCTATTTCTTGAAATACCCTTTAATTTCAAGTTAAATTAATCGACATAATAAAATAACTCAACCGTCAAATCAATGATTAGATGTCTCACCCACGCTCATACTGACTAAAAAAGGTTTTTCTAATCCAGGAAATGAATAAGGGCTTTCGTAATAACATGAAACGGTATTTTAATTCCTCAATTATAAAGGGGCGATTTTTAATAGATGAAAAATAATCTTCTAGTGTTTTTAAAAAAGAGTTATTGCTTGAAAAGATTTTATACCTGATAACAAAAAAAAATCAATTCTCTTTTATACATGCTGCAAAGAATTATTTTTTATTATTATTTCTATTTGAGAAAACAGAAAAAAGAAATCACTATTATATTTTGTACAACAATTCAATTTCATTATAAATATTCATCTTATTTTAACAAGTAAATGGAAAAAATTAAAAAATAATCCTTTATCACTTTGAAAAAAATTTTCTCTGTTGAATTTCATTTATTTGTTACGAGATATTCGGTGCACTATTGACAATAGAGATTTTTTTCATTCACATTCATGAGAGAGAGAAGATTTCGGAGCATTTAAATTTAAGTAATAGTTTTTTAGATTACTAAACCTCATTAAAAGCATTAAATCATTTTTTTTGAATTAATTGAGTATAATTTTGAAGTAGAAATCGTTTGTTGATATTAAAATAGATATAATGCAAACCAATTGGGCTCTCAAAATTCCATAGAAATTTTTAAGATAATTTCAAAACTTCGAAATAGAGCATAAATTATTCAATAAATTCTTTCTGCTCTTTATATAGTAAGTTTGACGAGAAAAAAAATTCTATGCATTTCTATTTTCTTTTTGGTTCATTCAGCTTTCAAATTTTTGGTACTTGAATAAAATGTAATAATACATCATATTAAGTGAAGTTACATTCGTTTCATATTTTTCACTTCATATTTAACCATTGATGCTGAAATATTTTGAAGTAACAGTAGTGTTTCTGAGCGGAAGTTAAAGGTTTACAAGCGATCATAAACATGCGATATCTATTAGACTGTGGTAAACTTACTATATGCGGTGTATAGAGTAAATTAACTGGGGTGTAATGAACGTTACATAGCATGTGCTAATGACGAATATCATATGGTTTATACAAAGAAAATGGAGGATATAACATTGAAGAGAGATGATTTTCTATTGAAAATTGGATTTGATTTTATTGTAACTATTGACATGATTTTTTTTATTGTGATTGAATTTTTATTGATACATTATATATTATATATAGCAGAATATTTTTTGTTACAACTCAATTGTTGTTCATTACAAAGGTAACTTTTGAATATTTTTTTCACTTATACAGTGAATTGGTTTCGCTCTGATTATTTGCGAAGCTTGGTATTGTTCATCATTTTTATATTTTATGGATGTTTTCAAACATGGGTTTTATAAGTCATTAAAATGTGTATTAAAAATTCAATTTTTCTTAGAACTTATAGCTAGGATTATTTTTGCTACATTCAAGTCTTATATTGAAAAGCTTACTTTATAGATTTTAATTCAATTTAAATACTTGATTTAATTCAAAATGTCCTACAGATTTTATATCTAAACTTTAATTTTAATGAAACTCAATGTTGTTTCGACTTAAGTCTTTTCCTCCTAAATTTATTGGTGACTAATTATTAATTTGAGCTGAAATATTTGCCAATAATTTACGAGCAAATTTAATATTTAAAATGTTTTGTATGATCAGAAGCAAAATAAGTTGAAATGAAAACTGTTGGAGATTATTTGAATCTGATGAAGAGTATCATACGATGAAATTAGAGTATTAGCCACATTTTAAAAATCTCATTGACCAATGTTATTTAATAGATTGAATATAAAGTTAGTGCTACTTTAACTGAACCAAATTGTTATAGTGAAAGGAGAAATTTAATATGAAAGTCACGCGAGATAGACTGAACAATGACAATATATCGACAAGAAAAAAAAGAAAGTATTTATCATTTTTAAATATTTGATAACAAAATAATAAAAGGAAATAATAAAAAATTTATCATTTAGTTAATTTATTTTATCCATCGTCATCGTTCAGTGATCACGCACTTGAAAACCAATTCGATAGTGAATAAACAGAATAGTAATGAGGCAAACTTTAAGCTGAGCTTAGATAAAGAAAAAAAGAAGGTGCATATTAATGTAGCAAAAGAAAAATGACTAAACCAAAAGTTCATAAGTTCTTAGTTATAATAAAATTAAACTTTTTTAAAAGTAATTTTAATATAATATATTTCAGCAAATTGGATTTTTAGCTTGTCAATTATCTCTAATTACTTCAAATATCTTGGGGCTTTGAAACTCAATTAAATTGATGAAAACGCGTTTATTAAATTCTGGTAAGATTTTTAAAATAATTTCATCAAAGTAATTACAACTATTGTGTCATCGATGATAATATGAATAATATATTGTCACATGAAAACTACAAACAGAAGATGAGCTATGTCCAGTATTATCAAAAAACAATGTATTTATTTCAGAGCTTTTTCCAGTTGATAATAATGGAGATAATACTTTATAAAAAATTTATGGAACGAAATAAAAAATATTGACAATAATAATAATGATAATCATAATAGTGATGTATTTTTAATAAACCAGCAAGAACTGCTGGTATTAAAAAATATCAGTTTATATCAAAATGTTGAAAAAAATACATTTCTGGATTTAATTTATTAAATTATGAATGATGACTCGTAATTTATGAAATTATAAAGTTGTTATAAAAATAATTAATTAAGTATGAATTAAAGAGTTTTTAAAGTGATGTGATGTAGGATTTATACAAAAGTTATAGAAATGACAAAAAATAGCAAATAATTATTATATATAATTTTTGGAATTATTGAAGTTTTAAAATTGATTTACATTCATGGAAATATATTAATCAAATTTATGGTATTTTTTAATTGCACCTTTCAGGTAATAATTACAATTATAATAATAACGATCGTCATAATCATTGTCATAAATCTTAATTTGCAGCGAGAAAAAATAAAAGTCTATCAAACCACATTAATTTCAATTTACTTTAATAAAATATTATAATTAAAGAAGCATGACGAATAATTTAATTTAAAGAAAAAAATAAAATCATAAAAATTTTTTCAATTTTTACTTATTTATCTTCAATAGTTGAATTATTCATAGAATAAAAATCATTTTTCAAAAATAATGATGTTTTCCAGAGCAGTTAATTAACTTGAATAAAAATGCAAAAATGTTCTAGTTTACAAATAAGAACTGTTCAATAAAAATAACAATTAAACACAAATTGAGTTGCTGGACATAAAAAGTTCCTTCCATATTCCAGGATAAAACTAGAGATAGATCTGTGTAGGAGTTAAAAAAATCAATCTTAAAAATAATAAATGAACAGTCTCAATAATTCTCCAAGAAATTAAATATACTTTCGATCAATGTTTATATTCAGTATTCGATCAATACTCCTACGAATATTAAATAGCAAAAATAAACTCAAAAAAAATCCATAACCATAATAATTCTCAATGAACTTTTAACGACTTTTTTTTACCACTTGTAACTAAAAAACAATGAACGACCCTTTTTTCTTAAATTTTTTCTCACATTATTTCCAAGTGTGGGTGTTCGATTGACATTAAAGTATTCACCGATAAATAAATCATTACAGGCCGACGAAGGAACGACTAAAGGGCTACTTCCAGTATTCAAGTAGACGTTTGACATATGCTTATGAAGGTGGAGTACGTAAGCCAAAACGTCAACATGGTCATTCAGGTCTTGCTAATGTGGCATATACTCAACATCCAAAAACAGGAAGTATCAGTGGAAGTAATGGAGGTGAAGGAAGCTCTCGAGATAATATTAGTCTCCATAGTGCTGATCTTGATAGCAGTGCACATATTTTTTGTTAAACATTTTTGTAGCTCTTCTTTTGTTGCATTCTAACACGTGCGTGACTTTTTATCATGCAGATAATGTTATATTCTCTGAAAGGAGCCAATTTACAATGGCACGATAAAATGTCACTTTATGAAATACGTTATAAAAGAAATACAATTTTTTGTTAAGTATTTTGATGTCATATGTGACAATAAACATGATGGCCAAATAAATATTTTCCGTGTCCAAATATGTCAATATTATTTGTATGAACAATTGAATTCATGTATCTTGTAAATATAAATAAAAGGCAGATCAATATGAATAAAAAGGCAATTGCTTGTGACTTGTAAATTTTTTCTGCAAAATAAAATTAAATTGAAGAGAAGATAGGAATGCAAAAAAAAAGTTGGAATCGTTTTAAACGGATTTCGTCGATTGCCCGACTAGAATTTCCAATTTCTTATGAAAACTAAGAAGTTTCGTTGAATTTACTGATGCTAGAGAATAATTCAACACGGAAATAAATATAATATACAGATATATGTGCATAACTATGATGAAAATTAATTCAACAGGCGTCCAACTCGAATTTAAGGGCATGGAATAAATACACTTTCACCTTGAATCAACGATAAGTTAAGTTTATTAAACAACAATCGCAACTTCTATATTCATTGAGGGGAAAGTTTCACTGAAGATCATTATTCGCATTAATTCCATCCACGTCGTTTTAACGAATGCTTCCGTGGTATATAAACTTCCCCTGACTTGAAGCTTCACAGGATTACTGCTTTGATTTTTATTCCAACTCAATCGAATTGCTGCTATTATATTGGTTCGATAATGCTGGTAAGTCAACATAAATTACCATTTATTCATGTATCGCGCACATTTTTTTAACACAACCTAGGCCCTGCATAATTTTCTATTCGCTAGGAACAATAAAATATAATTGAAAAATTTTACTCTGTGTACACTAGAGAATAATAAAAACATTTATCACCACGTGTATAGACATAAAATAAGAAAATATTTTGGTGTGAAGAATATTTCATCATGGATATTTTTATAGAAAAAGAAAAAACGAAAAGCCATGACTTTAGAACCAATCAAAATTCGTTTGGATGTGATTTTACCATTTTTTGTGTTGAAAATAATTGATTTAAATTCAAGCGTATCCGAAATTCAATCACAATTTTTGAAATAGAATTGAAATTGAATTATTAAGTGATAAATTGAAATATTTTTGTGCGAAATTGCTTGAAGTAATGGTTATTCAATAAATTTGTGTTTTTGATTGGGAAAATGTTCGATAAAATGCATTGTTTTTAGTATTATATTGAAAAATAAACTTATTGCCAATGAGTTTAAGTACTAATAATATCGATAAATATAAAAAATAAAAAAATGTCAAATAATAATTAGAACATTGGAATTTCCTTGGAAAGTAAGTTATTGAAGTCGAACACGTTGATTTTTCTTTTCTGTTTACGAAGTAAAATAATTAACAATATTATATAAAAATTGATAATTTATAATCAATAGAGTCATTGAAGTATTTTCTTTATTATTAACAGCAGCACAAAAAAAGTTCAATAATTATCTATGATAAAGTTGAAACTCTGATTTATAACATTCTTAACGTTTGTATTTATTTAAAAATTCATTATAAATGATATAATGAAAAAATAGCATAAATAATAATCAATTTTTATATTTTAATCAATAAATAGAATTTTATTTAACCATGAATAGTTTGTGCCTTATCATTCCTATTATCTTTCAAGTATTTACCAATTGTTAAGTATCATCCCAATTAAAGTTACTTATAAATGTGTAATTGAAATTAGATCATAAGTATTATCAGTAAAAAAATAAATATAATTAATAAATATTAGTTTTAATAACATTATTAAATATAAGAATGTTGATTATCGACATAAGAATAACAAAACCAATATTCATTTAATAATAGATCTGGATATAATAGGATGTTGATGCAATATAGTTGCCTGTATAATCCTTTTCATTATTGAGAAAATTATTCATTACTTCATAATGGATTTGATTAAACTTCAAAATGAATTTCAATTTGCTAATAATCAACTGTTAATACTTCATAATTCAAATAAACACATTGTTTTAAAATTTCATGTTATATAGAAATTTCAAAAATGTTGAAACAAAATGAATTTTATTATTTAGAAAGTGTTGAAGAGTAAAATACGTGATATGAACTCATTAAAAAATGTCATAAAGGAACGATTTAGTATTCGTCGTTGATTTTCGCCCATTTTTATTAAGAGTATTGTAAATTTACTTAAACCTACCTCACAATATCTTTCACTTATTTAAAATTTTTTATATTCTACGCATTCGATGCTCTTTAATCCAAACGACGCTAAAATATGACGTTGTGACCGATATTTAAAAAGTGAAAGATTTATCATTCTTAAAATATTTTAATTTATGGACGTGATACATTATGTTTCAACCTCAATTATGACATATATAGATAAATCTCTGTGTATTATGTTTAGGTTTGATTATTCAAAAAAACAATATTCTCAAATAGCTAGTAAATGAAGTGGAAGTTAATTTGAAATAACTGAATTAATAATTTATCAAATAATATCGAGAATATCGATTATAAATTCAATGATTATATTTCATAAACAAAAATTGCATATTAACTAGTTATATAATTGATTTATTTCCGGTAGAATCAGAAGGACATGTCATTTCGAAATATTGTAAACAGAACATGTTTTTTCATTTCAAATAAATATCGAGAGTAAAGAGCCGGTAAATGAATGAGGCAAAACTACACAAAATAATGAAAACATATTCGAAATTGAATTTTCATGTTGACAAGATAAAATAATTCAAATAAATGAATACTTTTGTGTCGATTATTTAAGAAATATTTATCGACCTTTGTATCTTTTTTTTTCTCCTTTTCTGAGTATAAAATCTAATCTAATAATTATTAATAAACAACTCGCATGAATTTTTAATGTGAAACATATATGTAACAGAACACATAAAAATGAAATAAATGACTGCACACTTTTTGAATTTAATGGTCACATCGTCAATGTATCATACACCTATCACTGAGAAAAATGATTCCCTACAGGATATAAATTTTGGAGACAAGAACAATAAATATCCATCTATTGACAAAAGATCAGAGACCGTATGATATAATGAAAGAAAAAAATTGAATAATCGTATTATAAATAATCTTCAAATACGAGATTTTAAAAAATTTTCTTCGCGTTAAAACATCTAATTCCACCAGCTTAACCTTTTTCCAGTTCTATTAGTCATTTAAAAAGTGAAGAATAAAGTGTAAAAGTATTGAAAAAAATTATCATAAAATTTTCCACTCACTTAATCGTTGCGAATCTCTTGCTCCTTTTACACTATTTGAGCTTATGTCTGATGCAAAATCTATAATCTATTCCAATAATGTTCTCTGTAATAAAAATTTTAATATTCCATTAGAATCAATATAATTATCATTAAAAATAAATTAATCATTAAAATGATAATTGAAAGACTTTTGTTTTATAGAAACAATGGCTGTTCCTGGGTTTAATTACCTTAACAATAGCAGAGCCTCCAGTAGGTATTAGAACATCAAATATCTTAGGCAGTCCAGATCAGCATGCATCCTTTAGTTTTATCCGACCTGGTCTAACTCAGACATCATATTCATTCAATGGACCCAGTTCTCATCAATCATTTAGCTCGAGTATCGGAAATCCGCATCTGGCTCAGAAAGTTCTTCCTAATGTCGCACATGCTTTAGCATACAGGAATCCAGGACTTGGTAAATTCTTCTTTCATGATTAGGTATTATTATGAAACTCCTCAAGTAATGAAATACTCAACTTATAGGCTATGCCCCAAATCCATATCAACCCATACCTCTACCTTATTCACTGCCATTCTCTTCACAACTTGGATCTAATCAAGGTCCCGCAGCTTCTGACCCGGCGGCACAAGCATATCTGCAACAGTATCAACATGATATGCAAGCACAATTGGGCCAGATTTTACGAGCACATTTGCTCCAGGCTCAAACACAGGTAAATTAACCAAGGGCGGATTGGTGATTATATAATTGGTTTGAAAGTAGGTCAACTCTTTCGCAACTTGATCTTGAACGAGTCACGCCTTTTGTAAGAAATTCATTGAATATAATTTTTCTTTTCTTTATAGACTCCTGAACAAATTCATCAGCAGCAAAACTTATTAGGTGTTTCTTATTCATCAGCGCCTTCCGTTGCTCATGTTAATGTTAGTGGTAATGGATACAAATTTCATTTTTAATTACCAAGACTGCTATATAAATTAATTAATATTATGATTTTCATTATTTTTGTACTGAATTTTTTTTATTTAATTAATTACGTGTTACCTATGTTATGATAATTTGATTAACCAAATACATTTATCTTTCTATTTAAATTACCATTTGTGTACATTTTTTATTCTTTTCTTCCACGTTTTTTATATAACACTAATTTCTGAAAAATCATTCATCAGTTAGATCATATTTTTATCTTAAATTTCATATTAAAAGAATTATTTATGCTCAATCATGGTAACAAAAAAATATCTATTCATGATATTGGAATACTTTTGAATGAGTTACTAAACGAACTCGCGATTTATATAATTTTAGACGATGATTGGATAATTAAATAAACAGAGTATAAAATGTATGAAATACAGTACTTATCTAAATAACAATCTTTTTGTGGTCAATCGAAATCGAAAATGCCACGCCTAAAAATCCGTCATGTGGACACATGTCTGTCGCAATATAATCTCATATAATACTTGAAAAAACCACTCACCGTACCATTCTCTTTTTCTTTCTTCCTCTTGAAATTTCCTCCATACTTATATCTTTCTTACATCTCCTTGGCACGAAATTCCCAAATCCATTGTCGAATGTGCTCTGGTTTGCTCTCTTTTTTACTTGCTATAACATTTGGGAGCAATGGTAGCTGAACAACCGGAAAGTTCCAACGCATTATCACCCTACTCCAATCGGATCTCCACCATATATAAAGATCCAAAGCTCCAGAATCCAACATAGCTCCATCAACTCTCTTTAAACCAACAAAAATCTAAAAATGGCTTTCAGAGTAAGTAATAGAACATTGCCGGTAACAAGTTTTTTAATTAAAGTGCATAATCTAGCTATTTAGTAATATCTTTCTTGTTAATCTTTTTTAGTTAATCCTCATCGCTGCATTCATTGCAGTAGCACAAGCAGGTAATTTGTCTGGCTACAATATTGCCACAGCAGCAGCAGACTATGCAGAGGGTAGTGTAGCATACACCCAAGAATCAACTCATAAAGGATTGGGTGGTCAGAATTCAGTCTCCAGTTTCAGCAAAGCAGTAGACTCTCCTTATTCATCAGTTCGTGTGAACAACAATCGTATCAGCAATGATGCTTACTTGGCTCATGCAGTGTCCTATGCCGCTCCAACAGTGTCTTATGCTGCATCAGCACCAGTTTACGCTAAAGCTACATATGCTTCACCTTACACCTATGCTGCACCATATGCCTATGCTGCTCATGCACCAGTAGTTGCAAAGGCTGCCTACACTTCTCCAACATACGTTGCATCATCTCCAGTTTACGCTAAAGCTGCTTATGCTGCTCCTGCTGTCACTTACGCTGCACCAGCTCCAGTTTATGCTAAAGCTGCCTACGCTACTCCAGTGTATGCTAAGACTGCTTTAGCCGCTCCACTTGTTACCAAGGCTGCCTACGCCGCCCCAGCAGTTACTTATGCTGCCCATGCAACTCCAGTTCTTGCTAAAGCAGCTTATGCCGCTCCAACTTACAGCTATGCTGCTGCTGCTCCCATCGTCCATGCAAGCTTCTCTGGAATTGGCGCTCACTATTCGTGGTAAATCATTTGATTGTTTTAAGATCTTGGACACTTGCCTGAACTACTTTCATGAATATCGCAATTTGGACCAGAGAAAAGGATCTCTGATAAGTGATAATACGTAACAAGCTTATAGTTTATTGCTTCAATTTAAGTTCAACTTTTTTAAATACTTGTGAATTTAATTTTTGTAAATATTTACAATTGATGGTTTGTGTAAAATTGCTTGAGTGAGTTTGTAATAAATATTATGAAAATAATTTTCCGAAATTATTATTGATGCTTCCTTTTCCCACTATGAACATTGTTTATATTTATTGGAATAAGTAAATTCTTACAATTGAATCGGTTTTTACACGACTTCTGCACTTGCCTCTGTTCGTTTTTGTTTATGTGCTTTTTCTTCAAATTTAACGGAAATTGACTAGTCGGTAATACAGCCTGTTTTTGACTGCTGATATGTTACTTTTTAGAGTTATTATTACCAACTTTAAAAGTAATAACTTCCGTACTTATCGACACTAAAAATTAAATTATTTCACGTAGTTCTAGTGTTTGCCGCAAGGACAAGTGTAACCAACCTACACGTGGGTTTGCTGATTTTTGAAATTGTGGTAGTTTATAACATTTTCATTTATTTAAACAATTAAAAATGCCAAAACTAAGGAAAGTAAGACGAAGTAAGAAATATAGGCATAATGTTAATCGAAAACGACTTCGAAATAAACAAAGGAAAATGCCTAATATAAGTTGGTAAGTTTTTCTAACCTTACAACAAGTGTAATCAACTTGATGATTGTTTGTTTATTTACGCTATAATTTCTATTAATGTGGCAATTTTTTTCATTTAGTACACAAATTAAAGAAGCTTGGGATAATAAAAAATCAACAAGGGGAAATTTAGCACAAATGGGATTAGCTTATGATGCAAACGATATTTTAAAAATTCCAAACATAAAACAAGAAATGAAGAACAATGTTAAAAAAACAGCTTCAGGAGAATTTCAGGAGTCTGAAGATGAACCACAACCGATAAAAAGAGCACCAAAAAAGATTGAAGTGGCAATGAAGTTGGAGGCTGAAGCTAAAGCTCCTAGAGAAAGAATGTTCAAGTTACCTAAAGGTCAGGTACAATTTCTAACTTATCTGATGGATAAATACAATGATGATTACAAAGCCATGGCCAGAGATAAGAAAAATTATTATCAATTAACCTGGAAACAAATAAGATCCAAAATAAATGTTTTTAAAGGAATTCCAGAACAATATGCGGAATATTTACTTCGGAAAGGTGAAATTGTTCTTGAAGATCCTATACCTTTCGAAGAAACAAAAAAGAAAATCGCTGAGGAGAACTTGAAAAAATATTGTGCTCCTAAAAAAGAAAAGAAGAAACAACCTAGTATTTCTCAATGGATTGAAGAAAATATCAATGGTGAAAATGATCTAAATAATGGATTTAATACAAAAGATACATTAACAGACCTAGAAGGTGATCAAACTCAATCTGATAAGAGTAAAAAGCTGAAACTATTCCCCGATGATGAAGAGAATGATAAAAAATCAATAAATAAAAAGAAAAATACCAAAAAGGTAATCAATAAACAAACAAAATCGTCTAGTGAAAGTGACGATAGTGATGAAGAACTAGAAAATGATGATGAATTACAGTTTAAAGATTTAAGTGACATGAGTGATGAAGAATTGTCTGATGATGATATGTTAGATGATGAGGATTTTGCAACAGACAGTGCAGATGACAGTGATGAAGAATAAATAATTATAACAACAATTACTTTTTTACAAATTATTAATTCTTAAATTATTAAATTTTATATTATAGTATAAACTACAACTGTAAACAATGTTCAAATTTTTAAAAATAATGTAAATATTATTTAAATATAAAAAAAAAATTACCTGAAGAAAATGATTTGTAAAAATAATTTTTTCATTTCGTGAAAAAAAATATATTCTTTATAATAAATGCATCATGATTAATTATATTAATCTTTTCATAATATCAACGTAAATTGTTTTATCTTATGGTCCAAAAGACATGGAAGTTGCCATAAAAAATATTTCTCTAAAGGATTTGTTATTCCTTTTACCTTCTATGCATATAATTATTTTTCATTACTTAATCACTTATATAATCAATATATTTAGTTTTTATACTTATAAATAGAGAAAATTATCCAAAAAAAATTTGACTCTTTTGATTTACGATATGGTAGCAAGTGAAAATATTTTTTTTCTGACTGTATCAATACTAGGATGGTACCAATTATACTCTTTTATACCAGGTTCTATTGGTGGCATTGGCATTGTTTGACTTTCAATTACTTCGACTTTGTGTTTTAGAGGTGAGATGCTATGAAGATCTAAAGCTTTCTTGATTTGGTCCATCCTTAATGCATTTGAAACATCCTAAATAATTTCAATAATGCAAAGTAAATAGATAGCTATGGTAATCATTCAATTCAATTTTTTTCTTCAATAACTTACCTGCTTATTAGCGATGACTAGTATGGGGACATTATCCATTCTACTATCTCCTAATAATTGTTTCAATGCTAACACAGCTTGAGATAATTTATCAGCATCGCTTGCATCTACCATAAATACTAAAAGGTCAGTGTCTTGTAAGAAATTACTCCAATGTTGCTTTGTTTCTTCTGATCCCCCAACTGAAAAAGTAAAAATAATTGTGAAATATTAATATTAAGAACCATTAAGTGTTGTTTATTGTTTATTTTAAATGATTAAAAACGTACTTTCCCAAACATTGAAGATATAATTCCCCTTTTTTAGCCGGTAAACAGCAAATCCATCGGTAGGTTTTGGTGGAAATTGATAATAATTTCCATGAGAATCAGCAGCAACAGCTTGATTCATTACTGATGTCTTTCCAGCACCTTTTAGACCAAGGAGAAGTACTCTTCGTTCATTACTATCATCTAACTAGAATAAATAATCAATGATAATACAATCTTGAGACTCAAGCTTTCAAAATTATTTTTAAGGTTATGTTTTGACAGGTCGATGTCGATACATTTTTAATTAAAAATTATTGAAAATATCTGTTAATAATATTTTATTATACCCTTGTAACATCTTCGAAGCCTTCGTCAATAGCTTTCGATTCTCTTTTTTTCCAATATCGATAAGCAACATAAGCACCCACACACGCACAACTGATCCAAAATATTTTTTGCCCATTCTGAGGCAAATTCATCAAACTCTTGCCCATAATTATCCAATTATAACGTAACTGGAGTTTGTTTAAATTATTATGTAATTTAAAAACAGAGTATTAACAATATTTTTCTTCATGAATTTCGACCGCACGTGAATTGTATTCGCTTTACCAAAACACATGTGTAAAAATTTCAGATCATGCGCACAAGAAAATTTTTTTGATTAATTTGAATTGCAGAGATTCTATTTAAATATGTTCCATAAAATCTTTAGGACAGCACTATTACATTTCTTATTTTACTTATCTATTTCGTGTTGAAAGAGCTCTAGATTTCTGAGCAACTTTCGCAAAGTACTACTTTTAATCTTTTATTTACATTTAAACTACATATGTATGCGTAGACAGTAGTCGTACTAATGTAATACAGAATGCAATGAATGGCACGTTAATTGCAATCTCTTATTAACAGGATTATATTTTGCAAATCATTACTTGATAAAATATTATTCAAAACAATTATTATGTTAATGTTAAAAAATAAATAAATAAAATCGATATCAGAAGTAAATATTTTTCGTAATAAAAATGGTTATCTAACAAAAATATTATTTTATTATGAAATATAAAGAAAATTGTTCTTCAATGTTTTTTCAAAAATAATATATTCATCACAAGATGCATAAAATTCTATATACTTTTCATTATATTATTCATGAAATTTTTCCTTCATGAATCTTTGAATGAAAAATTTCCCTGCATGTTTACTCGATCGTATTATAAGAAAATTGATTTCCATTCTAATGTATTCACCAAAAGATTTGAAACCAGAGAAAACCAGGTTCTCTCTGTTTGAAACAATGTATCTAAACAATTTCCACCGATAAACTGGTGAGTTGTTTATGAAGACAACTGACAATTTAGACATGAGAATCATAGTAAACGACTGATAGTAACGAGATACATTTCTTACCGACTTAATATAAATATCCAACATTTCAAATAATTTTTTTTGCTTAATATGAGTTTTTTTAAAAATTATCATCATCATTATGATAATATCAATTTAAAAGACTTTCATTTGAAATTAAATAATACCAATCGTTGTTTAAACGTTCATGAATTAAATGATTAATAATTTTTTCAATAATCTTTGTTTAATTTAATTCTAAGATAAGGAATTTCACTCTGAATTCAATTGATTCCTGATTTTATTCCTGGATAATGAATCTTTATAATCATTCTCAGCAGCATACTCAAGATTATTACAATCAACTACAGTGGAATCGAAATGGAATAGAATATGGATGGAATTTGAGACGGGGAATTCCACGTGAATTCGACTACATTTTCAGTAAACTTAAAAAAATTTTAATATTCATACATTATGAATATTTTTTTAGGAATTAACGAATTTTTTTATATTTTTCTGAATTAAAAATATTTAATCCTATTAAATACGTAGCTTTACCCATTTTCAGTAGCTTTAGATTATTATCAGAAAGTTGATTCTTGAAATCAACCCTTTAACTCTCGAAATTATTTAAATGAGCTAAAAGTATTATAATGAACGGCTACAAACATCCAGTTAACTAAGTCAAAGCTCCTATAATTATTTTCAGTCATTAAAAAATGTGTAATTGAGCTTAGGATCTAAAGAATCGTCTTCCTTTGCTTTCCACTAATCCATCTAATCTTCCCCTAAATGAAATAGTTACAATTCTTCGCTTTATATACACACAATACTCGATGTTAGATATTTAGGGACAACGAACACTTGACCCAAGGGGACATTGACAACCAAGTGACAAGGGAGATGATGATAGGCGTCAAGGGTTACTTATATCATCCTTGTCTAATGTGTGTAATCTCTCTAACTGGCTTCTGACATATTTTATGACTTATCAAATACTATTACGACAAAGAGCATTATTCAATAAATAATTATACATTTTATTGTGATTTATTATCTGTATTACTGACTGATAATATTAATATTGCTTCAAGAACATTATCATACTTCGGATCAAAAATAATATCGTTTTTTTTTTTAATGTAAGGAATACAAATTTATTTCTGCAATTTGTAAACAAAGTAAGGAATTTTTTTAGATGTTACGATTGAATATAAAAATCTTGTGAGCAAGAAGACTTTTTATATCAAATATAAAGAAAATTTTAAATCTTTTTTTTTCAAAAGTAGGTTCTATTATATTTAAATAATAATTAAAATTAATTAATTTATTTTCTATGTATGTTCGTTTTCAACTAAAACAATTGTTGAGTAATTATTACTATACTTTTTGGAAAATCGTTTACAATTTATTATAAATATGCTTATATATAAACTTAAAAAAATAATAAAAAATAATATTATCATTATTATTTACTTAGGGTAAATATATATTACTTAAATTATTATGATCATTTTTCTTCAACAATTTTTCCAGTGCTCAGTCTACCCTATAATCTATCTTACGATCTATATTTTCAATTATTTAAATACATTTTACAAAAAAACTTATGCATAACTTTAGAATATACAGTGATTTAATTTAGCTATGAATTCTTCTACATGAAAGTATCATGTTTTTGGAGTTGAGCAATTAATTGATTTCCTAAGATTTACACAGATCTCTAATCTTCTGTTTTAACTTCTTCCTATTACCATATCTTTTCTGAACTGTTAAACAATCTTTAACTCCAATAAAAGCCTAATAATATATTTATTACTGAATTTTATATTTATCACTAAAACAAAAAAAAATGAGAAAGTTATGAAAGCGAATATTATGAATAATTTTAATTTGATAAATAAAAAAGACTATTACGTTATTAAAGAATTTTAAAAATGCAGTTTACCTCAACTCATCGTACACCCAAAGCATTCCAATTTTGTCGAATACCGCGAGGAAATATTAAAAAAATAACAAATAACGAAAAAATATAAATTCTCTCTATTTTCCCTTTGTGCGCTCTCTTTCTCCTTTACTCTCTTTCTCTTCCACTTTTATTCTGCACTTGCATGACCAAAATTGGATATTCGATAAAAATAGTATTCTACGCCGTTGCTACCGCTTGACAATAACCAGTTCTCCACCCCCTTTATTCTCCAACTCACCCTCTCAACTCTTGTCGCTTTTTGATTCCCCAGTTCTCTTCACCACATCCCTTGCTCTTTCCATCTACAACGGATACAAGGGGATGACTTTTATTGCCTTGTCTGATATTATGAATGTGATCAACGCTACAACAGAGATCTTTTATTCAAACTTCAAGTGGTTATGCTTTTTATTATGTCCTTGTAACAATTAGCAATTGCTTTATGAGCTATTTATGTTGACTAAACTTTCAACTTATCAACATTTCTACAAATTAACAATTATTCCAAATATTATATCAGTTATTGATGGTCAACTAAAGTCAACATGTCTGAAAATTCCGGGCTCGATTATCGGTTGGATGCACAATTTTTTCGTAATTTTATTCAATTTATAACTTTATTGAATTATTTCGTTATTATTATGAATCAATAATTTGACATACAGTCAATTATTAGGAAACTGACTGGATGTATTTTATCTACAATATTTTTAGAATATTAAAATCAATTAAAATTCGTATTATTTATAAATAAAAAAATATGTTTAATGAATAATTTTGAATTATTTAAAAATAAAAAAGAAATTATTAATTTCTATTTGGAACTTGAATATGTTTGCGTATGTTTCAACTAAGAGGGAAATAATTGTTGTAAAATGACATGTCATGAATCATATCATAAAATCACTGATGTAATGCTTATGATAGTGTACTATAAGCTTACAATAGAACATGTGTGTTGTGCATTTTAAACGATGCAGGTGTTTACGGTTACGCTTCTTTAGTTATGGCCCCATATCGAATGATTGTGGACAAATAAGGAGTTTTATGATGACATTGTAGTAATATTTTAGCCTCAAGAATGCTTTATTATTATTACTGAGTCATTGAAAAAGTAGCTTTTATAATAATTTAACAGATAATTAATTAATAATGCTTGTTATCATTTATTCTAAAAATTATCTTTGAAGTCATAAATTGATATTACCAGTCTCAGTTGAATTTCTCTTTATCTCATTTCGTTTCTAGTGTTATTGCAGGAAATATGGAATTTAATATCACGTGGATAAAATGGATAAAAATGATGAACAAAGTGAAAAGAAACAAAGTAAACGAATAATGAGTTGGTGATGTAATGAAATTGGAATTTAAATTTGCATTATGATTGTTAAGCACAATTTTTAATTATTATTTCATTTAACACAAAATACTCATAACGACAAAGCTTTTATGTAACAGTGATGTTATCAGTAGATAAAAATTCATCTTTTAATTCGTTTTTAGATGAATAAAAAATTGCAACAAAAAAAAAATAAAAAGTCCAAGTGAACTAAAGACAAAAGTCATGTAGAAGTGAAGTCGGGTTTAGGAAATAGCTCACGAGCTTTCATATCGCAAGCTACACCCCCATCAGGGTGTAAGCTCCGCCCGTTCTCGTTCCCAAAGGGAGTGAACGGTGCCGGGGACTTTAGGACCGGTTATCTCAACTCAACCCCTGTATAACATCGTCGTTGGCATCCGCGGCATTCCAATTAGCTCGCGAATCAAAAGAGCCTCACAGCCTTTGTGGGGTATTCTACCCTATCTCGATGTTCTCATCTCTCTTACATCCTCCCTCTTTTGCCAATATTCAATTCTACCTCTCCTTGTGTACTTACGAAGTTACACACTGCCTTCAGCATACCTCTATACTCGCTTCAAAAAATTGCTCTATTTAGTCAAGAGGATCAATTGCTAATAATTTACGTTTATCTATATATAGACTAACAATTTATTTTTAATTATATATTCATGTTTTTATACATCAAATTCTCATTTTGTCTTATTTACAATACTTTGTTTCAATTTTCATACCATTTACACTCAAGATTTTGGTCTTTTTTTCTCTTAATTTTAAATCAAAGAAGAGGGAAAAATATACAGATATTAGAGTTTTTACTATTTGCTTTTCATGTTATGTTAATTTTATTCTTCAAGTAAAATAATTTCTTTTTACCTTGCCATCATTTTTTTAATATTTTAACATGAACAATGAGATAGTAGAAATTTTAAGTCAACTGAAATTCTATTGTCTAGGTCTAGGATAAGTCTCATATCTATGTATACTCTATTCTCTTTTAATAATAATCATGTTGTAGTGTAGGAATTGTTCATAGGATTCCAAGTGCTTTATGTTCTAATTGTTGGTGATTTTATATTTGTAATATTTAATATGTAATAAAATAGTGTCACTGTGCCTGTTATTTACACTCCTAGATTATTATTATGAATTTTGAACTCAATTATTACAAAAATATATGCCCAGAGAAGATGGTCAAACGTTGAAGGTTTTTAATTTTCCTGTCATTTTTAATATGTTGTTAAAATACTAACTATAATTATCTGGCAGTTTTCTTGTATCATTATTATTAATTAATTACTGAATAACTAATACTATCCTGAATAAGTATCTATTTTACTGTTTACCTTTCATTTTTCTTCATATCATAAATAGCTAGGTGTCGTATTAAGAAACTTAAAATAATCTACAAAATTACTTACTTCTTTTTAAAATTAGAAAAAATTTTATTAATGTAATGTGACTTGTTTACATTGATATAAATAAATTAGATAATAAAATTTGTAACATTATGTCATTTGAATTGTATGATGATAAAATTTTTAATCAAATTCATACAAATATCGTATTTAATAGGCTTGGTATATGTTCATTAAAATGAAAATAACAATATTAACAGATATTTGAAGAATAAGTAACAACTTGATACATACTTTTAAATATTATTTATGGAAAGTATGTGGTACCAAACCTCGGCATTTACATTTGAATCTCATTCTTTTGACAGTACTCATAATTTATAATTAAATTTTCTTTACGTTTGGTTGCCTATTAATTAGAAAATCTATTTTAAGAAATAATAAAACTGTACAGCTATGATTTAATAAATAAACCCAATTAAATTTTACAAATAAAAATTAATATATCACCACAAATATAAATGACTCTTTATTCTTAAATTCTTTAAAAAAAGTTATTGAAATAATTCATCAATGAAGGAACATCTTCTATAATTCAATTACATGATTTAGTATTATATTCGTTTATTAATTATTTAAAATATTCCTGGGGTGAGGAAATATGTGCTTTGATATATATATATATATACTCGAAGTGCTTGGGATTGAATTTTGGTTATTGCAGTTATAAGTATCTACAAACAAAAAAAAATACTAATATTATTAAATAATCCTTCAAGCATTAGTATACCAATGGAATTTTAGTTGACAATGTTGCTAACTGAATTATGATTATAGTAAATCAATGTGTATATTTTATCTATAGACTTACTTGTCAGTCCAATTATCGTGAATACTCAAAGTATTATCATGCATTAACCATTCAATCGCAATCTAAAAATATTTTTATCCTCATTTGTAGACACTCAATCTTCTTTCACTAATTACATCATTATATATATTTATATATATAATTTATCTATAATTTTATCTATCTAAGCAATAATAATATCATCACAGAAAATAATACGCTGATTTGAATCAACGTTCATTATTTACAAGACTCTTTCAGTCTATTTACTTTGTATTTTGTCATTAGCTAGGCTTTTCCATCCAAGAATTCACTTCTTTCATCATTCTAATTTGTTTCACTCCAATTTCTATTTATGATTATTATAAATAGATGAAGAATAAAAAGAATGATAATCGATTAAAACGATAGTCTGGATGTTGTTATAAAAAGTGCCCTTATTCTCATCATTCACCACTTTCTTCAGGTTCTTTGCAGTCTTCATCTTCTAAAGATGACAACGAAAGCTGTCTTAATTCATTTACTCTCTGACTTTGCTGTTCATGATGAACTTTTCGCCACTTTATCCTCCGATTTTGAAACCAAACCTTCACCTGGGCTTCAGTGAGTCTCAAGGAATGAGCTAAGTATAATCTTTCTGGTCCAACCATATATTGAGTTCTTGCAAATTCACCTTCAAGTCGTTCCAACTGTTCAGCAGTAAATATTGTCCGAACTCGCTTAGTTTTCCCAGAATTTACGTTCATGTTGTCGTTGACATGTGAACAAGCTGATACAGTACCAGTTTTAAGCTCTTGATGACCTGGAACACATTGCAACCAATCATTATTATATTTTAACATATTTTCTGATGATGAATGTACTTAGTAATAAGTATTATGATTCAATAAATATCATTTATCACAAGTGTATATTATCAGTTGCAAAGTCAAATAGAATATCATAAAGTTTTATTCAAAATGGAGTGAGAAATCGTTTTGATCAACAATTTTAATTCAAACTTAACAATTTATTTCATTTTATTAATTTTCTAAAGAAAAGTTTTACGTTTAAAAAATTTATCATTTAATCAAATATTTAATAATTAATCATACTAAGATTTTCTTAATTTATTAATTTGTTATTAATTCTAGCTAATGTGTATAAAATAAACTTACATTCTTGCCTGTTGGCTTTCCTAAATGACTGCTGACTTCTCTGATGTTTATCTCGTTGATTATTTTTCCCTAGAATGGCATCAATAGTAAACGAAGTCGTTTGTTGTTGTTGCTGATGTTGTTGCTGTGATTGCTGAACATGACTGGTGGAATGTCGATGAGGAAATTGTGATGTAAGATTTTGCGCAGATAAATCCATTTGGTTAAGTAAATGCGAGCGTCGCATACCATCAAAAGCCATTGATTCCATGCTTTGAGGACTTCGGCGTTGGATAGCAGCATTCCGGAAGTCATTAGATTCTAATATTCGAGAATTCGATAATAAACTTACATTTGGAAGTCTCTCGAGTCCTAATCCAATATGATTATCTCTAATATTATGCTCTCCACCAAGATTTAATTCCTTCATGATGTTGTAATTTTTTGATAACCCATATTCTTTCAACTCTCGTTCAACAAGTCCGTGCACTTTCTGTCTCCTTGTTCGACTTAAATTATAAATACTGTCCTTATAAACTAGCTCTCTAGATATACACAGTGATAGAGAATCTGGTGATGGTTCAGCTTCATTTGATCTGTCTAGATGAAACCCAGACATATCTGTCACAAAATTGAATGTTTTTGATTTGGTTAATCCAAAATCACGATTGGGGAACTCATCAAACTGAACTGAATTATGATGTCTTGCTTCCATTGGAAACCGGAAGTCTTTATTTTCTACACAAGAATCATCTTTATTTCTGCCAATGCTGAGATTTAATCCTGTCAAATCCTTGGGATTTTCATAATTAGAATAATTATGTTGTTGTGGCTCAAAATGGCTGCTTTCACTCCGATCTGACGAATCATCAAATCCGTTCACCGACGGATCACACGTCTCCATCATTATAACAGAAATGAATAAAAATTATTTTCAAAAATGATCAATTGTTTAATTGATGACAATAACAGAAACAATCACATTTTTAAGAACACACTAGAGTTAAATAAATTTCTTATTCATAAACTTGTGAGATAAGATTCCTGATAATGATGTTGAAACACCGCTATCACCGCTCAGTACTAAGGATAACCAGCTAATGATCCCGTACGTGACAGGGGGCTATTTACCCTTGGCATCCCCCAATCAGTCCACCACGTTTACCTCCGCAACCCCCAAATGGACCGCATGATCGTGCGGTCAATATTTTTTCTGTAGTTTCAGGACGTGCGACGTTACGCGGGATTGGCCGGTCTCGCGCCATCTGCGTCTTGTGTTGCCACGCCTCTTACATCTGGTGGGGAATAACAGAGTTTTATAGACTTCTTTTTTTTTAATTATTTCCTCTTTTCTACGACCTTAACTGGACTTGCAAGTCCAAAGCACAGACAAATAAAGCGTCCGCTGCATAAAATTGATAAATAAGATATTTCTGCTGTTATATTAAACGCTAATAAAACCTCTTTCTCGACATTTAAATGTGATTTTTGATTGCACTCCTAATTCTTCCCTCTTCATTAAACTATTTCTTAAGCTATTTAAGGGATCATTTCATTAAGTTTTTTGTCAATTTGTCGTCTCTGGCATCAAGCCAAAATTAGATTCCAATCTAATTAGAGATTTTGAGGTAGAATTATCAATCATAATGAGCATCTTATTATCTTTGCTTAAGTAGTTTTTCTTACTGACGACAAACAGGAAATTTAACAAAATTAAATAACCACAAGCTACTTATAACTTATGTCTTAAGCTTGCATGTGTATGCATGATATGAATGTTAAAAAATATTGAGAAAGTAAATTAATTTTTTTTCTCTGGCATGAGATTTATTTAAGTCAATAATTTTAAAGTTACAATGATTATATCCTCATAGCTACATTGATTCAGATGGTTTATATATAGAGATATACACGGATAAAAGCTCTTGATAAAGGGAAACTTCGAGACCTCAGCTTTTACCATTATGAAGTCGAGATTGAGCCATAAATTTCAAAATTTACTTTGAAGAAAATTTCCCCCGAGGTATATGTTCACGAGAAAATGTATTTCCTGCGCAATTACGTCGTAGATTCATAAAGTAGACGTATATTATATTACTTTCTAAAGTGATATTATAACACAAGTTTTGCTCTCTTATGTCTTTGAGATATCTATACAATGTAATAATTTCATTTAACACAATATAAACTTAACTACTACCAAATATAATTATAATAACGATATCATAATATTTATTGACAACTCTTGACCTTTTTTCATCCTTTAATTTTTAGAGTATCCCAATATGGAAATAGAATGTCTGAACAAAACTTGACTGCTCCCCTTTTAGAAATTTTTGATGAATTGAAATTATTGGTTATTAATCAGTTAAAATATGTGAAAATAATTGAACGTTACTCAAAAATAGTGTATATCCGTTTATTATTAAATAAACAAAAAGAAATAAATAAGCTAGAATGACATAAACAATAAACTATTTAATTTGAGCATAAATAGAATTATCACTTTTGGTCAGCCATGATCCTATGAATAATACTTCATTGAAGTAAAAATAATATATTCTTACTCTATTCAATTTTTTTTATTGTTATTATTTTATTTTAGAGATTCTAGTGCTTTAGATAGTTATTATGAATAACAATTCATAATTTTCAGCAATTAAAAATGAAAGCTTTTGATCTAAAATTATTTTATGCTTACTCATCACTCGACTAATTATATTATTATTATTCCCAATGCTATTATAAATGACATTTAAATTTTTTTTTCATAAAAAAGTACTTGAAAGCAATGTATTCGATTAATAAATAACTTGAAAACATAATGATATAATTAAAAAATATTTATAAATAATTTTTTTTGCATAGCACATGTTTTGGAGTAAGTAGAGTTGGTCGATATCGGTCAGACGGGAAAGAAAATGAAGTTGTCTTAAACATAATATCATCAAAATTCTCGTTTTATTTATTTCAGGAGTGATAATAATATTAAAAATAAGCTGAATATAATAAATTGAAGGACTTGGATGAAGATATTACTAATGATAACAGTAAAAATCAATATCTATGGAAATTACGCAATTCCATACTGTTAATCTATCCAAGAGTAAACATCTCTCGACTAAATTAATATTATTAATGGATATTGACATGTTATAATTAGTGAATAATAGTTGCAGATGTAAATAATGTAGCAACGTTGTCGAGAGTTAATCCAAAGTAATTACTATAAATAAAAAATAGTTTAAATTAAATATAATAGGTTGATGGGCTAAAGAAATTGGGGAACAGTTGAAAGAATTTTTATTGAAGCTCAATATCTACAGTAGCCGTCTGCCAAATGACTCAAGTCACCCTTATTACGTCTCTCAGCAAATTTATCACGGGAATTTCACCGAGTATTTTATCCGGATAATTGCAGAAGCTTTATATAAGACATATAAAAGCTGTTGCCATTTATTTCTTTTTGCTAGAGTATTTTTTTATAAGCAATAGAATCACCTTAACTATATACTTACATAAGGTTGAGTACTACCCTGACACTGATTCATTTAATTTAATTATAGTGAAATTTTAGAATGCCATTGTCTATTTCGATAGTAGAATGAATATATTTAGAATAAATTTTTCTTTCTTTAGAGTTTTAAACTCTCGACAGTCAATGGTGTCCTGAAAGACTTGGCTTACTAACTCTTCCTCCTTGTGATGCTAGTGTTCATTTTACATACGAGATATTAAAACTGAAGCAATTAGTGTATGAAAGCGCGAAAGCCGGCATTTTACGAGATTTATAACAATCCGATCGTAGTGGGGATTACAGAGATATGATTGGATGTCAGAGAATAAATTCTACAGTAAGAGCCACACCCTCAGCAATGGCTCAATCCACCCCCGCAATTGTGATTCTCAACGTTTACTTCAACCCCTTTTTCGATCCATTACATTATTTTCCTGTTTGGTAATTTTACGAAGAATACAATCCTTATTTTGTCTCAGTAGCCCTCTTAATTAGAGAATACAAAGTATTATTAAAGTCGTTACACGTAGTTTAATCAATTTTTGTGGTTTGTTAATGAACTTTTTATTATAAATTGACATATTAAAAAAATATTATCAATATAGAACAAGTTCATACTGCACGATTTTGCAAAATAATATCTTTTAATAATATCAGGTCTTTTCAAAAGCCATATTTAAATATAAGTTAAACAGTCAGGATTTATCGATTTTTAATGTCAAGATGCTATTTCAAATTTTATCGTATGTTTTAATATGCACTTTTCTGTAATTTTTTTTTAATATCTATAAATATTTAAATTATTGCTATTTTATCTGCTTGATTAGATGTGCAATTTTTTGGCGCCACTTTTTGAATAGATCTACTTTACAGGTAACAAAAAAAAATCAGTTCCTTTATTATCAGCAGCAAATTTATTTATCGACCAAAGATAACGTAAATTCCTGCCCACCTCGATGCGAACATTTGTTTCTCAGAACCCGCATATTTATTCTGGTTTATATTTCGCTTTGTAACACTGACGTGTCTATTTGTGATTAAAAGCGTATTTTATAAAAATAACATCACGAAAATTGCTTACTTACTAGTTTTCCTAATGTTCAATAGTATTATTTATCAGAAATTTAGCAAATGAATTATGATAACGCTTAATACCGATTGTATTAATATTTATCTTCAAAGTTAACCTTAAAATACGAAGAATGTTATGGAATATTCACTGAAGTATTAATAAAGTTTTTATATTGAAGTCAAAGTGTGTAGTGTTAAAATGGGCATTAAATTAGTGTTTTTTATTAATATCATCACCGGCTTATTTTCATATAATTTATTTGAAGCAGCTCCTATTATAGAAAGTACTCTAATTACTCACAGTATTGCTAATGACTCTAATACTTGTGCAAATAAGTCTGTTATATATCAATCAAAATATCTGCAACAAGCGTGCAACATTAGTTTTCCAGAAGCATCGAGTGATATAAAAAATACTACTAATATTAATCCATATTTGTGCACTACTTTATACGACCAAAGCGTAAAAGTTTGCCATTTATACACTACTGAAAAAAAAGAATTATTCAATCAGACAATTTTTGATGAAGAAATAAATAAAACTATTACTAACATTACTAAATTGCTAGAAGTATGTGCAATTCGAGGAAATAATTTAATATTGGAGTACAATAAAACAAAACCATTCGTAGATAAACTTAACAATTATTTTAAAAATCCAAAAAATTGTGCAGATCGATGTTCTGCTGGAACAAATGAAAATTCAACGATAAATCCTTTATGTGTTATGATTCATTATATCGATGAAAAAATAAGAATGAGTCAAATTCATACTAAAGAAGAAGATGTAACTAAACACGATTCTGTTGTAACATCGAAAGAAGCAGGATCGGAAAAAGCAATAAAACAAAGTACAGTGGCATCGAAAGAAACGATTTCTACAAATAACGAACCCAATTCAGACAAAAATGAAAAAGTTAAGGAGGAAAAAGTAGCTGATAATTCAAAGATAGTTAATTCTGGCGCTAACCCTCCTAAAAATGATGGAACTAAATCCAATCCAGAAAATCCAGGTAATAAAACCACTGTCCCAATTAACGAACAAACGAATAAAGTTGAGGTACCACCATTGGAGAAAGAAAAAGAAAATAGTGAGACAGCTGTAGCTAAACCGGATACTTTTGATCAAACAATGACAAATATAGAAGAAGATAATAATCAACATCCTGGAGGTGATTTTCTTCCAGAAGAAGGTACATAAACTACTATTTTATATGCTATTGAATATTTTGTGCCTTTAAAAACTTAATAAACTCTTTATTTTATTTCTTATAGAGAGTGACCAGATACAAATAGATGAAGAAGATAAAAGTAATAATTTTTTATTTTTTTATTTTTGTTTTGATTGAAAAAAAGAGAAATATATTAGATTAAAGTAATTAACAAATCTTATTTTTTTATTTTTCCAGTGAATGATCAAGATCCCTTAGTAAAGCCTGACGACAAAACAGATGGTCTTCTAATTCATCATAACATTGAAAAAGATGATGATGCACATTTCTTTGGATATTTTACTGTTTTGGGGCTCCTTGGTATCGGCGGTTGTCTTGCTTATCATCACAAACAAAAAGTTAGTTATCGAGCAATCAAATTTTCATATTACTAAAAATATTTTAGAAACTTTTGATCAAGTTACGAGTAATAATAAATTCTATTAAAAATTTCATTAATTGTTTTAGATATTAGCAATACTTCTGGAAGGACGAAGGTCACGAGGAGGACGAGGTCGAAGGAGACCCAGTACTGCAAGCTATCGGAAACTGGATTGCACTTTAGAAGAAGCTGTTACATCTCAATGTAACGCTAATGTTACTCACGTTATTTATTAAAGCGTTTTTGTCACTGATTGGCTCGACGTACAATCACTTGTGCTTAACAAGAATGTTTTCTCTCTCTTTTTCTGTGGTAAAGTAAACAAATATTTTTTTTTGCACGCAATCAATAAGTATTTTTACAATTCTTATAGTATCCAGAGGGTATTTATCGCCTTCCTGTTATGTGATTTTGCTATTCTTAAAATTAATGAAATTACAACATAAAAACGACTGTAAATAATAAAACATTTATATCTATTAAACGAATGAATGATTCTGAGAATTTAATAACAAACAAAGTGTATGTAATAACGAATTGAAATATGAAAATATATCTCTAAAACACGTTTTGCGACAACTTTTGTCTCCGTTATTAATGAATAGTTCTATTTCAATTTATCGAATGATTGTTAACTTTGTCATTTTTTATAAACATAGTCATTCAATAATATAGTGCATAATTTTGATGCATCATCCATTTTATTGCTTGTAATCATGTTATTGCCGTTGAAGCAAATCATGAAACGTTATCGATTCAATTAAAATAGCAAACTAACAAATACTTTTGCTATCAAAATTTTTTTCTTCAGTAATAAAATTAACTGCTAATTGATTTTTAGATTAGTTATTTTTATTGTTTAAGTTCTGGATTAATTAAGTATTAGTATCAATAATATTTTTTTAATTAATAAAAAATTAAATTTCAGAATTTACAGATAAATAATTAATATATATATTTTTTTTATTTTCATTATCACAAGCAGTTATTGAATTTTTATCTATCCATACAGTAGACTGCATTTTTTGTATGGCTCTTAATCCAATATAAATAGTCAGTAACCTTTACATAAACTCCAGGTACTCCTGGTTGTGCACATCCAATTCCCCATGATACGATACCTAGAGAAAATATTTCTTAATTATTTAATGAAGCTTATAAAATAATTCTAATCTAATATGTATTAAAATATTACCGGCTACTTCATAACGTCCATCTGATCTCTCAAACAATAAAGGGCCACCACTGTCTCCCTGAAGTAATAAATTTAAATATGAAAATAAAACTAACGGGAAAGTATTGTATAAAATAGAGTCATTATATTTAATCATACTTGACAAGCATCAGTATTGTCATTGTAAGCACAAATCATTGATGCTGTAAGATGATCGCCAAAAGAAGTGTTGGTACAAACGCTGTGAGGCATAACTCGAAGTGTCGCTTGTCTTAAGTACCTTGAAGCACCTCCGGAAACTTTAACTCGACCCCAACCAGCAACTTTCACCAGGTGTCCTGTGTAATCGGAACCTGAACAAAAGATTAATCAATTTAATTGATGGTTTAATTATATTCTTCATTCATTAACTTCCCCTTCATTCCACAATATAATTATTCATTGAAATCTAATTTCCAATTAACAACAAAAATAGTTTTTCTTAAGAATAAGATTACCTTTCATCGGAAGACATATCGGTTGAATTTTGTCATTATATTGGATTGTATTTGGTAGTTTGAGAAGTGCAATATCATTGGTGTCATGTAAATAATCACTCTCAAAGTCTTCATGAAGGATTGCTTCATCAATTGGAAGAATATAACCATCAGAAGGATTTTTTATATCATGAATTCCTAAACCAACATCTAGAAAGGTTGCATCGACCCTAAAATTGATTTTTTAAATTATTGATAAAAAAAGTGTAGTCAATTGAAAAAAAATTTAATTGGCAAAATTCTGCACCATTTGACGCAATGACCAGCTGTGAGCACATAACGATCATTTATCAAAGCACCACCACAATGTAAAGATCCTTTGTAAAAAATTGCCACTATCCACGGAAAAATATGCGGAACCGTAATTTGACCACCAACTATTCTATTCGATATTCCTTCACCTGACCAACCACATTCTGAAAAAAATTTACTTCTTCATCAATTTAATGATTTTTTTCTACTAAATGTCTGTTGAAAAATTAGAAAGTTCATATGCATAAATATATATTATGAAATTGTAGTATTTCCTTTTTAATAATAATAATTCTTTGCTGTTGCTTAAAACATAATGAGTTTAATCTTTTGCAAGATCTCAGAGTCTTAAATTTTAGAATAATTACCACAATCTCGATTAACTCTTAGCAGATGTTTCCGACATTGATAACTCTGAAATAAAAATTATTTTCGTTTATTTTATTTATTAAATAAAAATTAACTTTTTGAATTGTTAATTACTCTCAACGAACGTCTAGGATAAAGAAAATCCCAATTACGATGATTTTAGAATTTAATTTCATGACGAATATTTTTTTCGTGATCGTCAAAGCAGATGAAATACTACTGAGCAAGATTTACGATGCCTTACAATCATATTCGTTTTGATACTGTCGTTACTTCGTTATCTGAGATCTTAGCATTTATGCCGTGAAGTGAAGTAGTTTGCAAAAAAAAAAACAATTTACCATTGTTATATATTTATTTGGTTGTATTGATTAATTTTTTCTGTTAAAATTTGTCAACTTTTTCTTTTATATTTAAAGGTTTTCCATGTTTCTCGTCTTAGATAGATTTATTTGGTACAAAGATGGAGCAAAGAAAGTAAATAGGAGGAGCAAATAAATGAATGTTATCGTTGAGGTTGATCTCAAGAGTATTCTTTCCTTTTTGGCACAATACAAAGGTAAAAAAAGCCTAGTGATCTTGGTAATTCCCCATAGAGATGCCACATATTCTTCATGTAAGTTTTTTCTCTAGATGGAAGTTAGAGAAAAAAACCAGAACCTTGCGTAGTATATAAATTAGTGAATAAAATAATAAATGTTTTCAATTCATTTACCTATCAGACTTTATTTAGTTTTACATAATTGATGTATCATGAAAGGGTGATAAAAGTGAAAAATTAGTTCATTTCATTAATGTCAATATAATTAATGTATAACTTGTGTATGTATAATATAAATAATTATCTAGAACAGTAGCAAGCATCTTTGGTATTTTGAAGAATCCAATGAAGATGAGGGCCTAATCTAGTGAAAACTGCTGTCTTTGTTGCAGTTTCACCACATACATTACCGTCTGATAACAATCCTGCATTAAAAATGACCAACAATTAATGTTATTATTTATTACGCATATTTATAAGTTCTAAAAGTGATGAAATTATTTTTACCAATTAGATCATAAATTCCATTGTATGATCGGTAGTGAACAGGAGTTCCTACATCATTCTATCAAGAAAATGAAAATTACTTATGCGTTTAGTTGACATTAATAGTCTGAGTAATAATTTCGAAACAAACGTTCATGATCTTACGTTGCAAACAATTGATTTACTGCCAAGTACACCAATACACCCGGAATCATCATGGAAATGGTTTGCTTCAACTCCAGATTTAATGCATTCTCTACCACTTAGGATAGGTAATCCAATTTTGCGTGGTAAGCAGGCAAACGTTTTCTCACTATTAGGAGCTTCAGTCCATCCTGCAAATGTTCCTACTTGACCAAGATATGTTGAATCTTGAACGATAATAAATAATCATTTAAATATTAAATATCAAAATTACAGAGTGACTATTAAAATTTTTTTTTATAATATTAATGATCAACATCTAATCATTAGTTATGATTTAAGACCAGATAGTTTTAGATCAATAAAATCACAACGATACAAAAATCGACTTGAAAAAGCTGTAAATAAGCAGCCAGGTGCGAGGTAATAAATTGAACTTGAGCATGGTAGTAACATGAAAACTAGTAGAGTATCAGCCAAGTATGAAAGATAACGTCAGGCTCAATATTGAAGGTAAAAATTTATATGTTCTCCTAACATAACATATTTTTTTACCACCAATAGAAATATTAGATAAAAACATGAGCTGTGATCAATTTTTTATTACAATAAACTTCCAATTTTCTTCACTAAATAATCTTTTTTTCCAACATTTGTGTTAATTCAATCGAATAATTATATCTTATTAACAGATAAAAGATAAAAAAAAGGCTTGGTACTATTTATACTCACTCGGATTAGGCATACAAACTGGAGCAATTCTCTTTTCAATATTAATCGGTCGACTTAGCTTAATTAACGCTAAATCATGGGCATGTGTTTCTCCAACATATTCTGGATAAATAATAATGGTGTCGACACTTGAATTCACTGTAGAAATATCAATATCACAACGATCGTATGTACCTAGAGAAACTTTTATTTCGTGTGCAGCTGAGCTAAAACATAATAGACAACATTAATCCTGATTACATTTAAGTAAAATTTTAAAAAAAATATGTATATATAAATAAACCAAATAAGCACTCTATAATTTGACTTGCTGCAGTTAGCACGTAGCGGTCATTTATCAACGCTCCACTGACTTGGTTTCCAGTTTTTGAATAAATATTTACAAGCCATGGAAACTCATGAGAGTATGTTGTTTCACCTCCAATAAATCTTGCAGTGTTACGATTTGATCTTCCACACACTAAAAATACGAAAAGTATTAAGATAATTTTTTGAATGTCATTCTTACAATTCTTTGTTACAAAAGTGACAGCTAATTAAATGAATGCTTGCTTACAACATCCTTTGCAAGGTCTAAATACAGACGACAGCCAATCTAATACTCCACGTTGCACTCTTGTTGCTTCAACCTAGCAAATGAGTAACCAACATTGCTTAGATACTTATTTGACAAAATTGTTTCTAAAATTTCTAATTTCAAAATTCAGATTTGATACTTTTATTTCTGTGATTCAAATTATTTTATGATAGTTACATTTTTATAATGCTTACCAAACCAGTTGGAGATACTGAACTAGTGATGGTGATGACTAATAAACAAATAAGATACTTGACGTATTCTTGGATATTCATGACTCCTGTAGAGTTCACAAAGCTCGACTGTTAGCTTGTGAGACTGGATTTGCAAGAATATAGCGGTACTGCCCGCATCTCAATCCCACCTAACCATCATTGCAGAGAGGATGAAAGATTTTTTTTTTGTTTTTTTTGTATCTAACGTGACCAGTCGATGACCTACGGTCAATTCCGTTATGTTTAACTTTTTATTCTACTTTATAAAACATACAATCATTTTACTGACATACAATTTATTGATAATCACAAGATACAAATACAAAATAGTTGTACAAAATTATATAAAGAATTAACGTAAACAATACATTGTCAATTGTTAAAAGAGATCACGATTCACAAAAGCAGCCATCACGTGAATTATATAAAACCCAGTCGAGATAACGAGTCAGCCGAGTATAAACCCCAGGGTATCCTGGACGAGCACATCCATTGCCCCAAGAGACAACTCCTATTACTTCATATTTTTTATCTTGTCTCTCAGCAATTAAAGGACCTCCGCTGTCACCCTGAAAGACAAATTATGATTATTTTTCGGTTATATGTTAGCTCCTACTTTTCACAACATTAATCTCTGTTCATCAATTTTTTTCAACTCATTATCTTTAAATAATTGTCATTAAGAATATCAAATACATCAAACTTTATTTTACAAAAAAAACTTGAAATAATAGTTACTTGACAAGAATCTTTCTTTCCATCAGGATATCCTGCACACATCATATTATCTGATATCATTCGAGGACTGTAGCTAGTATTTCGACAATCTTGAAGACTCATAACTGGAACTTCAACCTCTTGAAGTAAACAAGAAGGTTTACCATCTTCATGAAGTGTTCCCCATCCAGCAGCAATAGCTTTGGTTCCTACGTAGTCATTTTCTATTCAAAAAAATAAAAAGTTATAATTATATTAATTAACAAAGTAGGTTGAGTGCTGAAAAATTACTTAAGCTATTTGAACAGTAAACAGCATAATAAAATGGTACTAAGCTTTTATAAAACAAAAATGAGAGTAAAATAAAGAAAAAAGAGAATCTATGTATTGTCATATGCATAAAGACTGTTCTAGTTGTTCATTCTTTTATTTAAAGTACTTTGTGTTGACGGAAAAATACACCATACCCGTATAGTATGTGCTCACAATTGATTTCTTCGCAGTAATGCATCACATAACAAGTGATAAAATAACCAGGTCATTTATGCAATTTTATGTGTTAATATTATTAAATATTAAACATTAAATATCATATTTATTGCTATTGAATATTCAACTTTAATTCAATGCATTCTCTACTGCTATTAAATTAATTGAATCACTTTTTAATTAGCACATCGTTTGAATATTATATTATCAATATAATATTCTGATCAAGTTAAATTATTGTTTGGAAATAGATCAAATTTTCTAATACCAGCAATACTTTTATTAGATCATAAATTATTATTATTATGACAAGATCAGATGGTACCTTTAACTGTTGGTAAACAAACAGGTCGAATGGCTTCAGTGAGAGGAACTCGATCATTAAGTTTCAATAGTGCAATATCATTATCAAAATTAAGAAAGCTAAAATCTCCAGTAATAGCTCTTACTACAAATCTTGTCTCTGGTTTATTTTTTTCATCACATCTATCATGCTCTCCAAATGTTACCTTAATCATGAACCACATGAATCTAAAAATAAGGCTGAGAGTATTGATAACTGAATATTTTATTTGATAACATGATTATAATCATTGGATTCTCACCCTCTTACGCAATGAGCTGCAGTTAACACGTAACGATCATTTATCAAAGTCCCTCCACAATAAAATTTATTCAAATAAGACAGTCTTGCCATCCATGGAAATTCGTTTGATTTCGTTGTTTGCCCTCCTACTATTCTACTTTCTTCATTTCTCACTCCACAACCTGGCAAAAATTTAATTTGACAAATTTATTAATGGCAATCATTTTTAATAGATAATTGATGATGTTTTTAGATGTCTAACAAGTCAGACTTACTACAATAGCAAGGACCGAGTGTTGAAGTAGAATTAGGTGGCTTATTACCAAAGATTCCAAAAAAATTCCTTATATGATCGCCAATAATACCTTTTTGCTAAAATAATATTAATGTTAGAAAAGTTAAATAAAAGTTAAAAATATTCTTTTAAATACATACTTCATTTTTAGCTGCTCCAGCAAGTGTTGTAATCAATAGAATAAAAATTAGGCTCTTCATTATGCACAAAACACTAAATAAAATGAAAATAAAGAAAGAAAAAATGAAAAAAATTCCGATACAGAGTATCAAGATTGAAGAATCATGTCTAAACTAAACCAAAGACACCAAGATTGCTTAAAGAAGCTGAAGATGATATTATGGTGGGGCAGGAAGACACGCCTGGACGTCTCGGCGCCAACTGGACACCAAAGACCAGTTCGAGTTCACGTTCATGGACAAATCCTGTCACTGACCGCAAGACTATTCGCACTTTGACGCACGTTGCAATCGTGTTAAAAGTCCACCTTGCTATCATGATTATTTTAACTTCAAACCACGATCAAAAAAATACGTTCATCATGGATATAATTAAATTCGTATTTATATAGATGAGAGACCGGTTTTCTAAGATCATTGCACTCTGAGTTACTTTGAAAACATTCATTTTTTTGCCATCATTCATGATTCAATAATTCATTGGTTTCATCCTTTTAATAGACTTTCACTGAGTCAATAAGGTCTCAAGACTGTTGGATAAACCGTTAAGTCACTATAATATTCAACTCGCACATCATGGTATCTAAATATTGTGCTAAATTGAATTATGGTGTTTCGAAATTTCTCATGAATATCTTCTTTTTTTTTTATTTTTTATCCTGTATCTATCACTCTGATAAAAGAACACGAGTGAGAATTTAGCTAAAAGATTTTAAATAAAAGTTATTTCAAATAAATCTTTTTTTTTAGTGTGTAATAAAATGAATAATAGAAAAGTTAATATAATTAAACAGTGATTGTATATTGTTTTATTTACATTTTTATTATTACATAACAATAACTTTCTGTGTCCATGACTGTTTACAATAAAAATACAAGTATTCAATTATAAAAACAATTAAAGCTATAGCCAATCCAATACCTAACATTATGAAAGCAAAATCTAAACTCTTTAAATCAAGAGCACGAATATAATTATCACCTTTAGCAGTGTCCATTTTTATCGAAATTATGAATTCATCATATTTCTTTTTCGAAAATATATTGCTTAAACCACATTCCATCATAATCATGTAAAAATTATTAAAACGTTGGTTTAGATTCCAATTTTTTCGCATAAGATGGGTGTAAAATCGTAAATTAAATGGATATTGATTACAATGTAACTCACTTATAATAGAAGATTGTAAAAGGTAATTATAATTATCTATACAAACAACAGATGCATTATCTACAACCATACTCACACAACTATTTTGATTTATAACGTAAACTATTTTTTTTATTAAAGTAGGATCTATGATTATACTTGCTCCTAGACCAGTAACAGCTATTTCTTTAAAAATAGGATTTTTTAGATCATCAAGAGTTTCGGGAAGCTCTCGTAGTTCAGGTTTAGTCAGAAATTCAGCTAAATGTCCACTAAATGTTGCATGAATGACCAAAAAATATAAAAAAACCATACTAAAGAATACTTTTAACGATAATTTATCTATTTCTGCAAAAATGGATGCATTTATTAACAAACGAACAATGTCAAATGCTGCAGATGTTCGTTTATTTTTCTTGCTAGAAAACCAAATAACAAAAAAAGTTAATGATAGTATAAGTGTCAAAGAAATTAATATCCAAATTCCATAAAAATCTTGAATTTTTTCTAAGGGAGTTTTAAAACCTCTCTTATGAGTTAAGATACCAAAGCTTGTCCAGCTAACTGGAAACGTATTTTGAAAGGACCATCTATGAACATAATTTACCATTGTTGGAATGAAATTAATTTTTAGATTTTTGTTTTCATGTATTGAATAAAAAGCATCATATAATTCTGAATGATTCTGTTCAGATGTGGTTTTAGGTAACTCGAGTGTAAAAGTCTCAAAAACTACATTGAGTGTTTTTTCTATAAATTCTTTCCTTTCTCTATCTTCACTATAAGTAAACATTGGAATATCACTTGCATCATTAAAGATTGGGTTTCCCGCTCTTATAGGATACTTATTCAAATATCTAGTTCGGTCAAAACTAAATTCATCACAAAGCGTACCTATATTATTGTAATAAAAATTTATATCAGTTCATAAAAACAACTGGAAAAAAATCTGTATAAAGTTACCTTTGTTATACAAACGATGATAAAGAACCCAATGATCTAGATTGTCTTTCAGAAAAAAATTGATTTAGCAGCTTCATTATGTTTCAATATTTTTTAAACAATTCAACTTATAATATAATTAAAATATATTTACCTGCTGATTGATCTCTATGTTCATATTTTTCCCAAGGGTAAGGAGCATAATCAGTGAATGGATTAAACGTATAGACTGAATGTTGTCCTTTAGAATTTTTACAAACATAATAAGCTTCTAATAGCCCAATGCTATTAATCACATTAAAACTTTCGAATGCTCTTGTACAATTGGTGTTTGATTCATCAAAAATGTAAAATGGAATCATAATATTCCACCAGGATGTCGAACCAAAGTTGAGGAGAACTTGTTCCAAGTTATCTTTTGAATGTGCAATTAAGATAAAAGCATCTATTCTTGACTCAAACAATTTCTTTTCCATTTTTATCATTAACATTTCATTCAAATATATAACAGATGAGAATAAAGAACTCCAAAATGAATTATTTAAAATGTCTTCACTATCATTTTCATGATAATACAATATACTGTAATGTTCTTTCTTGCAGGATGTAAATATTTCAACCTAATCAAGTTAAATTAAAAAATAAAAAAATTTTTTTTAATTATTTACTTTTTTACACCAACCATAACTTTGCTGAATTCAGATGATTTATTAAAACTCATAGTTTGGAGAGTTTTAGAACTTCCAATTACTGGTGAAAATTTAAAGTAAATAAAAATCAACAAATATACACATTTGTGATAATTATCCATTTTATTGATTTTGCATGCTTTAATAAATATTAAAAAATTATATTTTATATCCTTCTTAGTTGTTATTGGAAGAAATTTTTAATAAACTACTACTGATTGAGTAATCCACATGCTCAACTATGGCCAACAGTACAATCATTGATGACTAAAATACTCAACTATTCAATTGAAATAATACTTGGTCAATTTTTATAATTTTTTTCCACACGCTAACATTATTATACAGTTCAATTTAAGGAATAACAATGTATAAACTATCCTAGGATAATTGATACTTGGTATTGAAAAATAATAATGATGTTGAATAATAAATGTTTGTTCTAGTTTATGTTCACTGATAAATAGATTGAAGAGTTGAATATTCAAAGCAAAATAAATTAGAATAAATAAAACATTGAGGTAATTCAAACCATTTATTTATTTTACAATAAAATTTTGCAACAAAAAGCTTCTTTGGAAAAAAATTGATTATTGCTAACTTTGAGAATGCTGATATCTTCAACAGTTTTATTCACATTCACTGATATCTACTTTATGAGTATTTGTTTTTGTATCAACTGTTCAATACAAAAGATAATTGTGGCAACAATCCATCCAGCTCCTAATATCAAGAACCCAAAATTTACAGACTTGATATCAATAGGTCGAAAATAATCATCTGTTTTAGCATTCATTACTTTAATCTGATTTATAAACTTTTCATACTCTTGTTTATAAAGTGTCTCGCCAATGCCGTTTTCCATCAGCCTGATATAAAAATTATTGATACGGTGATTGAGTTTCCAACGTCTTCGAATTAGATAAGTGGTATATCGCAAACCAAATGGCAGTTTATTGATGTGCAAATTATGAGTAAATGTTGTTTGAAGTAAATTGTCATATCTTTCAATACATACAACAGAAGAATTTTTTAAAACTGCATCAATACATTCAACTGGATCTACAAAAACAATCATCTTATCAATTAGTACTTGATCTGTTAAAATATTAGCTCCTAATCCTGTAACTGCTATTCCTTGATACTTTGGATCTTTCAGATCCTCAAGGGTTTCAGGATGATCCTGAAGTTGTGGTTTAGTTAAAAATTCAGCTAGATGTCCACTGAATGTTGCATGAATGATCATAAAGTATAGAAAAACCATACAAAAAAATATCTTACGTGGTAGTGTACTGATCTCTATGAATATTGATGTATTTATTAATAAACGAAGAATTTCAAGTCCAGCAAATCCCTTATTTTTATTTTTAGCCATCCAAATAACTAAAAATGTCATTGAAAGAATAATTATCATAGAAGTTAAAATCCAAATTCCATAAAAATCGCGTATTTTCTCCAAGGGAGTTTTATATCCTTTATGCTGTGATAAAATACCAAATCTAGCCCATTTTATTGGAAAAGTATTATCGTAAGTCCACTTGTCAAGATAATTCACTTCTGTTGGTATAAGATCAACAGGCATAAAACTGTCATGAAGATGTTGAAAGTATTCAAATAGTTCAGTAAAATTAGTAAAAATAGAAGAATATGGTACATCAATATGTTGTGGGTCAAAAACAACATTTAAAGTTTTTTTTAGATCTTGTTTATCTAAATAATTATCATCTTTATATGTAAACATTGGAAATCTTATGGATGCCTCTGGATTTGAAGCTGCTCCTACTGAAGGTACTTGAATTCCGAGTCGAATTGGGTATTGATTGAGAAACTTAGTTCGATCAAAATCAAATTCGTCACATATAAAATCTGTATATTGTGCATGAGATATACATTTGATTAGAATTTATCAAGTAAATACATTCACTATAATCATAACATACTACTTATATCAATATTGAGATTGAAAAAGCTTCATGAATTATAATAAATTTATTTCAGCAAGATTTAGAATTATTTACCTGCATTGTATATTCTTTCATAAAGTACCCAATTATGTGGCCTTTCGTATTTCGCTGAGGAAAAAATATAATACTACAGATTTATTTGATTATGTTGATGTAAAATTGAATTAAATATATTTCTTTCAATCAAAATCTTACTTATATCAAAGTCAGGACTCCAGAGGTCGACTTTTTTAGTCGAATCATCTTCACGTCTGTGATATTTAGTCCATAATGAAGGAGCATAATCAGTAAAAGGATTACTAGTGTAGACTATAAACTCCATCATTGCATTCTGACAAATAAAATATGCCTTCAACACTTCAGTGAGATCAATCCATTTGAAAACATCATACACTTTTGAACAGTATGTATTAGATCTATCTATGATATAGAAAGGAATATAAAATTCCCACCATGGTACAGATTTGAGAGTAAATATAAAATATTGCAATTCATCTAATGAATAACCGATTATTAAAATAGCATCAACTTTTGTTTCATATTGAACTGTCGTTTTGTTTATTATCGATCTTCCATCAAAATTTACAATAGATAAATATTTATGAGTCCATAAAATGTCTGGTACTATTTCATCAAATCCTTCAAGTTGATATATTAATATATTTTTATAGTTTGTATTGCATACTTTGAATATTTGGATCTTGAAAGAAAAACTCTGTCAAAAAAGTACTCTTAAAGAGCTTAAAAATTGACAAATCACTGAAATCTATTTTTAGTTGCTCCCAAAATATAATTAGTACAAAATTGTGATTTCTTTAGTGATTCCCCAATTATAAATTTAAACGAAAGATACAAAAAATACTAAGCATCTTTCACCTTACCAGAACATCATTGACGGTGACAGTTTGATAAAAACCACTACGTATTTTAAATTTACTAAAACTCATTGTATTGTTCACTAAAATGAACCATATTGAAAATTTTAAAGAAATCTTCATTTTAATAATCTTCTATTTATAGAACATTCATTAGATTCTATGAACGTTTAATCACATTGTTAGAATACAACTGTAGTGTAAACCTAATGTTTTTCATTATGAAAATAGGTGATCATTCATCGTATTACCACAATGATATATTCTTTGATAGAACCCTTTGACGATTATTAATCGTATAGATTATCTAAATGCCATGACCTTAGACAACATAAATACAATGTATTATCAAGTTCATTAGTTAATGAGTACACGAGTTAGAAAAATTTATCATAGACATGTGATCAGTTTAATAAAAAATCAACATTGTGATCTATGCAGTAAATAAATAAGTAATAACAACCTGCTCTAATTAGTAACATTTAAAAAACTCATTAGTTTATTTTATAAATAAAAAGATAATTTTAGACTATATTAATTATAAGTAATAAATTATGTTCTCTAATAATGCTCTAGAGTTTACTGTAATGATTACAGTAAATTAAAAGAAAGTAAGACTAACCAGCTGGTATTTATCAAGTTGTAATAAATACAGGTATTTTACTTGTTTATTTTTTTGATAGTCTCTAGTGTTGATCATCAAAGTTTATTAGCAACTCTCTGATAGAACTTTCTTTTATGGGAATTTCCTAATAGTTTTAGATAGTTTTGGAATGACATATTTCAACGATTTTTTAGTGAAACTGAAATTATCTTGTAAATGTAAATGAGTAAAGCTTTTCATGTTTAAAAGTATTACCTTAATAATTTATTGATCCTAATGAATATTAATCAGACAACATATCTTGTTAAAAATAAATTTTTAATAATTATTATTTGATTTTTTCATGATAAAAATAAATGCTTTACATAAAAAATGAACTTGTTTATAATTTGAATGTTTACACTAGTGTTTTCTTAATATTTACAATACTTGACCTACTTATGTACATATAAAATTAAATATCTAATGATGGATCACAAAAAAATTTATTTGCATAAGCAAGTATTCTCCATGTTGGTATTAATCCAATTAAGGTATCTTGAAACTCTTGTATACACACCTGGATATCCAGGTCTGCCACAACCTACCCCCCATGAAACAATACCTAAAAATTGAAATTAAAGTTACTTTCATCTAAATCAAAGATATTTTTTCAGCTTTCATTTATGTTCAATAATTATGCACAATAATTTACCTGCTATTTCAATTTTATCACCTTCTTGCACAAGTAATGGTCCTCCACTGTCTCCTTGGCATGAATCTTGGCTTCCTTTTCCAGCACAAATCATGTTTGGAGTAATTCTGTTTGCTTTATACTTCATTTTTCTACATTGTTCTAAACTAAAAATCGGTACTTTGACCTCATGAATTACTCCTGGTAGCATACCACCTTCCATCGTTCGTCCCCAGCCTACAACTGTTCCTTCTTTCCCAGCTGGATCAGATCCTGTTAGAAAAATTGATAAGAAATGTCAATTTATTCAATTGCAATGGATATCATAATTCCATTTACAAAAACAATGAATAAATACAATGAACTTGAATAAAAGAAAAATATTTATTTCAATTATAATTCATTCTTACCCGTTTGAGGTAAACAAATGGGCCTTATTGTCTTGGTGAATTCAACAGGCTTACGTAATTTCAATAAAGCCACGTCATGATTATATGAATTAAGATCGAAATTACGATGACGAACAATTGCACTGACAGCTCTCATCACTGCTTTAGCTTCCAGATTAGTATGCTGGTCATGATCTCCAAGAATAATTCGTAGTTTTGATCGTTTCAATCTTCAACAAAATTATTAAAAATCTTTTATTCCATTTATTTAAAACTCATTTGGAAAAACATTTACTCAAGCATAATTAAAAAATATTTCTTCTATTTGTATCACCAAATTGATTTTTGTTTTTGCTAAAAATTCTTTTACTCTAAATCATTTTTAAAGACATATTTATTGCTAAGGACTGAAGTCTATAAGTATCAATAGTAAACGTACCTGCGAAGACAATGAGCAGCTGTCAAAACATAATCATTCGTCAATAAACTGCCACCACAATGAAACCGACCTTCATAAACCAGTCTAGCAATCCAAGGGTAACGGTGAGGTTCGGTTGGTCTCCCTCCAACGATCCGATCCTCCTGGCTATAAACTCCACACTCTATATTACATAATAGAACCAATTATTGTCATTTTTCCACCATGAAAAAAAAAGAAGGTCAAATTCTACAACTTATTTTTACCACAAGTACAATTCCTAAGTTTTTCTTCAGTGCCATCATTATCACCTGCGGTGACGTCAATTCCGAAAATCTCATCAAAGAGAAATCGACTTGTACGATTGTTCTGATGACATAAGTAAAAGTAGTAAGTATTATTTTGCAGTTAATGGTGTACTTATAGAAACAAGAATATACAAGAATTGTATAAAAATGTATGTCATGGCTTTACTTGACTAATTTTGAATTTTAATCCATCTTTTTTATTTGACAATTATTTCATTTTTTTTTCTACAAAACCACTCAATAACAATTAAAAAATTAACTCATCCTAATTGTTATTTTAATTTCAAAAAGACAAGAATTTTTATTCAAAAAAAAAAACTCACTGTAGAAACCTGTGGTTGATTTGATGGCAACATAACTTGAGGTAAGGATATTGAACTTGACATTAAAGAAAAACATGTCAATAATAAAATAACAAATTTATTTAGCATTATTTCACTTCAAATTATTCACAATTATCTCTTCCCTTTCGTTTTTCACAAAACTTTCTCTCTCCTGACACTCTCAACACTTTTGATCCTCTTCAGTGTTGCATAATAAATCCTATTACAATCATTGATTTATTTTCTCACTCAATTTTTGATTGATTCCAATCACTGGAGAAAAAAATAACAATTATACTTGGACCAATAACCCGGAGGCTTTCTCCAGTAACGTTAACTAAAGCAAGACTGATGCTTGGTGCTTGACGCGGCCTTGATGAAAGTTCTTTCTCCAACCGGATGCCAACTACGACTCGTCCTCCTGCCAGCAAAACTGTCAGTTTATGGGAGTGGACTACTAGAAGAAAATGATAAATATTCTCCCCTCACCTCATTCACTTTTACTTTGAATTCATATTTACCATAACGAAATAATTCAAAAGAGAAAGAAAAATAAAACGAGATTAAATTGAAATAAAACAAAAAAAAAAAACACAAAATTACCTACTTATTTTTTTCAAACTTTCCCTTTAATTTCATAACAAATATATCAAGCATTGATTACTCAAAATTTCTCTCCTTAAAAATTGCAATGATTCACTTATTTTATTGTTATGGATTAAAAAGTGTAAATTTTTAATAAAATATTTATCAATATCGAATTAGTTATTAATTGTAAATTAATAAAAATTATAAGTGTAACGGTTGGATGGTTTCACTAACCTAGATTCATTAGTTGAAAGCAAAACGTTTCTGTATCATGACCCGATTACTGATTCGAGGTATAATCTTGAGGTCATAAATAATTTTTCATTTTCATTATGAAGTTTTAATTAATTAATAATCAATAAACAATTAATAATTAATAAACAATTAACAATCACAATAAAAAATATCTCTTATATTCTTAAATGTTATCTAAAAAATAAGGACTAGATCATGTTGCTTAAATAATCCATCATTTACTTAAACTATTTTCAAATTAATAAGATGGTGGACAAATGCATTCTCCACCTAAATTGTCTCTCAGCCAGCCTAGATAATTCGTCAATTTCGTATAAACTCCAGGATATCTTGGTCTTGCACATCCTCGTCCAAAAGACGTAATTCCTATGAAGTAATGTAATTAGTTTTTTTTATCCAAGTTTATTATATGTTGACAAACATATTAATTTTCTTTATTTACCAATCACTTCTTGTTGTCCTGATGGCCCTTTAACTAGAAGTGGACCCCCACTGTCACCCTAGAAAGAGAATAAGTTATTTTGATTAAAAAGTAGGCTAGATTTATTAGATATATCAAAAGAAAAATTCATATCTACCGAACAAGCATCTCTTTCTCCTTCTAAATAGCCAGCACAAAACATATTTTCAGTTCTTCGAGATTTTTGATAACCAGCTTCATCACACTCTTCATCTGACAGTACAGGTACTTTGACTTTCTGTAATGTGTTACTTATTTCCCCTCCTTCAGAAGTCTTACCCCATCCAATTGCTGTTGCTAATGATCCGGTGTAATCAATAGCTTCTGAAAAAATATTTTAAAAAATTAGTCAATCACTGATCGAATCATTTCAATGTGTATTTTTTTTCTAAATATTTTTTGCAATTCTTACGATTTTCAGGAAGGCATGCAGTTTTTACTAGACCTTCTAGAGGTACAGGTCTATCCAACTCTACGATAGCAATATCATTATTAAGATTATAGATGTTGAAGTCAGAATGAAGGGTCCAGCTTCTCACACGTCTTCTAATAATGTCTGGACTGCTTATATCAAGCTCTGGATTGCCCATATAAAGCTCAAAGAATCTTCTATCAAATCTAATCATGTGAATGTTATTAATCACAGTATTCCATCACTGTCATCAAGAGATTGCGGTAATCTCAGAAGTAAACTCACCCTTCCAAACAGTGAGCCGCAGTTAGGACGTGCCGCCGAGTTATCAAACTTCCACCACAGTGAAACTGACCTCTTTTTGTCATCCCAACCATCCAAGGGAATTCTCCAATTGCTGCTGTTGTCCCTCCTACTATTCTGCTCTTCCTTCCAGCTCCACAGACTGATGTGGGATTAATTAATGCATCAATTAAATGAATTATTCATTCATTGGTGGAATTTATGTTTAAAAATGAAATATAATCTTTACCACAATCATTGCAAACATTCGGCATTTTTGGATAAGCCATTTTAAGAGGGTTTAGTCTAAATGTATCATCGTCTACTATTGGTAACTCTACTTCTTCTTCTGATGTAAAATTGTATCGTGACTGGAATTTTGAATCCGGCGAAGTGGCCCAGCTATTGCGTTTCTGTAGATAAAAAATTTACATAAAAATTTAGAATTAGATTAAATATTAAGTAACAATTTTGCAATAATTTTTAAGTTTGAAATTGCTTCCAAAACTTTTTTGGCGAATTTTTTCAATCTTTAAATAAAAATTTTATTTAATCGAAAGTGACTTTGATTAAATTTATTTAATTAATAATCAAGATATGGTTATTGGTGAAATTTCGCCAACAATTAAGCTGTTTTAGAAACTTGAGACAATTAGTTATCATTAATGAATGTTAATTGATCTAGTCCAGTGTAACATTTTTGAATTTCACTAAATTTCACTTAATATTTTTCACTTTTTTTTCATCCCCCAACTCGTAATCCGACTTACCACACGTGGAAGAGCTGTGGAAATGTTGATAAAATAAACAAAAAATCCGAGAAAACATATCACACTCTTCATGTTGATGAAAATATGTTGGCAGAAGCTGGGCCAAAAATCAAAGACTTCGCCGGGTCTCCACTACGTTTGGAGATTCGTTGGCGGTTAAGTAAAGGTTCAAGTTTGTTTTGCCGTTTTATAGTAAATTATAACTAATAAAGGTATAATGGTGGGGTAAGAGTTACCTTGGTCGGTGCGTTTGCATTGGCAGATGTACCGTCAGGCTTTTAAATCATTCGTTGTAGTTGTTTCAGCTTACAGCGTGTTGCAATTCTCGACCACCTCCCTTTGTAATCCACCTTCCCTTCCTTTTTCTGTCAACTCTGTATGAGCTCGGCCCACAGATCAATGTCAATTTCGTAATTGAAAATGAAAGTTGCATCTCATTGGGGATCCTCTTCATTTCATGCATTGTCAAGGAAACTTATCCCACCTTTCTTCCATGATTCATTGCTGCTTTTATTATTTTCCTCAAGGATTTGTCCTACTCTCTTTCTAACACCTTTCGTTATCACCGGAAATGTTTACATAACTTCTCTCCATTATTAACAACCGTGATCCCATGACATAATATTCTGTTTCTTCAGCTAATTTCTTTTGACAAAAAATTTTGTAATATAAAAAAGGAGTAATTAGTCAATGAAATATTCACTTCATTCAGAGTATTGTAGAAAAAAGTTATTTTCAAGATAATGACTTTCTGCTCTGTAGAATGAGTTGCTAATTAATAAAGTTATTGAATAGCTGGTTCAATTGAATATTAAAATGATGTCAAACTGAATTGACCTTGTCAAATAATTTATTTTATCTCAAACCAGACATTTGACCTTGAGATAGATCAATAATGTAATAAGGTAGTGGAGTATCATCATACAGTTGACACCCGCATGAGGGCAATGTGACCTAGATACCTTGGCCCACTGTCTTAGGTCTTGAACCATCTTCAAAAGGTGTCACTATTTTTGAGTTTTATTTTAATTAACCATTTCATTTGTAATTGAGTTTCTTAACTCATAAATGTTTTTATGTCATTGCTAAAAAGCATGATCAATAAAAAGGTGTTGGATTCATTTTTCAAAAGTCGCTTTTATGTTGATTTTGGAAAGAGTTTTCAGTTGGTTATAGTGTTTAGGCCATAAAGAATACTTCCGGATTATTAGCAGAAAAATTAACATATGGCTAGCCTAAATTTTAACCTGTTACTCGTCAGTCCACTATTCCGTATAAATGAAGATGTGGCACAGGTGAGCAGGTCTTGTGTGAAAGTGTCCGTCGAGTTGGTAGGCTGAGTTTACAGTTTTAAGGAAGATTACATACTTTTAGTTATTTAATAGACCAATAATACAGTGATTAGTTGTGTAGTTATATAAATAAAAGATATAAAAAAAAATACATGATAATGAAGTGGTTTGTGATGAATATAGTGTTGAATCTTATGATCGTGGTAAGGATTGATGCAAGTTTTTATTTCAAAGTCACGGATCCATCGATAAACTTATCGGGACGTTCTAGTTTCATCAACTGGAAAAAGGATAAATCACTCAGCCTTGGAGATCTAGGGCTGTTAAATTTGAAGGTAACAATGCTTTTATCAATTCTTAATAATATTAGCAAATAATATTAATATCAAATGACCCGGATTTTAAGACTTGTTATCATTACCCATTTCTAATTAGGACAATTATATGTTGTAAAAAATTAACTGATAATAAACCAATAAATCAAGTTACATGGAAATTAGGTAGAATAAATTCTTGATTCAAGATGTGAACAGATTATCAGATCAAATATTATATTATATTCGATGGATTTATAATTAATATTCCAATATTTTATCACTGAATAATTAATTAATTGAATTAATTGTGATTTTTAAAAGGATAACCTTTTTCGGTTTCCAGAATGAGCAGAATAATACAAATACACCTGTTAGACAATTGACAACGAATGAACCAATAACAGATAAAAATGGCCATCAAACCACAGATAAAACTTTATTAGAGTGGATTCAGAGTGTTGTAGGAACCACGACAGCTGCACCAATATTAGCTTCTCCAGAAGAGTGTTCACAATGTAGTAAATATTGATTTTCATTGATCTTAATAATAAAATTATTTATTTATCTAACATATTTTTGATAACCGAAATGTTATGAACAGAACAATTCAAAAATACTATTGTTAGTTTTAAAAAATAGATTAATATTTTTTTTGATAAGTATTAGTTTTTCTTCATTTATCCAAAAAGTAGATATAGATTTATAATTGATTATCAAAATTTTTTTTTAAAAAAAATTTTTCAAGCTAATCAATTTTTAGAAATATTCTTAATCTAATGTCATATTCTCATCATAATAGATGACTTGGGTATTATCTACTTATAAATAAAACACCACTTAATCTTTTCTTTACCAACAAAAATGCTGAATTCCAATAGAAACTTTCTTACCAATAATGGTTAATCATCTAATATACAAAAAATACAAAATTTCATGGCTGTAATATTAAGTATGTCGAAAATAACTATGAGACCTTGTACTCATAAAAAATAATAGTAATAATTAATCAAATCAGGGATTAAGTAAAGACTAGACAAATATATAAGTGTAATCTGATTATAGACATGTTTTGATAAAATACTTTTTGTTTCACATGTTTTTGTCATAAGATGTGCTGATGATAAATTTTAACCTAAAACCATTTTTAAGAGAATCTACTGTCTTAGATATTTTCCTTCAGGACAAACAGACCTGACAATTTTTTGCTCCAAGTGTTGTGAAACACTAATTTAATTTTAATAACAAATATTATATCTTTTAAAGCAGTGATATAATTCTACGACTTGCACATCTGTTTTATCAAATAAACTCAATATTTAATTTTCAAAAATGCTAAGATTAAAACTTTTAAATATTGAAATATTCAAAAAACTTCCCTTCAGCAAAATGATGGTAAGATTCAGTAGCATGGTTGGAATAATTTTTTTTCTGCTGATTTTTACTATTGATTGGTTGATAACATTGTTTTCTTGGAAGTAAAAAAATGTTATTGTTCATCGATTTTAGCATGAGAGATAAAATAAGTAGGCATCATGATCTACAGTTTAGTTACTGACCCTTTTATAGTCTTTTTGTGTTAATATGTATTATTGTTCATAAGTAATTGGTTCATAACTAAGATAAAAAAAAACAATTTCTTTAATAGAATGTGGAATGCCCAACAATCCAAATCGAATTGTCGGTGGTCAAGATGCCCAAGTACTTCGATACCCTTGGATGACTTACTTAACTTATAAAGGAAAGTTCTACTGTGCAGCTACAATAATTAGTGATCGATATTTACTGACTGCAGCACATTGTGTGGATCGGTAAAAAGATTATTATAACGGATCGTAAAAAATTGGCTCTTATATAAGCAAGCATCAAGTAATCAATCATTTCTTTGATTTCTTTTAGGTTTGATAAATCACAAATAAGAGTAAAAGTAGGTGTTCATAAGAGAAACAGTACGTCAGGATCTCAAACTGAATATCGAGTGCAGACTATGATGAAACACAGTGGATACTCGCTTCAAAATTACAATAATGATATTGCATTAATCAAAATCAAAGGTATAATAAAATTTGAAGGATCAATGAGGCCAGTATGTCTTCCAGAGAAGGGAAGCTCATTTGCTGGGAAAAATGGTATTGTTACTGGTTGGGGAGCTATAGAAGAGTCCGGATCACTTTCTAATACATTACAAGAAGTAGTTGTACCTATTTTGAGCAACGCTGAGTGTCGTGCTACTAAATATCCATCAAAGAAAATTACAGATAATATGATCTGCGCAGGTTTTATTGAAGGAGGCAAGGATTCATGTCAGGTAAATTGTTTAGATAGGGTCAATATAGGGGAAGCTGAGATAAAGTGAAAGTGGAACACCAGGATGGTGTGCAAAATTGGAATATTTATTTAATATCTGACATTGAATGCCATTTTTTTACAAAAAAGTTTTTCTTCTCTCTTACAAGTATTTATATTTAAAAATCTGTTATAGTTTATTTTTTATTGACTTGATTCACCTACAACTTTGGAGCAAAAAGAGACAGATAAGTGAGCAAGATTGAAAGCGTTTTATTTAAAAGAATATCTCAAATCATTTTTCTTCGATCAAAAGTTTTCTATCCAATTTTTTCGGTTTTAAAATAAATTAGACAAGAAGAAAAAGATCTTTTAATTTGAGATGAATTTAAATAGCTTTGGTGAAAATAAATGTAAATGTACCAAGAAAAGATCATCTAAACTACTCTAATAAATTATAAGACGACCTCGGATGTTAGTACAGTAATTTAAAGTGACTTAAAAAAGTATTCAATCTACTGCCTTTTTTCATAATAACTAAGTTTAGAAAAAATAAATGAGTACTATATATTTACTATTAATTTGAATCTTCTATTAATGTACTCAGTTTTTTGAACCATTGTTCATTAACGTACCATTCAATATTTGATGTAAAATAATCATGTCAATCGATCATCATCAAAAAATGCCATGATATAAATGATGAACTAATAACTGATGGGTTAAAGAAGAACTGTAAATCTCTTTTTCATGTTGAAAAAATCAGTTACTTTTTTTTATATATTCTTTTAGATTTAGATTCTTGTAGATTTCTTATCAAATGAAGCATTAGTTGAAAGAAACATATAAATGTTTGGAATTCTATTGCTATAATTTATAAGTTCCGTTTGTATAAGAAAAAGAACTATTTGGTCTGATACTTGAAAAACAATTTCATCCAAGCCGATAAAATTGGTTTTTTCTGTGTAGCATAGTAATTGTTTCTATTCTTTACTCTTCGTGCATAAGAATTTATTTGGATAAAAGATTGAAGAGCTTTTACATTTTCTTTCAATTTTATTTCTTATGTTGTAAAATACATTATTAGAGTATCATTCATCATTTCAATTGAAAATTAATTCAGCTTAAATTTATTTTTGATTTGCATCTAAAAATAACATTCTTAGAATTTTTTGATTAAGTGAATCGATTTTCTAGGATTAGAATTTTCTGAAAAAGTGTGAAATCACCTAGATTATTTTTTCAGCAAACCAAATGTCCAAACAATGTGCTAAATCAAATTACTCTGCTCTTTTACAAGTAATTAGTTCCATCAGATGTTGACTTCAATCAAACTAAGAAACTTATCAAAAGAAAGACCAATAAATCCCTTAGAAACTAATGGCAATAAATTTTTTAATATTTAACTTTATTTCAGCTTACTCTATAATTTATATCGAATATTTTCATAATTTTTAGTAGTGAAAGAAAAATTTCTCTTCAAGCAATCATTTATTATCACAAAGTGATGTCTCTTCACTTGAATACACTCATGTTATTGGTTTTCCTCGACTATTAATCTTTGAAAATTTTTAGGGTGACAGTGGAGGGCCTTTACATGTCCTGGACAACCAAATTTACAAAGTAGTAGGTAAGATAAAATTATTTCAATTCTATCGAACGCAAAAAAACTTAACCCAATAAAATTTCCTATAATTTGCTTATGACCAATAAGATCTGATGAAACGTGCTACAAATTTTCGTATCTCTTTCCCTCAGGTATAGTATCATGGGGTGAGGGATGTGCCGTTCCTGGTTATCCCGGAGTTTATTCTCGAGTCAATCGATATATAACGTGGATAGAACGAAATACAAGAGATTCTTGCTTTTGTTGACACTTGATAAGTAATAAAAAAAACTAGTTTTCAATTAAATTATTATTTTATTGATTTATTTATCTTTTTTATTTATTGTATTCTTAATTGTTACAAGCATATCAAATATAAACAACATTGAGGCACAAATGGTAGTTGAAATTTTTACTTTTTTTTTAAATTATTATTCTTTGGAGAATTCTTGTTCTCCGATAGCCAATAGGTTTCCATATTTCCTTTGCCCTAAAAAAAATTCCAATCATCATAATTTTGCTAAAACAATAGAGAGAAAAGCCTACAAGATAAGAATTTGTCCATTACTTTGACCCAAAGAACACCTCGAGACTCAGTGTGATAACGATCGACTGGAAGAAGTGCTTTTGTGTCCGGTGAAATGTGAACTTTTCCAGGCTGTGAAGTTAATTAATTTTTCTATTATTAAAATTTTTTTCTTCCATTTCTTTATTTGAATTTTGCATATTTTTCCTTTGAGTATTTCATTTCACATTCTCGCATATAAATTAAAAATTTTCTTCTATTTCGATTTTAATAAAATAAAAATCGACCATTTTATTTTCATTCAAATAATCCAATGGCAAATAAAATAAATCAATTTAATAAAATAAGTTTAAATAATTTATGGAAGGTGAAATTAAACATAAAAAACATTAGAACTGATAGGGAATAAAATAAACTTGCAACAAATTTGTATTAAAAATAAATAAATAATTGTAAGACACCAATAAATTACCAATCCTGTTGTTTGCATTCGTGAAGCTGTGTTGACAGTATCTCCAAAGAAACAGTATCTAGGTACTTTAATGCCAACGACACCAGCTACAGCCGGACCTGAATGAATACCTATACATAGAGAAGAAAGAGAATCCATTAAAGTGTGGAGTCAATTTCCTTTTAACGAGCTCTTTCAAAGCTATATTTTTACCTATTCTGATTTGTATATCGATGCCAGACGGTAATTTCAGAGAGCGTACACAGTTGATGAGTTGTAGTGATACGTCTGCTATATTTCTGGCATGATCTTTTGTACGATCTGGAGCACCACTTGCAGCCATATAAATACGCCCAACAGTTTCCACCTATGAAATCATAAATGCATTCATTAGTTTTATTACTATTATTTATTTCAATTAAATAAAACTTGTAGTTGTTCATTAGTTAATATCAACACTTCCTTCAATGTTGATCTTTTTTTCAAGTTACAAAATATGAGAAAAAGTTGCTTCAAAGTGTTATTAATATTCAAGAACTAACTTGTTTAAAATTCGATTTCCTCAGAGAAAATGCCTTGAATGAAAACAGCTTAGTTGGCTTAGTTAAATAACTCAGTGTACATGAAAATAATAACTAATTATTTCAAAATTCTTTTTCAAATCTGATCATTGCAATCAAGAGAGCAAATTATTTTATTTAAATTAAAAAATAACAACACAAGACTGTTTTAAAAAATACCAGTAACAACTTTTCTCATTATCTTAATTGACTTAGATGATGATTGATACTAAAAATATGTTGCTTACCTTGTATACATTAAATTTATCCATTAATGAATCGAAACAAGAAAAAACAGCATTCATTGATGAAACAATATCCATAACTCCTTCAATAGTCGAATAATCAAAATCACATAGTTCGCAAAATAAAACTGACATTGATTCAAAAGACTAGAATAAAAAAAATATATATTTCAATTTAAAAATACTCTATTGTGAGAATTGATGGATTAATAAGAATTCAATTGTAATAATTTTTTATTAATTGAATTTTTTGGATTCTTTACCTCACATGTATCAAGTGGATTGACACCCGCTCTCAATCGATCAGCCACCGTTTGTGGAATCATAGAATAAAGTAATTCATCACTTTTATTTTTCCACCGATCAAGAAGTGCATAACTGGTTTCTAATTCATGTGATCGTTGCTCAGCCCTTTCAAACATCATTTCTAATCTATCACAATGTTGCCAGCCAGCAAGAACCATTTCCCGACTCATCCCGTGAGGATTCAGGTCATTTAAATACAAGCCCATGTTTGGAAGCTCGTCAAGACTATTTATTCTAGGAAATCGAACAGTACGTTTTTTATTAAGAATTGAAAACTTGCAGAATATTCATTACTAGATTATGAATATTACTTATTGAGAAAAATGCTTACTTTATCTGCTAATGTATTTTTTGTTAGTCATAATAAATGTTTTTATTTACTTAAAAATAATTTAATTTTAATTTTAATACTCACAATGGACTACATAAAAAAATGATAGCCTTAATATCATCAATGTATCGCATTTGTCCTTTCAAAAGAATACTACGAGCACCTTGGCTTCCTTTCCTATCAAGACCTGAGCTACCAGGATTCTCAGGACATGATTGGGAAGACGAAATCACTTCGTTGGACCTAATTAATTCAAGCTCAAACATCACCGAATATAAGTAGATAACCTGGAAGATAACACCAATAAATTATTTCCAGTCACGTATGTATAAGTATGGAAATATTGGAGAACATAATCTCCACTAAAGCTCACATTTCTCCATGAAAAAGATATCCCTTTAGGCCTACGTAACTTGAAGATTTCACAAATATGTCTATTTAATATAGATGAGTTGCCTCCCCATACTTGCAAAAGTTTTTCTCCTGCTCCTTCGATTCGCATTTCTGAATTCATTACTACACCAAAAGGAAAAAGTCGTAACAGTAGACCACATGATACTGGTGCTAGCTCTTGGCCGATAGGAGTTTTCATTCTATTTGTCTTGGCGACCTAAATAATTAAGGTTTATTTCACTGTAATTAATGATTAACATGAAACATGACATTAGAATTAACATTGTTATTATAAAGAACAGCTTTTCGATTTAAATAATGTATATTCTTGAAAGTTTAATTAATTTTTCTTTTTAAAAATTCATTATTCATTTAAAATGAATAGTTTATTAATTTTCTTAAAACAATATTCCAAAACTTTCTTTAAAAACTAAATAGTTGAACAACTATTTGCCCAAGCATACTGGCTTAAAGACAACTTTTACAAACGGAAAAAAGTTTTAGATAATTATATGCAAAGCTAAAGAATATGAAATTAATTGGAAAAATTTTTTTCATTAAAACTTTACACAACTCACATAATCTCGATTGTCAAAATCAATCCTAAATTTCACCATAACATTTCGAGATCCAGGAATATTGTTTGATGACTCAAGTACTCTAATATCAAGAGTAGTTTCATACAAGTCCTTGGCAATTTGAAAAAGTTGGCCTAAATTAAAAAGAATCATTTTAACCAATACTTGACTATAATCTACTTCAATTAACTAATAATACAATTGGGTTTAATTGATTCTTACCCATAAAATAATGAGTAAAACCTTGTCGCGTGCTTCGATAAATTAAAACAACCCCATGAGGATCGATATGAGTAATATACATCGAGGGGCTTTTCATTTTTGGATATGTAAATCTCATTTGCATGTGAATGTTATCTACACTCTGGAGAAAATCACAAAAATAACGACCAGTTGCTTTAATCATACAATCGTATCTATAAATGTACAAACAAATAGTTTATTATTATTTTCCAACACCACCAGCTGAAAATAATACATAAATTTAATTTTCAGCTTATAACTAATCTATCTTTATTTCCATTCTTTTCTTTTAAGGCAGAATTAATTTAGACATCCTCCAAGTCTAAAACCAATGAACTCAAGCAATGAAGCCCTAATTATATATTAGAGAGAAGGGTTGATGTCAATCGATAACCTTCCGGAAAACTATCAATTGTTTAGAAAATAACAGACAATTCTCAGTAATTAAGAGACTATTGATTTAGTAATTAATTAATAATAAATACTATTATGTGTAAGTATTTATTTGAAAACAATAATTATATATTATGTAAATTTACCCTAAATTACTGAAAAAACGAACAAAACATTTCCCAAAAAAATGCATTGTATTGTTAATCGAAACTCCTGTTTTTTCTGCTAATGCTGCTGCTAAATCTAGGATTACATTGTCAGGATATATTTGTCTTGTATTAAACACTGTAAATTTTATTCCTGCTTCTTGGAGTATCTCTAGCCACATTTCTTCTCCGTATTCCAACTGAAAAAAAATTTAGGAATTAAAGATTTTTTATCAATAAGTTTGATTATTATTTCTTATAGAATCTAATAATACCTTTCAGTATTCTAAATATTATTCAAAAGACATCTAGAATTAGATTCATTCCAATAAAAATTAATTTTTTATTAAAATTTTTAAACAACGAACAGGTGTAAATAATTCTCTAATTTCCTAGTATGTTAGGTTGAGACATTTTGTAATAGAAAAAAATTTATTATTCTCTGTTAATATCCTGCTATAAATGTATTTCATTATACCAGTGTTGTCAATTACAGGAACAGAGATGTATTGGGTTTTCAGAGTGATATACTAAAGATGCCCGTATGATTAAATTATTATACTACTCTTTCTTCTTAAAAGAAAAATTTTAAATAATATAAAAGATAAATTACATAATAATCTTCCATTACAATAATTTAGAGATCTTCAAGTTTTTTTAATTTATATAAGACTGTCTAAACAAAGATATATCTGTAAATTGAATTCAATTTTCTTGAAATGTGAGCAAGTTTAATCATGAAAAGTAAATTCTTTCTAGAGAAATTCACATTTTAATACATTTTATACAAATTCTCTGCTCAATGTGGAGATTACAATTGTTCTTATGAGAATTTAAGCATTAAAGGAAATCTAGAATTTCAACGGATGAGAAATAAATTAAGTAATCACGTGTGCTGAACATTTAACATCACAAAGAAGCTGAAAACTATTTCATGAATATTTCCTTCTTTGACACTACTAAAATATAACTTATTAAGTATATTGTATGTTAATTAATTAAAGAAACAATAATTCTAAAGATTTTACAAAAAAAAAATGACTTTAACTCCAGGAAATGAAATTAATTAAAAAGTTAGAAAAAATTTTAATATTATTTTCAAATTAAAAATAATAAATTGCATATGAAAAATGTATGAATTCAATTAAAATCTCCATACAATTGGTTTGATTACTTTCGCTGATAATTTTATTGTAGTCATTAACGTGACTGAAATTGTTAATCTGATTCTTTAAATAAACTATATGTATAATCAATGAATAAAATGGTCTTGAAGCATAAATATTACTGACTACTTTACAATTGAATAATATGAATGTAAAGGAAATCGAAAATGCTCAAGGTTTTTACCACTTTAACAAATATTATCAACTTCAGTGAAAAGAGGATTACAGCTATCACCATAGATATTCCTATTTTATTTGTTACACATTCAAATCTTTTCTCGCATCTAAATCCTTCGATTAGTCAAATTTCAATGGTATCGACTTTTTTTTCAATCATAAAGAAGATAAAAAATTCGTGATTTACTTCTTTAACACAACAATAAGAATATATCGAGTCTAACAATTTATCAAGCTCAAGACAACCCGGAAGTCTTTTTGCAATCTTTTTTCATTCAAAGTTTGGCAGGTAAGCTCACTAATGTACTTGTACATTTAATTTTATATTTATATTTTTGGTTGTTTATTTACCTGCACAAAATGCTGAACACTTTCCAATAACATTCCATACATTTTTATTTTTTAATAATTTAAACTAAATTTAAAGCAAGAATTATTATTGTGATACTATTTTTAATGCTTTTATTGAAAGTTTAAAAAGTTTCACGTCATGTTCGGAAGAAACTTTTGGGAAAAGCTGGTGTGCTCACTAGAGTTATAACTTTTAATATGATAGTAATTTCTGAGAGAGCACCGTACGTTCAAACTGTGCGGCCGCACGTGAGACTTTGAGTTTCGGGCGAGCGCAAAAGGGAACTTGATTGTAGTATCGTTGCAGAAGGGGTGGTCCAGAACTCTGAAAATCCAAATCCAGTGCGTGCGCACTGAAAAAATCAAGGAAACTTCCCTGACCATATAGAAGTTTTTTTTATATCTTTTGGACAAGTTTGTTTGATAAATACAAATTAGCTTTATTAATTTAATTGTTCAGAAACTGATTCTTTAGACACTATTTCTTTCATTCGACTCAATACTCCAATAGTGTTTTTTAGAACTCGTTGCATTTCGTCTGAAAATTTTATTTATAAAGTTTAGATATCTTACTACTAACTATTAGTGTAAAAGCAACTATCTATGAATAAATAAAAAAATTAAATAATAATAAATAATTCAATAAAAACATAAACATTTACCAATTCTAGAATCATCTTTAATAATCAACGAATTTTCATCGGAATTTTTGTCATCGATCTTAGAAAAATTATTGTTCAAGTTTCTTGAAGTTATCGAGTTATTTTTTTCAGTAATGAAGTTAATATCTTTCATTCGTTGACTAGTTTTCTTCAACAGCGATTTATTAAGTTGAATACGCTTTGATAAAGACGCTAATCGGATCTGCAATGAAAACACTAAGTAGAAAATTTATAAATAAATTAAACTTAAAAAAACAAATTTTGAAAATTAAACTAAATTTTTTTTATCAATCTCTGGTATGCAATAGTGATTATTAAATGATTATTACATCAATATCTGTTGATTTTGACATTTGAGTATCATTTAAATTAACACTGTCATAAGTTCCATCAATATTCGTCAAAAACTTAAATGGCTCTATCGGATTTTCTTTTGCTCGTTTTAATGATCCTCGTAAATCATCTGCAGAAAACGTGTCAATATCATAGATTGACTTTGATACAAGTAAATTTGTGTTAAAATCGTTTTCATCACTATTTAATAAAAATTCATGTTGAGATTTTTTGAATATTATCGATTTGTGCAAATTTTTTATATTAAAACATTTTTTAAAATTATTCTTTTTCTTAGCATCCATAATGAAATATCAAACTTCACTATGAAAACTGCTAAAAGCTAAGCTAACTGTTGTTTAATCGATAATTCGGTAACCTTCATATCAAACAATTATATATTTTTTTGTTGATAATATTTATTATGAGTACACTTATTATATTACCTATAAAATTGTTTATCAACACATAAGATATAAAACTCTCGTCCTATCTAATTTTTTGATAAATCAAAAAAAAAACTCAAATAAATATTTTCCATGAAAATCTACTTCTCTAACACTATTATACATTTTTATTCTAAGTTTCTATAATAAAAATAATTACAGTTATAATAATATTAATTTCATCTATAAATCGACTTGCGTAAAAATTGAAATAATTCCCTGATGTACTGAAAATTTAAATTTTTTTATGTGTTTAGTGAAGTGAAAAAAAGTTGTATCACAGTCTCTTAGAAATAAATGAGCCTGGCATCCTCTGGATTCTGTTCAACAGGGCAGTAGGGGCACTTGAGTCTGGAAACAAAATGGTTCCTTTAAAAAAGTGATTTCGATATCAATGTACTTCTGTTTGATCCTATTCGAACGACTTACTTGTTGGAGCTGGTAAGTTTATTAAGCGCATCTCGGGAAATCACGTGGCCGCAAACAAGCTTCATTGGTGGATTATTTTCTGTACTTTGTTGTCTCAATATTGGACAGGCAAATACTGAGTGATATCTGCTTTGTTTTCCAAGATCAATTTCAATCTGAAAATTTGAAAATATAATGTATTTTTAAGAAAATAAATTTATTCTTTAAATCATTAAATGTTTAATAAATAAAATAGAAAACATACGGGAAGTTCATCTTTTCCGTTCCAAATGTTTGTAACTTGTCTTTGTTGCATTACTTGTTTGATATTCAATAAAGCTGGTAAAGCTGTACATCCTGCATTAACACTAAAAAAAAAAAAGTATTCAATTTATGTCAGAGTTTTTGATTAATAAAAATATTAGAAATTAAAATAAATCTTACCAAACAGATAATGGACTGTCAACACTTAAACCTAAGAGCGTACAAGCCTCTTTGGTAAAGACATCGTGAATATCCAACCATAAATTTGGATCTAACAAATGACTATAAGGAGAAGATTGGATTCCATTTGGTAAATAAAGCAAAGTACCCATTAATGACTGTACTTCTTTTTCATGACGAGATACAAATTGTGTTAAATGTTTTCTTGCATACATAACAGCTTCTGCTTGACTACTTGGACCTTGCTGCACTAGTCTTATAAATTGTAATCTATGTAATTTAAATTCTAGGGATGAATTTTGTGCTAATAATGCATCACGATGATTTTTGGCCCATTCAAGTGCTGGTTCTAAATTTCTCTGTTTTAGGCAATCTAGAATATAATTTAATTCAGTGAAAGGTTCTTTCTTTGAATCGTCAGTCTTAATTCCGGTTTCCTGAAAAACATTAATTTTATTAATAATTAAATAAATATTAATAATTATCTACTGCATGGCTTTTACAATAACAAGAAAATTGTAGGAAAGATTCTACGCCTGTTTCTCTAGTCATAACTAATGCTAATAGGGCATTGCTCTAACGGTACATTCTTACTATGAGAAAATATATCAAGGTACAGTAACACTTCGAAATAAGATTTCTCCAAATAAAAATTGATCGAAATCGAACAATGTTGACAGAAAAAATAAAGATAACATTTTAAATGATGAAACAAATAAAAAATGAATTAATTTTCACAACAAAACAATGTGTTTCCAATCATGTAAATGACATGAAAGTAAAAGTTTTGTAATATGATGAAACAGTATACAACAAATAATGAGACCCACCTTTGCAAGTTCCTCAGCGATGTCTAACATTCCTTGTCTATAAAAATGTTGACAAATAACTTGATTGAGGAGTTGAGTCTTTTCAGGGCCACTAAAGACATCTTCTCTACTGGTACTTGCGAAATCAGCGATAAAATTTCTATCGATTGCTTTGCCAACTTTGGATACTGTACTATGAGATTCACGGTGATCTGTAGCTAAACGCTGAACTGTATCACGGACTTTGCTCATAGATTGTTTCAACATTTGTACTTGACTTGGCGTTAACTCTTGGTCTGGAGGAGCTAAAAATATGATTAAGACAATCATTGACATGGATCCTTTGTTTATATTATTGGTTAAGAGCGCAATAGATTATTTGTACAAAATTTACCTTCCTCCAATTCTCGTTTGATCGTTTCAATATCATTGATGAGATCTCGAAGCACAGCACCAGCTTGATGATTTATATCCGTAAATTTCAATAAAACTTTATCAAGTTCACGTTCGACAGTATTGCAAGCCTCCATTATTGTTTTGTCATTTATTCTAGGATTTTCTTTAGTGACCTGTCATTGTGGGACAGCTTAGCCAACGTAAGAAATAAAAAACTAGAAATACCAAGTGTCGCCCCCTGTAAATAAAATAGGGACTTTGTGTGTTGCGATTGCCGCGCTAATTTTCAACAAAAAAATGAGTTTCCAAGAATTCATCCTATCTCCCATCTCCAATTCGCTTCTGATAGGTATGTCAGTTTGTTTACATTCATTTTGGCATTTATATCAATGCGTAGCATAACGAATTGGAGTTCCATTTTGTTATAAAGTACTTAGAATACGTTTTGATACGTTGTTAAGGTAATTGTACTCCATAATCAATTATTATTTAATAATTTATATCCAATTAATCACAAAAAACCTTTTTTTTGTCAAGCCGGCAAACGTTAACCTTTCCATCTCATTATTTTACAGAATTCAATCTTTAAAGTAAGAATGAATGAAGTAGTCTTACCACCAGCACCAAATTGGTTTAGAAGTACAGCATTTGCTTGTGCCAACGATGGAACGATTGCATGGTTAACAAAAGCAATTATTACAATATCTAAACCACGCAAAGACAGTAAGATCCGTGATTTTCATTTTATTCTTGATACACATGCAAATAGCGCCAATTCAATAGCATTTTCTCCAGAATACGGTAAACCGGAAAAAAATTTTCTAGTCTCTGGAGGTAGTGACAATATTAAAATATGGAATTTAGATACTTATGAAACTGTGCTTACACAAAGCTACTCGAATCCTACTCAAACAGTTATTGGAGTTGATTGGTCTAAATGTGATTCAAATCTAATTTGTAGCGTTACTATGGATGGAACTCTTTTAACATGGAATTTGAATGTGAATTATTGTCATAAGATTCCTCTAGGCAAAGTAACAGCTTCTTGTCTTTCGTGCTGTCCTCATCAATCAAACATAGTAGCTGTTGGATTAAAACTTGGCTTAACTTATATTGTAAATCTTAAAGGTCAAGGTTCAATATCCTATAAAATTCGCACAAGTGATATGGATATTACTAATATATCTTGGTGTCCAACAAATACTAATATTTTTAAAGACAGTTCAACCGATGAATCTCAAAATCATCTTTTATTCGCTGCTGGATCAAAAGGCAAATCTATTTCTATTTGTCGAGCTAGTGATGGCAAATTTGAAAATCAATTTACTTTACCCCCAAATCCGTTGAATTCTGACCATCACAGATCTAAGTTGGGCCCAAAAACGGAGTTATTTACTATAGTTTGCTGGTTAGAACCTAAAATATTATTAGTTAATTCACTTTATGGAGAATTATTATCTCTTGATATAATGCAATCGATGAAAAAACCAAATTGGCGTTTTATTCATGGTGTACATTATAGAGGAATATTTACAATCACTCAAGTTCCAAAACTTACAGTTGATGATCAAGACAATTGGAGAATTCCTACCAAACATCGAGTATGGACTACAGCTCAAGACAGAAAAATTGTCTGTTGTACTATTGAAAATGGACATAGTGAGATAGATTATTGCATTCCAACTCACGCAGGATATATTTATAGTATAGAAGCGTGTCCATTGGAAACGTCTCTAGTAGCTTATGGAGGTGGTGATGCTAACATTAGACTCTGGAATCTTTCAGAACCGCACGATTCAAAATATCATACAACTTTTTTCTGGCAGGGCATAAAAGCAAAAGTTACTAAAATGGCTTGGCACCCAGAATTAGAAAATATATTAGCTTTCGGTACTGGAGAAGGTCGAGTTGGTATACTTGATACGAATTGTTCTTCGAAACCTCCTTTATTATTCCGTCATCATTATTGTAGAACTATTTACTCTCTTGGTTGGGGTCCAAATCCATTGAATGATTCATATACTATTTACGCTTCTACTGGTAATGAATTTTTTTACTACAATTATAGTAAACCTGATGAGAATCCTACTGTTGCTGCAAAAAATTGTACCGAATTTTCTTGGCATCCAAGTTTTAAATGCTTAGCTCTAGGATTTGAGGATGGTACTATTTCATTTGTTAATCGTAAATTGGAACCTTGTGGTAAACCTATTCATTTATTAAAAAAATCTATTACACGTTTGATATGGCATCCAGAAAGCACAACATCAGATCAAGACTTATCTCTAATGAGAAATTACCTTGCTGTAGCTATAAATGATCCGGATATTACTATTTTTGATATGACGCCAATGATAGAACAGTTGGAAAAAGATACCTCATCGGAAGTTAATACAGAAAATGATGATAAAATTGGATATAGAATTGTAGGAACATTGAAAGGTCATGTAGGATCAGTTTACTGTCTTGCTTGGAATCCTCACATCACGGGACAATTGGTCAGCGGTGGATTTGATAGAGTAGCTCATGTATGGAGAATCGATACGCTTCAACTTATTGCATCATATGCCGAGCATTGTGGAGCAGTTTATTCTTGCATGTGGAGCCCATTGAATGCAGATTATATCATGACAGGATCTGGAGATCACACTCTTCGAGTTTGGAAACTTTCTGATCAAAAAATAGTGATTCCGGTGGAACACATTAAAACAAATAAAAATAAAAAAAAGAAATCAAAAGCTAGTAAAGCTATAGTTCTACATCAATCATCTGAATCTTTCAAAATTGAAACTTGTGAGGCTGATAGCACATTAGAAGAACTAATGATGAATGGACATGATAATGGTATAGTTACTTTACAGAACAATGTAAATGGTAAAATTAACGACGAAGAAAAGAAGGAAGGTAATAAAGAGAAGAAGAATAAAAATAAAAAATCATTTTTACCACTTTATCGAAAAAAGATGAATAGAACTGATGTTTTCTTAGATTCTTGTTTAAAGTTAGCAAAAAAAGTTAAAGAGCAAGGAGAAATTCAAGAAACTGACCCCGAATTTGTTTCAATATTTGGAAATAAATCCGATATTTTAACCATATTAAGTGAAGAACAATCTGCTTACAAAGAACAAAATAATTATACTGCGGCTGTTGAATTAAGTATTTGGACAAATAACCTCCGTCAACAGCTCCAAGATGCTGCAAAAGAACGACGATTGAATGATTTCATGGTTTCCTTAGCTCCAATGCTATCAGTAAAAACATGGCAAGAAATGTGTGAAGCTTATGGTAATCAGCTTGTGATCGAATCCAACATTAGTAAAGCTGTAAATTATTTTCTATGTATTCATAAAATTTATCGAGCAATTGAAGTCTTAACAGAAGCAAAGATGTTCAGAGAAGCTTATGTACTTGGTAAATGTAAGTTAGATTCTCAAGATGCTATTTTAAATAATATTTTGACAGAATGGGGAGCTCATGCATTACAAACTGGAAATTATGAAGACGCTACTCAATGTTATATTATTCTTGAAAATTTTGAAAAAGCTGCTAAAATATTAGCAAAGAGAAAGGACAGTTACTTTTTAGGAACCGCAGCAATATTAGCAAAATGGAGTAATAACGAAGAATTAAGTCAATCAATTGCTAACGAAGCAGTGACAGAATCACTTCGTAAAAATCATCCTGATAGAGCTGAGTATTTTATTCAAAAACTCCCGAGTGTAAGATTTCGATTGGCCCATGTAGAAACTTACAAAAATATTATTAAAATTCGAAAAATCAATGTTCCTGTTAGTGCCTGGATTGGTAATGAGCTATCACATGATTTAATAACGTCCTTAAAGACTCGTTTTAGTGAGTTGGGATTGAATGATTTCTCTGTATACAGTAAATTGAATACTATTCATTATCCTAATCTTCCAGATAATGATGAAATGCTTTGGTTGATAATTAGTCATCAAATAGCATTAGCTGCATCTGCTCCTAGTGAAGAACAACAATTACGTCATATTGTGTCTGCATGTGGTATTATATCTCAATATGAAATGATAAGTCACTTTAAAACGGATGAATTACGTATCAGTTATTTAGTTCGTTTATTATTAGTTACATTTCCAAATATTTATTTTTTTATTAATCCCAATGAAAGTGAAGTCAATAATGGTCTTCACAAAAGCCTACGAGCTTATTTTTGTTTTGCCATAGTACAATGGTTAGTTGATACATTAACAAAGCAACAAAATGAAAGTGAAGATAGTATTGTTGTAGATTTAGTTATTGAAATTATTGAACGATGTCTAGAAGATGCGTTTGATTTTGAAGCTATTCAGTATTGGACAGCACCAACAGAAATGACAAAACTAGAAAATATGATTGCTGGTATTAAAAATGATATGCAGTGTACAGAAGACGAAAAAGAATGTGACAAGACTGAAGAAGAAGTAACTGATCACGATGAGTTGTCTAAAAGGTTAGAAAAAATTCGTACAGAAAGAAAGAAATTTATTGACGAACGAGTCACTGCTCCTTCTCCAATGATGGTTTATGGAAAAGCCAATGAACTGTCGAATATTTTGCAGGGCCAAAATATAAAGACAAATTTGGAAAAACGTGTTCAAGAATTATGGAACAATAACGTTTCAGCAATGTTTACATATTAAATTTTCTGTACATGAACAATAAATAATACTAATTTTTTTTATTTTTCTACATGTTTATTGAATGAAATTCATAAAAAAAAACTTATTTTTTTTCTTATAAAAAAGTTTCGTATTTTATTTTGTAAAAATGGTTTGAACTTTATCAATTCGTGAAAATAAAAAATACATAATTAAATATTGTATATAATATTATTTATTTGGAATTAATTCGCCAGAAAAATACTTCTCTATCACTTCCTGCACAAACGTAAGGCAGTTTATGATGCCAAGTAAGTCCACCAATTAATTTCACATTCCCACTCAATATAACTTGTTTATTTTTTAAATTAACTACTTTTAATGCATTGTCTGGACGACCAATACAGGCAATGAGGTTCTCATTTCCATTTGAAAATTTCATCACTGATCCACCTTCCACATAAACTGTGTGATTTAGTATTGGTCGGCTAAAAAAATTTATAATTAATAAAAAAAAAAAATAGTCATCTATAAAATACAATTATGTTTATAACTTACCTAGGTCTTGATACATCCCATACGAGTAACTCTCCAGCTGCTACACAGGCAACTTTTAGTGGATTAGGGCTCCAGTCAGCCGATACTAAAGGTACGATATTGGCATCCAATGACATGATAGCTTGTTGACTTCTTACATTGTATAAATGAATTAATCCATTCTTTTCAGCGACTAATAATTTTCCAGATTCCTCATTATGCCAACAAACACTTACTCCTGGAGAAGTCAAATAAAATGTTGAGACAGATTTATTATCTTCCTTGATAGCCCAAAGCTTACAGGTATGATCATCAGAAACTGATGCAACAAGCTCTCCTTCAGCTTCATAGGCTATTGCGTTGATATAATCTTTATGGCCTTCTAAAATCTTAAAAAAACATTTTTATAAGCATTTTACAATACATTAATCAGGTATTTATTCTTATAAATTTCAATAGTTCGATATATCTAAACAAATGATCAACTCACTTCGTAAATATTTACATCATTTAAATTACTATGATATAATCTAATTTTAAAATCAGCTCCTGCTACACAAAATGCAACAATCTTTGGAACAACACTCAAAGAAGTTTCTGGACTCCAACTTATAGATTGTACTCGAGTGTCATGATGAAATGTTTTTATTGGAGTATAAGTAATATTGTCTTCTACGTCGTCATCATCCTGTATTTAAAATTAAAAAATTTAATTTTATTAAAAATTCATTGAGTATCATTGAAATTTAAATAAGTACTCTAGAATTGTTCTTTTGTTTAAAAATGAATAAAACAAGCAACGATCAAGTTAATTTGTCTAGACTTACTTGAAATTTGACAGTTCCAACTACTATTTCCTCACCAAAAGCAACACAAATTAAATCTTGTAACCATTCAAATGGTGAAAATTCCACGGCGTAAACCTGTTCCGTAAAACTAAGCTTAAAAGTAGGTGGACAGTGAACTGCTTCATCCATTCTAGTTGTTTTTGCTTATCTGAAAGCACCAAACACAAGATTCATTTATAAGTATTCAACCGGCATAACCTAAACTATTTTCAGGTAAATAAAAGGCTACTTACCACTATTTAGCCTAGAAAAATAGTAAAAGATCCAACCTTAAATAATTTTTAATTAAAATTTTGATCATTCAAATTATTTAAACATTGATATGTCTTAAATAATCTCATATAAACGTTGTAAATAAAAACAAAAACAGTGAAAATAGTAAAAAAAAGGCGGTGATTCGAGTTTTTTTACACTTTTCCATTGAAATCGTATGTGTGCATGAGAACGTGATCAAAACGTTTCAAGAGGGCACCACATCTCTACGGATCTTTGTACGCGATTGTCCAACGTGCCGCATCTCTCTGAAAAACGAGCTCGGGTAAATTTTACTATTTATTTAAGAGTTTCTTTAGCAATATAATAATCTATGAATAATTACACATTTTCTAAAGTATGTATTGATTAATTAATATTGATAAAACACCGAGACCCATATTAGTAAACGAAAGAAAATAGTTTCTGTCAAGGCATGGTCAGCGTGTTCTCTATCATTCTGAATCTTCCAAGCTGCTTTGAATTCTTGTGTAACTTTTGAATTTATAGAGTCATTAAAAAGATCTAAAGTTATATCAAAACATTAGGATTTATTTTTAAAATAATTAAGTAGCTACAAATATAAAATTATCAACTCATTTATAATATATAGGATTTATCAATTGTTTGTCAACTTTTTGTCAAGTATCTTTAGTTTTTAATTACAATAAGATTTTTGAAATCATTTTTTTGATTATTTTTCAGCATAACGCAGAGATGGATTTTGGTGCGGGCGATGTTGCCCAAATATCTGCGGAGCTTGCTCGAGTTGTTGAAATTATGATGTCTCCTGATGTACCTCATCAGCAACGTCTAGATGTTTATAATGCTTGTGAAAGATTCAAAGAAACATCACCACTTTGTGCACAATGTGGGCTTTATCTAGCACAAAAATCACCTAATAGAAGTTCAATTGTTCGTCATTTCGGTCTCCAACTAATGGAGCATTTTATAAAATACCGCTGGCCACAAATATCTCAAACAGAGAAAGTATTTATTAAAGAAAATGCAATGAAACTTCTTCAAGAAGGTACAGAACCAATGATGCAAGAAGAGACACATATCAAAGATGCACTTTCGCGTGTAATTGTAGAAATGATTAAAAGAGAATGGCCACAGCAATGGCCAACACTATTAGCAGAACTCAGTCAAGCCTGTACTCGTGGTGAGAGCCAAACTGAGGTTGTTTTATTAGTATTTTTACGACTGGTTGAAGATGTAGCATTGCTACAAACTTTAGAATCAAATCAAAGAAGGAAAGACATCTATCAAGCTTTGACAACTAACATGGCTGAGATTTTTGCATTCTTTTTGAAATTAATGGAGCAACATTTTTCAGAATTTCAAAAGAAAAGTGCTCTTGGTAATGTTACTGAAGCTGCCGCACATAGTAAAGTAGTTCAGGTAAGCTATAAAAATATCAAATTTTAATTTCGAAATATTATTAAAATTCTCAATTTATTTAAAAGTATTATTATTTACATTTTTACCATCATAGTAGATTATAATTTGCTATTAAAGTTTTTTTAACCTAACAAAACTTAATGTTGCATTTTATTACATCAGGTGGTTCTACTAACTCTAACTGGTTTTGTGGAGTGGGTATCCATAAACCACATAATGGCCGATGATGGACGCCTCCTTCAAATCCTCTGTGTACTCTTGGGAGATCGTACATTCCAATGTGCTGCAGCAGAATGTCTTCTTCAAGTTGTAAATCGCAAAAACAAAAGTGATAGAAAACAATTAATGATTTTGTTTACTGAAGATGCACTGCGGTGTATTTACTCATCAGCAATAGCTCCAGCACCACATGCTACTTCTCATGAGTTACACGAGAGCCATTATTTGTTTCTAAAGAAACTTACTCAAATATTGACAGGAATGGCAACTCAGTTATGCATGCTCTGGGGTAAAGAAGATCTGAGTATGACACGGCCAACTCACTTTAACTTTTTCTTAGACACAGTGTTGTCATTTACAATGCACTCAAGTTTGACTTTGAATCATTTAGCTAATGCTATTTGGATTATGTTATTCAGACATGAACATGCGAAAGTTGATAGTCTACTTCTCAGTTATGTTCCAAAATACATTGAAAGTACAGCACCTAAATTAATAAAGGTAGCTTATCCGAATGGACAAAATGCCAATGGAATGACTGCTTATTGTCTTAGTGATTATGACTCTGAAGAAGAGTTTGCTGTATTTCGTCATCGTCTACGCATGGATCTTTTAGAAGGTTTAAGACATGCAACAATGGTCGCCCCATTAGTTACATTTGCTTATGTTCAACAGTGGCTTACGGCAAAAATTACTAAAGGCATGACAAACATTCATTACAAAAGTGATCCAAATGATGCTGAGTATTTAGAATGGGAAGCTTTAGCTCAAGCTTTGGATTCCGTTGTGTCTCGAATCCTTCTTGTTAATGAGCGGCCAAATGTCCAAAACGGATTACAATTACTAGAATTATGTCTCGGATATTCTCCAGAAGACCCATGGTTACTCTCAGCCCTTCTTTCATGTATAAGTGCCCTTTTTGTTTTTCTGTCAATGAGCACAGGTTCTATGGCAATGCCTGGAGTTGCAATACTTCCCAGAGTTCTCGAAAAAATATTTGCAGCTCTTGTCTATGAAACTCCTGGAGAGTCTAAAAGAAATAGATCTAAAGGTACCAAATGTGTTCGTCGACATGCTGCTAGTTTGATGGTTAAAATAGGATTGAAGTATCCTTTAATTCTGTTACCTGTCTTTGAACAAATTCATACAACTGTGAAAGGATTAATGAGAGAACCTAGCCAACTTACGAAAATGGAGAGTGTAACTTTATATGAAGCTCTCTTGTTGATTTCTAATCATTTCTGTGATTATGATCGACAAACGAGGTTTATTGCTGAAACAATAAACGAAGGATCCGCAAAATTAATTTCATTAGGGCAAGAAGCTTTCAAAGGACCATTAGAATTGATGAGATTTATCGGATTAGATCATGGAGCAGTACCTATTGGAGCTGATGATCCTCCTGGAAAAAATCGTGCTAATTTAATGTACTGCATTTCAAATATTTTAAGTGTCGTAAAACGATGCTCTATTCCAGAAGATCCAGATCGTGCTGCAAGAGGTGGATTCGTTGCAGCCTTGAGTGAAAGCGGAAATCCAGTATATAGAAATCCTGCCACTCCTCATGTTATTCCAGCTTTACCTACCCTTTTTGCTTTAATGAGAGCAATGAATGCTCTATTTACTCCTGCAGCATTAAGTTTATTATCGGAAGATTTTAAAAAAGCTCATGACTTGTTAGAATCTGATAAAGCTCATTTAATGGGACTACATATCAGTAATAATGGTGATCACACTCCTGAGTTTGATCAACTCTCGCATGCTCCACTGCTTCGTATGCAACACTTTTTAACAACTATTCATGATAATTGCTATCATATGTTGGGAAGCGGATGTCATACAATTGGACGAGACTTTTACCAACTTCCTGGTTTAGCTCCAGCACTTCTAAACTCTGTTTTTTCTAATTTAGAGGTAAAATAAATTCTATACAATTGAGACATCTATGGTATATTTATCAAGTTATATTAGTAATTACTATGTATTATTATAATTTTTCAGGTTCTTCCTGATCATAGATTACGACCAATCATCCGTGTTTTTTTGAAGCCATTTATTTATTCATGTCCGCCAGCATTTTACGAAAGTGTTTTGGTACCAATAATTACTCATGTTTCAACACATAGTAAGTATTCAGATTATTATCGACAGTTTCTAAATTATTCTTTGATAAACGTTATTTCTTTATTTGAATGTGTTTGTTACTATGCCTTTGGGGATCCCAAAATTGGCAATCACCCTAAGGCTTTTAGCTGCATGTTAAGTAATTTAATTAAATTACCTTATTATAGTGTGCCACAGATTGAGTACAAAATGGCAATATATGACCGCACTTTATGAATCCGGGGGACTAGATGAAGAGAATACAAATGCTCAAGAAGTAATTGATGATATGCTCAACCGAAACTTGACTAGGGATTTCGTTGATGTCCTCAAAGTTACCCTGGTCGGAGGAACAGCAAGTGATGCTTCACCACCTGACTCGATGGATCAGGATAATACAGGCATGGCTGTTGATCAAACTCCAGTCAGAGGAAGTAGTATAGTTGCTGAGGTTGTTAGTGAACTTGGTGCATTTATTCTTCGACATTCTTCTACTTGCCATAGCGTGGTTTTATGTGTTCTTGGGTAGGCAATTCTTTAACCTATACCTAATTATTATGCTAATGGAATCAATATTTATTAATTGTCAAAAAATCATTATGAGTAAAAGTTAATATTATGTTATTTTGTTCTCTAGTGCTCTAGCTTGGAATGATTCAAACGCCAGCTTAAGAGCAACCATGTTGACTGGACCAATTGTAAGAGCTCTTGCAGCGGATGGTAGCTTAACTCCAGCAATGGCATCACACATCATGGTTGCTATTCTTCAAGGTCTTCAGCTTCATGGACAACATGAAGCTAACCAAGGCTCCTTAATCACTCTTGGAGCTCAAGTTTATGAATGTTTACGACCAAGATTCCCAAATATCATCGAAGTGATGCAACAGGTACCGGGTGTTAACCCAGCAGATCTTCAACGTTTTGATGAAAAAATGACTATGACTAGTACGAAAGGAAATAAAGTTGAAAAAGGCAAGAAAGAACTTTTCAAGAAAATTACAAATCAGGTAAATACTTATACATTTTAAAAAATTCATGCATATCGGTTTATGACTTAAAAAATAACTTTATACGTGAAAATTCTATTCTTTTTCAGTTAATTGGCAGAAGTATCGGACAATTATTCCGTAAAGAAGTGAAAATTGATAATTTACCACAACTAGAAGTAATTGGGAAGTCTCAAACCCCACGAGTTGATGAAATTTCAAAAAATTCTGCTGATACAGGTTTGACTGCATTGTTTGCTGGCCCTACGTAGCAAAGAGAGATTGACAACCGTACTTTATACGGTTGGTCCGATTCAATAAATAATTATAAGCTATTATAAAAGTCTATAATATCGAAAAAAATACGTGAAATTCAATCGCAGGAAAGATGCTCATAATCAATATGTATGATAAAAATAATAATTATTATTAAAATTTCATCCATTTCTGATAATGCCATGCGAGCCTCTTTCGCTGCTGGTCGACGAACGGCTCAAAATTTTTTAATTTAATTATTCAAATAATTTTTGGTATTTAAAATTATTTTCAACAAAAAATTGGTAGTAAATTGAGATATATATCCATTTTATGGTTATCATAAGTGAAAATAATTGAAAAAGGAAAAGCAATCCCATGATATTTAGACTTTTACTTTTATTTATTTTGTAACTAAAGCTCGATGAAGAAGTTGATTATCTCAAGATCTAAATCATTTAGAAATTTTATAAATTATTATTGATTAATAGTTCAAATACTGTACAATGAAAATGTAAAAACATTAGCGATATTAACGCTAATAACTTCAATTCACGATGAAAATTATTACGAAGTGATTTTTTTTTTTCAATATGCTGTTTATAAAACTTTATAAAAAATTACATTTTTATATTCTAATTTCGTTATACAGCAAACAAAAAAATATTTATGATTAAATTTTTGTGATTATTTCGTTCAATAATTATAATTAATGCATTTAAATATTTGTTAAATATATTTTTAACGTATTCTCAATCTTCTAAATTCTATTAAAATTAGTTGGTGAATTTTGATTTATAAAAATCACAAATAAATAATGAAATTTCAAGAACCTTAGATTTTTATACGTTCATCGATTTAAATTTTCTGTTACCAGATTCGTTTTGAAATAGGCGTTAAAAAAATCAATTTTTTAAAAGAAAAAAATGAAACAAATTGTAATAATTTACAATTCCCACTGTTGTAATTATACATCGATTAAGAAATAGAACGGCTGCTCGTTCTCACATTTTTTACACATTGTATATATAAACAGCGGAGTATTAGAAGACTTTATTAATTATTAGTTAGTAGTAATTAATAAACTAAAAATGATAAGACCATTTTTTAACGTTAATACTTGCTAAAGTGAATGTCTGATAAGCTGCCAATTTTTAAACATCGTTATTCGATTATAAAGCGATACAAAAGCAAAACTCTTGTATATATTGTAATGTAAAAAATAAAAAAATAAAATGAAAATATTGAAAATTAATTACCACATCAATCGATTAGTTTAAGTAAGTTTATGTATATATATAATATATTTTTCCATAAATATTCATTTTATACATTTAACCATTTCAATAATAATAAATTTACATCAGTTAACAATTATGAGTAATATTTTCTTAATTAGATTTTTATGTGCATATCATAGTTATCAATTATTTTCCATTCATTAGTTCATAACATTACAAGTCATAATATCCAAACAAATATCGGCGGAGACAATTATTCATTATTACTACTTATCGCTAAACATTTTAACTTTATTTATTTTTCCATTTATCTCCTATAAATATGTATAATGAATGTATCAAAAATGCAATTATAATATTCTTTGGAGTGTTGACATATTGAATTGAAAAATACGCATTTTTGTCATATAAAGTTTTTTATCATTATTTTTTTTAAAAATTTTTTTTTGTCCAAATGATTGAAAAATACTTATTTAATTATAAAATATTATTTAAAATTCTTGTGATTGTTTTATACGCATTGTTAATTAGTATATTAAAATTCATATTTGCTTTTTTGTTTAGAGAAATAAAATGCAATAATGTTTTTAATAATTTAAATACTGATTTTTTAAAATTCGTCAATGTGTGATTAAAGTAACTGCAAGATGTATTTTTATAAATATTATACTTTGCTCTGCGAAGCAGGCATTTCCTAATTAAACAAATGATATAAATTATACCTATGTAATTATCGATTTATAATTAACAAGTGATTATATATTTATACATATCTATTGATTATAAATATGGCACAGTAATCTTTTTTTTAGTATTTCACACGTAACATTACTGGAATGTTTTGTTATAATAAAACAATTATCCACAATTTTATTTTATTTCACATAGCTTATTTAATTTAAATTATTATAAGCATTTAGAATATTAATTGATATCTAAACAGCATTTTTTTATATATAATTTGATATTAAAATTAATATAAAATACTTATTACAATAATTTTAAATATATCTTTTTTTTCATAATTGAGAAACTTTTTATTATAATTATAAAATATTCGTTAGCTTGTGCACAACACAATTGAGACGAGAAGATTGGAACAAAATCTTCTCGTATTTTGTACTTGGCAAAAGAAGGCTTCAATTATTTAATTATTCTCACTAACCCACTTAATAAATTACAAATTAGATATTTACAAAAATACAATATCTCGGAATAAATATCATTAAATAAACACTTTGTTACAGTTTTTCTCTGTGAGTAGACATTTATTTAAGGCATGCTCATTGTGAAGCATTTAATTAGATATAATCCTCCCGTCTAAAAATTTTTCTACCAAAACAGAAATAAATTAAATATCGAGCCCACCCAAGTTTTTTTCGAGTATAATAGAAAACTTGGCTTGATAAATAACTTGCTCGATTAACCGAACCTCAAATAACTGGCTCATTTATAGTGGATGCCTTCTTTCCAATTAATAAGAAAACATCCATATTATCTTTGCCTTTTACGTAAACTTGGCCGCGTGGTTCAAATTCATATCTTTCAGATAATACATCAATACAACTACTTGGTAATTGTATTCTTCCAGGTACACCTGTTGAGTCCATTCTTGAAGCAATGTTAACAGCGTCGCCCCAGATGTCATAATACAACTTTGTGGCTCCAATAACTCCAGCTGTTACATCTCCATAATTGAAACCCACTCGCAAAATCAATTTAAAGCCTAACAAGTCTCTATTAAAATCATATATCACCTTCTGCATTGCCATTGCAAAATCTAAAAGTTGAAATAGGTGATAGTGTTCGTGATGATTCTGTTGTCTAACTTGTGGATTTAATCCAGAGGCTGCCATAAAAGTACTACCGATCGTTTTTATTTTCTCAACATTGGAAAACTCTGGTTTCTCTAATAATTCATCAAAGTCTCCAATTAATTCGTTTAATACTCTAAGATATTCTTTTCCTCCTAAATAAGATTCATCATAGAGTTCATTAAAGTTTACAATACTTGCAAAAATAATTCCTACAGATTTATGATTTTGAGAATATTTTGCAGTTGTTTTTAATTGATCTGCTACATATTTAGGTATGATATTATGTAGAAGCCAGTCTGCTTGGTTTTTCATAGCTTGGACCCGTGTTTTGTCATTTGCAGCGACTGCATTTCCATGAAAGCTCAGTCTATAGCTGATTTCAAATTCTCGGTTTAAAAACCAGACAAGTAGAAGCAGTAAAATCATATCAAGAAATATTTCTGTATCATATAATCGTTCATTGTATCGTTTTTGTGTATGTTCTTTAATATCATCGTTAGTGATTGTACTCGTTGTTGAAGAAATGAATGCAGTTGCAGATGATTTTCCATCAATTTGATGAATAATATCAGCAGGCACATATGGTTTACTGTCTTCTTCATCAGTTTGAGAATTGGCTGGCACAGAAGGATCAATATTCCTTCGAGTTCTGTTTAGAAAAATTGGTTCGATGACTTTAAGATTAACTTGTGGTTGATTCATAGACTCTGTAACATTCATTGCTGTTTTAAATGAAAGATTATCATGATTCGAAATATTACTTGCAACTAAGCAGATAAAAAAGATCGCGGTGATTGTCACGAGAAAGTTCTTCATCCAGCAATTTAATTGAGTAAAGTTACAGAAGTGTACGAGACCGACAAAAATGAGGTAGCTGTAATAATATTCGAAATTGTTCAACGTTGTTTTAAAGCTGTTACACGTGAGGTTCATTAATATCGACATTATTGGCAAACCAACCAAAACAGCACCACAAACATGCCAAGGATACCACCTTGTGAAAAATTTAAAGATCTTCTGAGTATAAGTTGCGTACATAGAATGAGGATCCACTAGCTGACGAATGCATAAAGATACAACAGATACCTGAATTGTTGTTGCTATTGCACAGAATACAATGAAAGAAGTTGTTGGTTTGCAAAGTAAAAATAAAGATGCAGTTATTGCGGAGTAAACTATTGCGGATACTAAAATATCAAAGTAAGTATTAAATCTAGCTGTAGCAAGAGTTGGTGGACTATCTCCAGAACTTTCATTTGCTTTGTGAGCATTTTCTCGATACTCTTTTTCTATCTCTTTGTTTTTGAAAAATAAAGTTACACTAGATAGTGGAGGTGTTACGAAATAAGAGCTTTGGGAACTGACGTTATCTTGAACACACCTGGAAAAAACATTCATTATTTTTATTATATAATTGAAATTGCAATTCTTAACTCAGGTTTACGATAAAATTGATTTACCTTATAAGTTGAAGATCTGACTGTTTTCGAAGTTTATGAAAACAAGCTCCAAAAGTATCAGTAATTACTGGAGGGAAAGGGTAAGGTGGTCCTGAAGACGAAGGTTCTTGCATAGAATTCAAGGTTGAACTTGACGTATAATATCCACTGACTCGGTGGCCCAATAAATCACCTTGGACCATGCCATTCATAAAATATAACTATAAAAAAATATTGTGTCATTTATAAGAATCGAATGAGTTGAAAAGTATAGCATAAAATTAATGAATGATTTTAGAAACCTGTTGTTGTATACTGCTTCGTCTACTATTACTTTTGATTCCAGAGTCTTTTCTGCTGCAAATTGATGACGCATGACTCAGCATATCGTCTCCGGCTAATAACGGACTTGAAGGAATAGGATTTGGATCCGTTTCAATACCATTCATTAATGGAACCTTAAAAATATTATAGTCATATTAATTTATAGAATTAAAAAAGCAAAATTTATTGGGTTATTAATTAATTAATATTTACTCCATTGTATCTGTTGGCTGTGTCAAAATCTCCGATATCTCTTCTCTCATTCATATCTAATGGCATCATCTCATCGGTTGTTCTTTGGCGCTGCAAATATCTCCAAGGTCTATTTCTCACTTTCTTTTTCCCATGACTTGCAGTAGAAGAAGGACTTTTATTTATATCTTCCTTCTTCTCAGCAGATTCATCCTCCTCATGCTCAGAGTCTAAAATACTTGGCAGTGAATTAGCCTTCATGCGATAATTATTAATATTCGTAACCATATGAAGATAATGCTGTCGCGGTTTTGATTGATTACTACAAGAGGCAAGTCGATGACGAGTATTCATTAATGGAGAAATACTTACAGGAGCAGTTACGTTTGTTATAAATTCATTAATAAAATCTTTCCTTCGAGTTCTAATAAAATAAGTTTTTACACCTAAATAACAAAATCATTTTCATTAGAACTCAAAAATATTCTATAATATTTTAACATACTTTTTATTTACTAACCATTGATAGTTTCTCCTTCTTCAACTAAATACTGATCATCCAAAAAACTTAAAGTTTTCTCACTAAAATGTACCCGGCCCGGTTTCCCTGTACTCTCAAGTTTATTTGCAAACGTTACATCGTTAGACCAAACATCAAATTTAAATCTTTTCGTTCCAACAATTCCACAAAGTACAGTTCCAGTATGAACGCCAACTCTCATATTTACTCCTTCATTTCGTTCAATATCAAACTGTTTAATAGCTTCTATCATTGCTAATCCCATTTCTATACAGCACTTAGCATGATCAGATCTCGGTTCTGGACATCCAGATACACAATAATAACAATCTCCAAGAGTCGATATTTTTTCGCATCCATGCTGTACACAGAGATCATCAAACCTTTCGAAAAGATCATTTAAAATATCTACAAGTTCTTCTGCTGTTTTATTTGAGCTCATTCGAGTAAAACCAACAATATCAGCAAATAATATGCTTACGTCTTCCATAGAGTGCATATTAAACGGGCGAAATAATGATCTAATATCCGTGTTATTGGACGGAATAGATCCTTTCTTTAAAGAATCCTCACGTTCTCTTTCTTTTTCACTTTCTTCCATTAACCAATCTGCTACTTTAGGTGGCATCACTGAATGAATCATTTTTTCCTTTAATTGTTTCTCCATTTCTAATTGACGACGAACTAATAATGATTGTCCCACTTTCATAAAAGTTCCTCTCATTCTTACGAATGTCATTATTAAAATATGTACTCCAATAATATGAATTGACATCTGCATAAGTATTCTTATCGTTAAAGTTGTTCCAAAATTAACATCTGCAATTGCTGAAGAAGAATGAGTTGATAATCCAATTGAATATTGACGTCTATCGTAAATATATACTGTCAAGTATTCAAATAAAATAGAATATACAGTACAAAGACCAATGCACGCATACAATGGTAATGGAATTACTGTATAAATCAATAATAAAATTTCAGAACATAATGCAAAGTGTCCAACTAATGTTAATCCATCGGTGTGAGGTGGAACTAAGAGAAGAAATAATAATGACAGGACACATAAAAGCGTTGCAACTGCCAAAGACGTTGGAACAATATATGATCTGTAGTATTCTGTATATGTTAAATATAATGCTGACGACATTACTATGATGAGAGTACTGAATATTATCACTATTGTTGGCCATGCTGATGTCTCATTTTCTGTTCTCATTATTAAAAAATAAATTAACCAGGATAAAGAAATCGTCAAAATGTAAAAAAGTGCATATCTGAAATAAAAATTTGATTATAGCAAGTTAAAAATGATTACTTTTTATTTAAATATAATAAAAAAATTTTTTCTAGGAATTTAATTAATAAATGCTTTGAATAAGAGTTATATACCTGAATCTTAAACGCAATTGTGGAAAGGCACTTCTCTTGTATTGCTCTTCAAGAATTTCAGAATCAAATTTAGGATTCCACCAAGATCCTCGTGCTGCTCTTTCAAATGGTACTGGTAGACCAATACCACAACATCCCAATCCTTGACTACTGTGCACTAAATAATTTTGAATATACGGTGCTAATGATATGTGAATTTCATCTTTATCATTATCATCATCTTTTCCAGGTGTATAACTGACTGATGAACTTCGTTTTCTATCCATTGATGAAGTCATTGTGATCATAAAAGTATTCTATTTCTCTGAAGATTTAGAAAAATAAAAAATCCTTGATATGGTGTTTACGAGCAAAATCCACAATGTTTAAATTTTGAGTTTAAAAAACTTGTTCGTGATTATTAAAAAATTGAAATGCCATCATTTTGAAGATCGTCGATAGAATTGTTAAAAAATGATCTGATCTCAGTAATTTCCATACTTAGAGTTGGAAATATTGTGGTAAAATTAAGTATTGCACTAATTTATTTTTATTGTATAAAACACTATTAAAAGATTTAAAAACATATTTAAAATGTAATAAGTAATTTTAAAATCATTAATTATAAAATTTTTAAAAATATTCGAATTAATTGACGACCATCTTGGTTAAATCTTGCAGGTAAAACTAAGGGTAAAACTTCAATAAACTGCTTATATCCAAACCAAAAGTAGACTTGCTATTAAAAAATATAGGTTAAGGATTGGAGTAAAATTAAAATAAATTTCAATACAGAAAAACTGTCAGATTTGTTATCAACTAATGGTAATATATCGACGTTCTAAGCAAATTTTTGTTTAAAAATTTGCTTCATTTATCAACAATAATAAACAATAAATTAATTTTTCTAAGTATAATTATAATAATGAAAAAGAAATTAACACATTTATTTATATAAAGTAAATTTATTTATTGATATTCGATTCAATCGTCAATCATTCATCATAATAATTTATAAAATTATACTCAAATAATTAATTTTTCAAAGATTCATAATCTTATTAGTTATTTTGGTTAAAAAATCTTTCAGTGGAATACGGTATTAAAAGTGTTCTGAAATATTCTCCAGAAAAGAACCGCATTGCTTTTGCTGAATCAGAAAATAAAAATTCACTTGCATTATTTACAACAAAGTCATCTGCTTTTGATGCTTCATCATATTTAATTACAATGACATTTTTATTCTTTTTTTTTGCCTTTATGCTTATAATGCTTGTCAAGGGTCGTCTGACTGATATTTCGGCTGCATCTTCTCGATTACGCATTTTTCGTAAAGCAATTAAATGATCTTTCGTAATTACTAGGTCACTGAAAATAAAATTAATCAGAAATTCATAATTTTTAAGAATTTTTTGTAATTATAATTTGTTCGTTGATTAATAATTTAATATATGTATAAAAAACAAATAAATTTACCAATCATGATGCTTATTAGAATTATCTAATTCTTTACACTCAAAATACGTAACTAAATTGGGATCTTCCAACCATTTCGAAATAGATGTATGTGGATTTTCATACATAGATTTACTTCTAGCCATCCTTGAAGGACCAGGAGTCTCTTCTTCCACACTATACGTACTTTTTGAAGTTCTTAAACGATTAACAAATTCTTCTCCTTGACTCTTCAATCTTTCTAATCTATTCATCGTTACAGGAGGAGCATTCTCTTTACAAACTGCACATCGTTGAGCATTATGGCTAGCAAAAAAATTATCAACATCATTTCCAACATATTCGTGCAATGCTTTATATCCACCCACGAGTAAATTTATATATTTAATGTCTCTTCGTTGGCATGATCTGATCACCATATCTGTATAATTCTTATGTTCTTCACGACCACTATCTATAAAACAAAAGTGTCTTGCTTTTATATCATTTTTCAATAAACTTGTTTGTAAATCACGTAATTTTTCAATATTATCAGAAAACTTTATGGGGTTAGTAATTCTCAAGTTATAATCTAGAAAATATGCTGTGGGTAAATGTCCAGCATCAAATTCTTCTTGAGATCTACAATCAATAATGAAAAACCGGATATTTTTTGATACAGCTGATAATATGGAAGTTTTTTCCATAGATTTTACTAATTCTTCAACAGTTACAGACCAACATATAGTATCGAATAATGAATTTTCATCTTTTTTATCATCAAATATCACTGGACACAATCTGTTAATAAAAGAAGGGGGAGTAGTATTTTTTAAACGGTCAGCTAAAGCAAAAAAATCAGAAAGATTTTCAGCATTTATATTAGTTGGAAGTGCCCATAGTGCGAATATTAAAGTATCTTTATCTTCATTCTTGTAACTCATGATGTCATCACTGAAAATTTTAAATAATAATTTATTAATATTCTTTCATTCTAATATTTAATAGTCGTAGAAACATTTTTACCGAAAAGTTATCATTAATGCTGCTGATAAGAAAAAAATTAAAAATCGATTTTTTTCAATAAAATAACGATCCCACATGGTGAATATCACTGGTGGTGATACAAGGCCAGCAAAAAGTCTATTAATCCAAATAAAAGGATAATTTCGGAGTGTCATTTCTTTTGATTTCAAAAACGTATGTAATTGTGGATCATGATAAATCACTAGAAATCTTATTATTGATTCATAGTAATCATGTTGTGGAATATAACGTTTTAATATAGCTTTGAATATTTTATATTTTAAAACTTCTGAACCTGCTAGGTAAATAATTGGTTCTAATAAATCATGCCAACCATCTATTGGATTAAATTTTTGTTGTGTTTCTCCACAGTGGTAGCTTATAATCCTAATGATTTCGAATCTCATTGATGCTTTCATATGTTCAGCGAGTTCAATTCGATCTAAAATGAGAAAACAGAGTATTTATTAACTTTTTTAAGAAACTGTATTATAATACTGACCAGCAACCCCAGTAGCAAAATCTACAATTTCTCCTAAATTGGGCACCGTATCCATTTCTTCAGAATCTAGACGTTCAAGAGGCTTATTATTGTCACATGGAATATTTAAACATGCCATCCAAACATCTAATCTTTTATCATCAGGTATTATTTCACTTGATACAATTGGACATTTAGTTGAATTACTTTCTGGTAGACTTGATGAAGAGTTGGTTGAAGACGTAGATGAACGTTGACATGGTGTACTCATCGATACAATCCAAAAATAAACTTTCCTCAAGAAAACTCAAAAAAGTGTGTGTCAAGGTGACTGAAATTCTAGAAGCTTTAACATTTTGTAAAATATATCTCTAGAGTAAATGACATTTTTTCAAAGTGTGGATAACTCTAGAAAAAATATGAAAATAGCGATATTGTGAAATCTAGGCTGTCAGCTGGCCGCGTATCTTCAAATGCGTAATAGTAGAATTTTGTAGAGTCTCCATCTATGCTTTATTATCGTAAATTCTTGATATAAACGTTTGCAGCTGACTTCATGTTTGTGAGTAAAGATCAATTTTTCCAATCGCTCAGAGTAATCTGGAGTAATTCGTAGTGAAAGCTTGTCTTGTTCACATTGACATCAGCTGTTGTTTTGCAACCGCGTGAAATGACAGTTGAAAGGAAAATGTGTTCGACATACAACATAATGTCTTGAGAATCGTGAGCTGCAACAGCTAAATAAGTTTCGTTGATTATTCATGTGAGTTAAGTGAAATAAAATGAATGGAAGTTTTGGAGGGCATCGTGGTCCAGACCAACATCCAGCGAGATTCGCAGATTATTTTGTCATTTGTGGTCTTGACAAGGATTCTGGTCTAGAACCTGACAGTTATTTCGGTAAATTTATTAATTACTGCATAACCTAAGTCCAGGGTTTATTTTTTCACTTGTCATTGTTTTACTGAAATTATTGATTCTATGTGAAATATTTTGAAACGTACTCAAATCGCAGAACATTGAGAGAAAGCAAATGAATTCATTGCATAATTTGTAAGATGGAGATTGCGCAGATGAAAATTTAACGATGAATTTGTCAATTTTGTGAGAGAGGGAGAATCGGATAAAAAAAAGGAGAAGCTTCAGTGTCGTGTTTATTCAGAGCAAATCGATTGATTCAATCATTCATGAAAAAACAAAATAAAATCTCTACTAAAGATAAATTAAAACACGTTTCAAGTAACAATGATTGATCCTTTAACAAAGCACATTGCCTAAAATTAACAATAGAAAAAATATTTGGAGTAAAAATAATTCCAAAACTGTCAGTAAACAATGACTACAACTTTGAGAACTTCTTAGTGAAAATGTACATTGAAATAAATTCTTTGTTTATTTTTCACCGCATATTTCGTCAAGTTGAAGAATATTATTAATTTTTTATTTGTGATTTTATTTTTTATATTGATTATTGGAATAATGGAAATAATAACACTATTATTATTTTTAAACTATGCTTCTATCGAATATCAATGCTTTTTTTTATTAAACATAAAAAACTATCTACATGAATAAATTTAGTATTCTTATTTACTATCCGGAAAAAAGAATTAGTTATTCAATATATTTTAAATAAAATTTTACGATAATCTACTTAATGTATCATCAGATATTTTTAACTAAAAAGAAGTAATTCAGACAAAAGAAACCTTGAATTTGACTAATCTTTATTATTTATCATTAATAATCCCTGTTAATAAAATGTCTTCAAGGCATTTTTACTTATTGATTTATTGTTAACTATTATTAATAATAGATCAATAATAAATATTTTTAATAATTAACTAATAAATTCAATTTTAACTTGACTTCTATGAATTCATACAATTTGAAATTGTATTCAAGTAAACAGGATGTAGCTTTTATATAAAAACGTCTCTTTTTGATACTTTTGTTGCAAATCAAATTTGAAGATTAAATTTTTTTTCAACTTCTGCTGAAATAAAAATCCTTTTTAATACTCAGGTAGTGAAGTATCTTTGTTCCGTTATTTATGATGCTTGAAACATGCGTGAACAATGTGCATGCAGGAAGCAACAGATCTTGCTGAGATGAAACTTCCTAGACGGGTGTTGGTGTATTTTTTCTGAGAATGAACATTTTTCAAAAAGGATCACCTTACTACTTCTACTATACTAGTTATACTATAGAGTGTTGTTATTCTCCTGGTCTATTAGGCACATCTGTCCTTTAAAAATCTGACCTCTTTACTCAGTATCCACTTTTATTTCCTCTGATTCACATCGATGAGTTCTAAAGAAGGTCAAAATAATTCCCTTCTCAATTTTATCATGCTATTGATGGCAAGTATTTATTTCTTCCACTCCTTAAATGCTGTCCATCTAGACTAAATGGTCTTTAGGTGATAATTCTTTCAATATCGTCCCTTAAAATGTGTTCAAGAACTCCCTCAAAGACTCAGGGACGATATGTTGTATATATGGAACCAGTAGGGAAGTGCCCTAAGCTGAGTCATATCGAATACATGGTAATCATCTACATGTGAACTAAAACTTTGTCGTTTTAATATTCTTTACTCATTTAAAAGTTTTTACATATTTTTGTCTGCATAATACATTGTTATCTTTATAATTTAGAGCATAATCATGAAGTTGAGCTTATGATACTTATTATTGATTAGATTCATGTAAACCACATTTTTTTTTTATTGTTGATTATTGTTTAATTTATTTTTAATTAGTAATTAATGATAAAAATATATAACAGTTTTCTAAAGGTCATTGATATAATAAAAATAAAATAGCTAATAAATGAGATAATGGTTTAGTTAGCAATTAAATTAATCTATTGAGTTTATTACGCTTTGAGTACATGATTTTTTTTTATTATTATTGAAAAGACAGATAAATACTATGGTATTTTTTCTGATAAAATTCTTTTTATTTTTGAAATAACATGTAAGTGCTTTACTGTAACAAAAAAAAAATGTGGGAGATAAAAGTTTACGTTCTTCACTTGTTTATCTCAGTTTTCTAAAAGTCCATAGGTCAACATGTATGATGAACTTTTCTTTAATGGTTTATGTGATAGATTGAAAAGGCTCGTAGTGAATGATTTTAGTTCCTGATGATCAAACAAGTATGGAGCTTAACCACAAAATTGCATAGCTATTGTCCATGGTCAATTAATTCCCCTGACGACAATGTAATTTTCTTAAGGAAGCAATCTATTGTCCCAAGAATACACACGTTACGTACTCGTTTCACCTATCATTGTTTGTTGTGTGATATAACTATCCTTCTCCTACAGAGATATCAATCAGCAATGTTTGTTATTAAAACAAAAAAGAACATATGTATGAGCCTACAACTTCAGGGAATCCAATTCAATTTCTAAACGGAGATTGATCCAAATGGAACTAATCACAATTTGAAAAGAAATTAGTGTGCATGTGTAACTAAATGTCCTTTCGCTTTCACAAATGAAATTTTATTTTTCTGATTTGTATTTTATTCTTGTCTTATTAAAATAAACTCATAAGCTGCTTTTATACCGTATTTTATATGTATGTAAATAATTTATTTATGTATATGTGATGACAGTGGACTTGCAGTCTTCAGAAATAAAAGGCTTCCCCTTTGAGCATTCAACTTCCTCCCTCATTACTCATGCGGAAGAACCTTTAATTGCGCTTCCAACTCGATCTTAAAACAGTTTATGAAAAAAATAAAATAGCCAATAATTTCTAGGCATTGGAAGTATTTCAAGTGATTCATTGAACAAATTTTTGTTTGATCAAAAAATTAAATAAAGTATTCCATTTAATCTTAATTTATTCAGTAAAATTCCTTTTACTGTTCAATCCAAGTTTAATCATTTATTCGATAAAAAAAACTTTCAGAATAAATTAAAAAACATGGGTTGGTTAAAGATTGATAAATTAAATCAATAAATGAAAAATTGGATTGAAAAATGAATTTAATTAATCAAATAGAATGAATCACCATTAACTGATATAAACTGATATGTGGTATGAAAACAACTATCATTCAAAATGCACAATAATTTTTTAGGGGAAACAAGTGCAAGGTGTTACCCCTGAAGATTTTATCAACTTACAACGAAATCATTTGCTAAATTTTATATCTGATTCAAAAATATATTTTTTTTCATTTGATATTTAATCTTCATGGTTTCAAAAACAAATAGGTTTCCTAGATGAAAGCTAATCCAAAAAAGAACTTTTTATTGATTTTGGCATTTTTCAGATATGAGCCATTTTGCCTCAGGGTTCAATCTTACTTCAGCTGCTTCTATATTACCGTTGTTTTCTTTCAACAACTGAAAGAAACTTCAAATAAAAGATTGGTTGATACAAGATCTAATTTCGTTTTATTTCATGATCACATCAATGTGATTCTTCTAGAGAAATTGTTCTCATTTCGAAAAATTAAAGTGATCTTCTTCGTTTTGATATACTGATATCTGTTCTCTAAAAAAACTTATATTCTGAATCTTTAATGCAGTAAAGAGAGTTTTTTCAATGTCAATGATTATAATAAATATTCATAATTAGCTATAAATAACTAAGAGTTATACTTTATTCTTAAAAGTTTACCCTTCAATCTTTTTAATTTTATTCTTCAACTATAGAATCGACATGAAACTTGCTAAATTAAAAGCTATTTTAACAGACTGTTATCTTAAACATGGAGTAAATAAACTCTCAATTGCTACAATTATAGTTCTATTGTATTCATGAGCCATATCATAATTATTCATATCATTGCTAGATTGTTTGATGCTAAGTATTAATCAAATGAAAAAACTTAAACAACATAATATATGTGTTTTATCAACTTATTAGTGCATGAAGTTGTTACATTGAAAAGCTCACATGTCATTATAGTACAAAAGTTCATATAATTCTGAAGCAAAACTATTTTTTTCGCAATTTTCTAACTAATTTAATTTATTAGTTGTTTTATAAATGTGATCTGAAGAAATAGAAAAAAAAACATATAGAAAGTTAGAAAATCTACGATTATCAGTATTCAGCTAATTATTCCCTCTATTAAATCGATTCAGCTCAAAGTATGAAGTTAATGTACTTGATTCCATTCTGAGAACTTAATTTCAAATGGATATTACATTTAAAGTTAGATATGTCTATTATAGATTTAATTGGATAACAATCAGAGCAGTCGATTTGTATTTCAAAGTATATTGAATAATTATCATTTTAATATCTCCAAGAAATAACTTATTTAATTTATATATAATATTTCATTTAAATATCCATGTAATCAACTAATCTTATATTATTTCTTCTATTTCAAGGGGATTCATTGCAATGTACTCCACTAGATCGTGCCTATAAAAGTAAGGTTTTGGGACATTACCCTGATTCAGTTCCTTGGAATCCATTTGATGAGCATGCAGTTTGTATGGTAACTAATCTTTAACTATAACTCGTCATAATGATAGAATAATTCAATAACAATGCTAACGAGTACATTAAAAAATAATTTATTATTTAAAAAAAAGAGTAATAATGGTAAACAAAAATTAATTGATATTGAATTTTTATCTATATTCTACAATTTTATAAAGTAAATGCTTTTAAAACGTATTTTTAATATATACATAAAAATGATATTTTTCTGTAGTAATCTTTTTATAAAAATTTTCTATTTTAGCTATGTTTACCTAGTGGACTCCGATTCCGTACTCAAAAACATTCAGTTGAACCGTCCTTCCACTCATTTGTCCTCACAAAAGAAGATGGCCACAGAACCTACGGATTTAGCTTGGTGTTCTTCGAAGAATGCCGAAATCGAAAGATCTGTGCAGCAATGCAAACCCTCCAAGCTATGTTTATCACTGAGCTTAGTAGTGGACAGAATGGTACCCCACCAGCGTAAGTGGTTTTTCAATCTCTCTAAATCTAAACACTAGAAGAGCTCAAACGTCTTTTATTTAAGTATTAAGCTTTTATTCAATTATTTACTTGAGCAGGATGATGTCAATAAATATAAATGATGAATTATGACTTCTACATTTCGATTACTGTAAATAATAAGCAATGTAATGTTCTGTTTTATTAGACCAAGAAGGGGACAGGATCCTCACAACACACGATCTCTACCCAGGCATTTTAAATTGTCTGCCCACTCTCCTGGAGCTGCAATGGCCTATTATGATTCTACCAAAGATAAATTACTAGTTACCAAATCAATATCTCTCCTTTGTCAGCAGCCTTATCTTCACGCTGCTCGAACCTTTCTCACTAATCTATATAAGTAAGTGATATAGAACATAATTATGGTTTATTCAAACCAAGTCTTAACTCAGTTAAGAATAAAGCTATCGAAGTTACTTGAGTGTGCATGCTAAGTGAACGATTGGAGCAATTTGAAAGGATAATTAAGAAATTGAAAGTATTATTTCTCGAATATATATACTAAAATAAATTTTTGTTCTTACGTTCATCCTCTTATTCTTGGATTAAATCGTAAACTTTTATGAGAAAAAGTTGGGATTTTGTGATTTATTTTTTATGAAGAGTTAATTAATTTAGTAAACAACATTACTATTGTAATGTTTATAAATTTTAGTAATAATAATTTGTAATATGAAGCATTGATTACTCAACTGTAGATTGACTTCATAAATATTGCAAGTTACCAAAAACATATTTACTCGTGTTAAATACATCTATCAATATTACATAAATCAACTTATCAGTGAATTCATAAAATTATGTTAATTATATGTCGAATCAAATATTTACAAACAATTGAAAGTTTACTTATATTTACAAAGTTTTCATTTTGATTGAATAATATATCCTTTCTTCAAAATATTAAGCCTATTCTCTAGATAAGTTTGTCTTGAAATGTAACAAAGCAATCAAAAACTTTTTTTTTTATTGTTACTTTTATCCATCAAATGTATTCATAGAAATGAATCTATAGGAAGAATAAGAAAAGTTAGGAAACTTTGACTTATTTCTAGACCTCTCACAAGTGTTTCTGAATTAATAAAAATTTTATTTCTCAATGAACTAATATTATATTATAATTTACGGGTAAATTAGAATAACAATAAATATGCTAATAATATGTATTGTATTTTTGAACAATTCCAGATGTGTTCCAAGACATCCAGGACCAGGATTAAGTTTAGAATCCTACGTGTACAACCTCTTATACAACGTACCAGTTCCTCTGCCTGGAAAGTCGTTGAAGTTTTTTGTTCCGAATGATGAGCCGGCCAAATCACCCCTGGAGCTTGTTATCCTTTACCCATCCCCTTCAACAGAACTTCCTCTTCTTGACTACCCTCTGAAAGACGTGTTTACTTGGCTTGGACCAGAGACCGTAATCCAGTTGTTCACGTGTGTGCTGTTAGAGAATCAAGTACTTCTTCAAAGCCGAGACTTTCACAAACTTATGGTTGTTGCTGAATGTATAACTGCTCTTCTTTTTCCGTTTACTTGGCAACATGTGTATGTACCTATTCTACCAGCGAGTCTTCATCACTTCTTGGATGCTCCTGTACCTTTTATTATGGGCTTACATGCACAAAGTGAAGGAAGTAATTTAAAAATAGCTAGTGAAGTAAGTAATTACTTCCTTTCTGTTCATTGAAGTATTTTTTCCTTAAGTGGTATTGACGAATTTTTTTTTTACAGGCAAATCTTTGTTACGTAGATATTGATAAACAGTCTAGTCAATTTCCAGAAGAGTTACCAGTTTTTCCACGAAAAATGCAATTTCTTGCCGAGATTCGAACGCTTTTGAATAAGTACAAAATATCCCATTCAGAAAAGTAAGTGAAAGTCTTTTGGATTTCGATGAGTTTTAAATTTATTGCTAATTTATAATTCTCAGTATTTTTATAAAGATTTTATTAACTATACAATTTTCTTGGTTTTATATCTATTCAGGACTGACAATATGGTCATAAATTATATAAACTCAGATATCATGACAAGTAGTTTAACGCTACCTGGTTCTGGCTTTTATATGCCTCGAAGAAAACATTCGTTGCACGATGTATTAGATTGGGATAAATCTGATTCTGTACCTCAATCTGATGCAATACAGAGGATCGTAGATATTGTCAAGAAAACCGAGATCAGTTTAGAAGATATGGATACGATAGAAAATATGACCAAAGACGAAATACTTACACCAAAAGAAGAATACCAAAAGACGCTTATATTCAACAATGCTGTCAGAGAAATTTTCTTAAATCGTTTTGTACAATTATTCGCTGGATATGAAAATTTTGTTATTCATCCGAATCAAGTAAATATCAGCATATTTTTTCGATTATATTTATTTGCTCTCATTTTTAGTACAATAAATAAAGTTTTTAAATTATTCTTATTATTATCGATATTTCCAGGATAAAGATGAATGGTTAAATAATCGTGATAGCATGCATGTGTTTGACAAAGCAACATTTTTGTCTGATCAACCCGCCCAACATCTGCCATTTTTGTCACGATTTCTTGAAACTCAAATGTTTGCGTCTCTTGTTGATAATAAAGTGATGTCTTCATGGAGTGGGTTAGATTCAAACATTAAGATATTCGATCAAAGGATTGCATTAATAAAGTCAGTACATTTTATTCATAATTGTTCACTATTATTGAAAGATAGATAAACATTTCTTTTATACATACTAATTAAAATAATTATAATTTTGCAGGAAAAAGGTCGGGGATGGAATAATACGATCAACACGCTATGAAATTTCAAATCATACAATAGAGACTCAAAAGGCATTAGAGCACAAGTTGAATAATGTAGACTTTGAAGCCAGTCCCCCAATAGAAATAGTACCTCATCGTGCTGCATATTTTAGAAGTTTTCCGCTTCTTGATTCAGTTGCACTTAATAAAGAGCCTGCCCAAAGGTAAAACATTTTTTTTCCATTTATAATTAATTGCTTTCATAATTACGAACCTTTTCATATCCATTACAAATCTATCCATACATCGTAACCAATAAATTATACTAATAATTTTCATTTTCATTTATTACGCTTGACGGATAGTATATTACGGTAAGTAATGAGCCGTCTTAACATTATTTTATAATTTAACTTTCTGTTTAACTTTCTTTGTCAATCGAATAAATTTTGGTGAGGATAATATAAAGTATCATTTCATTTAAGTAAACAGTCAAGGTTTATTCCTTGAGCTTAACCTTGTGAAATAAGATATTCAATCATAAAGAATAATGGAGGCGCATAAAAAATATTTTAATTTGATTTACAGTAGTCGGAAAGGCCAAACGCAATGGAAATATAAAATGAAATCTATGGAAACCAACGGAAAACCACCGACACCACAAGAAACACAATCTCCGAGGCCACAAGCGAAACTATCTGCAGATATGAGTCCTGCTCTTATTGCTCAGGCAAATTGGACCTTTGTTGAAAAATTGCTCAAGGTAATAAATTGACAATTTTTTTAGCTGATCAGTTTTTTTTTTAAGAAAGTTAATTTTTATCATCATTCATTTTCAAATAAAAAACTGTTATTAAATACTTTCAATTCCAAAGTAACAAAAACCGATGTAATTTATTGATTATAGGACTGCAAGTCTAAAACAAAACGAATGCTAGTCGAGAAAATGGGGTCAGAAGCAGTTGCTCTTGGTCATGGAACAGAATCTCTCGTAGATCTTGAAGAAAATACGCTAGTAGCTAGTTTATGTGATTTATTAGAGCGAGTCTGGAGTCATGGACTACAAAATAAACAAGGGAAAAGTGCGCTTTGGTCACACTTATCGATGTATCAAGAACTAGATGAATGCAATGACTCCGCTAAATCCATAGATCCTCATTTCCTCTCACCTGGTAAGTTTCACAACACTTTATGAATTCATAATTCGCAAATCGGATGTCTTATATTCAATTTAGGCAAGTCTATTACAACAATGAAAGTAAAATAAATTATTCTAAACGAAACATATGTCAACTATTATAACACGAATTGATTTTGTTTTTAATAATTGTACTTCACATTTAAAATGCAGCGCTCGCTTGGTGCGTGCTACGGAAGCGGCTTGACTGTACGTGATTTATGTAATTGAAATACATAATTTACGTAGCAATGATTATGTTAAGCACTGTTGTGACTTCATTTTTATTTAATTTATATTTATTTAAGACATGAAACGTAGCAACTTTCTAAATTGCACAAGTCTTGAGCGTATTTATTAGCACAATGTTGTTATTTATTTATTATTGATCTATGTTATCACTCGAAATTATTTTTCTGATATTATCGCATGAGTGGAGTAAATAGTTGTTACTGTTCTTTTAAACTACGATATTTTATGAATATTTTAAAAACAAATATTTTTTTGGCTAGATTATTATTATTTTTATGTATATTTTTTTAATGTTTTATATAAATAGCTCCAAAACCATCGATAAAAACAAATAAATCTTATACATTGAGGGATCGTCTGGTATCATCGATTAAGACGAGAAATATTTATGAAATAGCTTCTTGTATCAAGGAAAATCTTCATGGTAAAGTTATTTTGGCTTTCTGCCATTAGATGCAGTAAAAACTTACATAAGTAATAATACTTTAATGCATCAGAAGCTATGCAAACGGGGTTTTAAAAAATTAAAAAGATGACTTTTTATTAAAGTTTATTTACAACAATGATAAGTTTTCTTTGGAATGTAAAATGCACGAAGCATGTTTTATTGTAAATATAAGATGCTTTGTTTTGTCTTCGTCTGTGTAAAAATTTGAATGACTTGATATTTAAATTATCGTGATGTGCCATGCAACTTTTGCTTAAAAAATGACTGAAGGATTTGGATGGAAAGAATATAATAATGGAAGGTTTTAATAAATTTTTCTTTCTGCAGATTTATCAAATTTAGCTTTGGAAACGGATGTATCTCCTACAAGAGGAAATGAGAAACGTGCAACTGGTGAAAAAAAATCAATTGGACCAGAGCATTTGAGACCTTTACCAGATTCATTGACGTTTGACATAAGAAATGTTCAAGCCATGACAGAAATAAAAACGCATATTGGTTATGCAAGAGCATGGGTTAGGCTCGCCCTTGAAAAGAAACTTCTTTCCAGACACCTCAAGACATTATTATCGAATACTACATTGTTAAGGTATTTATTTAGATATTTTCTACAATTAGTGTATCTCTTATTATTAAGTTGACTATTGTATAAATTATCTTTGTTAATAAATATTTGTTTAGTTTACTATTTAAAATATTGAAAAGAAAATTATTCACATTTTTTTATAATATTTTTTAGTTGATTAAAAAAATATCTTTTAATAGGAGCCAATATAAAAGGTCAGCATTTCTCCGATGTGAAGAAGAAAAAGAGCAGTTTTTATATCACTTATTGACCTTGAATGCTGTGGATTATTTTTGCTTTACCAACAATTATCCCACGACTAAACTGCCGTATCGAGTTATCATTTTTCCAAGTAGAAAAGCCAGTGCTGCAACGACTTCTGCGAATGGTTGGGTAGTGATTTCAGGAACGTTATGTGAAACTAACCCAGTTCCGATACCAAAAGGCGCCTTGGAGTTTGTTTTCCATCATAAAAATCTTGGTGTCTTATCAACATTACGAATTGGTCACGATAACTCCGGTTTATCTCCCAAGTGGATGGTAGAGCATGTAGTTGTGAGAAACGAAGTCACAGGACATACATTCAAGTTCCCTTGCGGACGTTGGCTTGGCCGAGGAATCGATGATGGCTCAACTGAGAGATTATTAGTTGGAGCTCTTGTTCCTCGTAGTATTGATAGTGAAGAATTAGTTGAAACTTGTTCAACTCCGCCAAGATGTAGGTCTCCAAGTATACCGCGCAAACCCACACTTTCTCCAGATGAACTTCAACACATGCTTGGAGAAGCTGTAAATGCAATTGTTAAATTTCACTATAGACGAGATCCTCAAGATGGTTCATTAACTGCTCTTTTATGTGGTGAAGGTGGACTGGTACCATCGTTAGAACAGACATTTTTATATGGATTTAAAAATCAACGGATATTTGGAAGAAACTTTTACGTTTGGGATTATCTCTTAAGAGTAAAAGAAAATTTCGAGATGTCTTTATTAGAAGAAATGGATGAATATTCAAAAAGATTAAATAGAGATAGACGATTTAATGCTGAAAATAATCAAAGGTTCACTATTTTTCGGTGTTACTGTCATCTTATTGATCAAATCAATACCTTCAGTCATACGCTAGGGAAGGATGGGAAATTCCAACTGTTCATTTGTCTTGCAGCAAGGTAAGATTAATTCTCATCAATATATCAAAAGTTTTTAATTATTAAGATCTTAAGACGAAAGTCAATACTCATTTCTACCACATAATTAATTAAGTAAGAGTTAATAGAATTTTAAATGTTAATTAGGGAACAACTTCTTCACCCCATGTTACGTCCCATGAGTGATGCACGGTCTACAATTGAAATGTATGAAGAATCATCCTTCTTGAGAAATCCTACATTGTTGAATTTCCTTATTCACATTCTTGAACCACTCAGTGAATTCCATATAGTCCTTGAAAAAAGTTTAACTCATGGAATCTCGAGTATATGTTAAAATAAGTAAGCATAAAAAACTAAATATAATTTCTAAATGATTATAAACAATCGTTACCTGAGGAAGCAAGTGTTTCTTCTATAGAAAAAAATGAAAAAATATATAACTATATATCAGAAAAGTCCTAAAATATTGAAATTTGTGTCGTAAATAAAAAAGATTATGTTGAAAGAAAAATCTGTTGAAACGAGTTAAATGCAATCTAATGGCATGAATCGTTGAAAACAAAGACTGTCCAATAAATATTTAAAATAGTAATAATATAGAAACATTGTCAGTCGTAAAAAATTCTGACTCTAACTTTTTTATAAAATGGCGTTTGAAAATTTCAACAATGTTAACGACCAAACCCGACCAAACTTGTCACAACATATAATTGTAATGAATTTTAATGAGTTTTTAATTAATTTTGAATTAAAACCAAAGATAAATATTTATAATGATACTCGTCGAATTGATAGTTAGATTCTAGCAATAATAAAACTTATTATTTTTAAAAAATTATATTACTTCGCCAATAATTGTGATTTAGAAAATGTTCACATGACATTAAATAATTAATTAGTTGTAGACTTCAGTTAGACTGGACTTTTGAATTAATTAAAATAATGAGTAATCTCTTAAAAACAATAATATTTCTCAACATAATACAAAAAAAAACCAATTTTCACACGCCATATGTATATTATATTCATTGTGTTGACATATAACTACAAATGAACAATAAAAATTTATATAAATGAAGTAATCAATAAAATTTAAACTATAATACAGTTGCTGTAAAGCTATTTAATTATACAGAAAATGTTTAGCAATAATTTAAATGATGTGTGATAGTATAATTTTCTCATCAATTAAGTGAAAGTGAGTGAGTCAAATGCACAATACATAGTTAATAGTTAAAGATAGGCAATTGATATTGAACTTAGTTAAGTTTTTTATATAGTTAAAATTCATAATGGATTTCTTTTTCAATAGCTTCATTTTAATAATTAAATATTTTATGAGCACAATGATTACAAAGTGCAATTTTAATGTTTTGAATGCCAAATGGACTATCAGTTATTCAGTAAATTCCAATAGTTAAATTAATGTATTTGACACATACATTTAAACAAAATTTCTGATATTTAGAAATTTTTGTCGCCATTCTTGTCAATAATTCAATAATATGTATATAAATACCGTAAAAGTGGAATATAAACGTAATTTTTTTTAAGAGAATAACTCATATATATATATATTAAATGTACATAAAAGTAGATGTAACATTTTATTGTACAGTAGGTAATGATTATAAAAAAATGAAATGAATAAAAAAATTATTGATCATAAGTATTAATCATTTTTAATTTTAATGAAAAAAGTAAAGTAAACTGTAAAAGTTAGGGTTGAAGTTGAATAATAAAACATGGTTTAAGTATTTGTATAAAATACCAATACTTTATTTTTCACCGACTATGCGTATTGTAGCGCACATGATATGTACAAAAAAGTTTTCTGATTTACATATTACAAGTTTTCGATTACTACTAAAAAAACAAAAATATTTATGTAGACTAAATTTAAAAATAACTTGATGATTCGAATAGTAAAACAATCAAGTTTTTAACAGAATCGTGTATTTTGTGCAATTTGAGGTATATCAGCGGTTCTATTGCGTGAAAAAACTGATCAAGTGAGATAATCATGTATCGTAGAAAAAAATTTTGTATATGGTGATGAATCAGTGCCATATATAAACTGAAAACCTATGACACTGTAATTAAAAAACAACGAATAATTTAAATAATTGTCCTATATTTTATAGCCAGTGTGCTATGGACTATAATTTAATAAAATAAATGTTTCGCTGCGATTTTTACATAGCTTTGACGGACAATATTTATTTATAACTTTTTTTAACTTTGTATTTAATGAGGCACTAGATCGTATATTAGATCATTATATATGTTCTCTCGATATTCATAATATTCATGGACTCGTAAAAAATAATCCCTAGATTCATGCATAAATTTTGGCTTGTTTAATTAGTACAATCTTTTAAAGACTTTATTGCGAAATTAGATAATATATTATATATTTTGCAACCTATTAGTTTTCGTTTAGCTAATTTCACAAAAAATATTGAAAGAATTTTAATATAATAAAAATCTTAAATAAATAATAAATAAATTTTATTTTTAACGAGTCTATGAATAATAATTGAACTCGATTTTTCGGCAGTTATAAAGCATACTTTATGATAATATTATTTATACAACACAACTAATTATCATTCAAGATGTATTCTGAAATATCCATAGTACATCTTCGTTTCATTCCGAAATATTTATATTACTTCACATTCTAAATTGTACTACAATTTGGTTATAAAAAGTATGAGCTAACTTTTCTTTTATCGGCACGACTGTTATTTTTTTCCTGTGGGAAAATTTCAAATGATAAATCCTGCAATAAATTTAGAATTTATTTTAAAAGAAGAAAAGAAATTGGCTTCTTTATAAAAAAATGTTAAAAAATTTATCGCATCAATCTGGTGTTTATTTCTAAAAAAATATCTTTGCATTTCAATTCAATTTTCGAAATCTTGTTTTTCTCGTGCCTGTCTATTTTTATTCATTAAGTACTAACCAATTCTCACGGCTATTCATTATTATTCTGTTTTTATTTAATGAATTAAAATCATTCAGATCTCGCCTGTATCTTTTAATATCTTAAAATACTTTCACTCTCAATTTATAACAATATACACTGAACATTCTTGACCGATTAACTTTGCCGGAATAATAAGAATTTTTTTTATTATTTTCATAACAGCATACATACTTAGAACAAATTCTTAGTTATAAGAACATGCTATATACTTTAAATATGTACAACCGGGAATATTTAAATATCTAAACGTAACTTTCTTCTTTTTTTTTTTTGTTTTTCCCGTTTTTTTTTTCAAAATAAACATTAAGATAAATTGCATACAACGTTTTTTCAACAATGAAAAACGACGTAAAAAAAATCAGACAACTTTGTCTTTTTCTTGGATTTTTTTTAACTTTTTTTATATGAATTTTTTAACAAAATACATTCATACAATACATTCGATTAACAATCACACATTCTCGTATACCATTAGCCGACTACAAAGTCGATACTCTCAATTTCTACACCACTCCTGATAAGACAAAAAAACATCTAATTAAACACTAGTAGCGATACATAAAATATCAAAATTATTCGCTTCTCTTCTGTGTTTCACGTATATACAAATCCTAAATGACTGGGTATGACTATATTTATAATTATTATTATAATTATCTTTTAGTGTCGGACATCATATGATGTATTTTTTTCTTATACAGTAACTAGTATCGCCAACTAAAAATTAAGTGTACTTATTAATTAATGTGTAAAGCGTATTGCATAGCCTTCCCCTGAAACGTCCCCCGTTTACAATCTTTTTTGATACAATGTCGTTATTTTTGTTTACAATCAGTAGGAGACATTGAATCTTCTTCTCTCAAGTTCCAAAGTCATTTGTGATCTTTGGATCATTAGCAAAAATTATTTTGCTGTAGAGCACGAACGATGTGCTATCTTTCACTATCAAAATTGTTTTTTTTTATGATTGTTGTAATCATCAACCAATGATTTGAAATAGACGTCAATTTTCATACGAGCCAGCCTTAAAAGTGAACATCCCTGACGTCAGTGGGCGTGCCCGCTTTCTCATGCTCCATTATCTTGTCCTGGCTCGTGTTGTAGTCCCCCAAAGGTCTTGTATGTGCATCTATTCCACTACCCAAACCTGCCGATTGAAGACTGCTGATTCTTGCTTGTGATACCATGTCTTCAACTTGCTCGTAACATCCTTGCAAGTAGTCCTGAACAAAAAACAAAACGAATCTTATTTATTAATTGTACGATTTTGGTTCAAGATGTACTAGAATTAGCCTTTTAAATATTTTAATTGAAAGTAAATGCAAATAAGATTTGTTTAAATAAGCTTATCATAAAAATAATAAATGATAATCATTTTTAAATGTTCACTTTTTTGAATAAAGTGAATATTTCAGAAATATAACTGGCTCATGAAGTTTGAAATATTGTATAAGATGTGCAAAAAATGAAGAATGTCATCAATTTGATTAAAAAGTTAATTTTCAAAAACGATGATTGAATACTTGGACCTCATGCCGAGTCATTCATATATCAGTTTATATATACTATCTTAAAGCTTACATCTACTTTCATATTCTTTGAATATCGTTTGTCTCCAAGAAGATGTTCTTATGCGAAAACATATGCCCGGCACCTGCTGCTCTTTAATATCCCATGACATTTTTTGTTAGATATCTTTTCCTGCGGATGCGATTTACATCCCAATACCGAATAAATTACCGAGAATCTATCCTAATTCACTTATGTTCAACATCTGATATGAGTAGCTTTTTTCCTGATTTATTTATCATCAACCCTATTTTTTTATCTTCCCAATTTTTTTAATTTTCTGCTTTATGACTTTTTATCAGATTTTTTAGTACATTTCTTAATGATATAAAATGATAAAAATTTTCGTGTGACTACTGAACTATGATGCTGTAAAAAATCTAGATTTACCAACCTGTTCGATAGCAGTGATGCGGGTGAGTTGATCAAGGAGACCAGAAAGCCCATAACCACTTTTTCCAGTCCAATCAAGTCCATGAAGAGCAGCCGCGACACTCGCAGCTGCAATCATACTCGGCGTGTACATGGAGAACTTGTATTCTGTAACAAAATAAATAGACACAAATTAGCAACGTCTACGTCGATAATTTTTGTGGGTTCAGAGTCGAGAGAAGCAAGCAAGTTTTCATATGAAGGTATTTAAAACAAGACGAGATAAGTCGGGAGGCCGATAAGCCGAGAAAATTTGTATTCATATGGAAAGATGTATGTTTAACCGGTTGAGCACCAGACGGTGTCTGCATTCCCCTTACGTCGAGTCTGGCCTTCGACTTAGCCGATAGACCGTCTCAAATTGCAATTATCTATCGCGACTTCTTTAACGCCAAGGATTCAAGACTGGTTTGACATCTACATGGCGTCAGTTCAAAGGGTAGAAAAGAGTCCAAGTGTTCATAAAGAAGAATGACTTGGTCTTGTAGATCCTCAGACCCGTGAGAAGCAATCATCTCGGAGAGACCGCGGGTCCTGGCTTGTTTTTGCCACCGTGGCTGTAATAATAACCGCCGGAGCATCTAAAAGGGTGTTGGGCAAGACAGTAGATGTTTAACCGTCATTCTGCGGTCACTTTAGACATCGAGACATTTATATCCTTCATTTTTAAAGCTCAGTAAGTCTCGCTTTGTTATCCTTAACAATTTTCCATTCTGTTCGACTTTATTGTTTATCATAAAATTGATTGATTGTGCTTTTATATTTAACGAAAAAATTTTTTTTAAATTCTCCCTTCAGCATTTTAACAACAAAAGTAATATTCTTTTATCACATAAAAGTGTTCATTAAATAAAAAATTTTCTGCAATTAGAATGATTTATTTTATCAACCGATCACTTGAAATGTCGTGGCAACTATGAAAATAAAAGCACCTGGTATTCTAGCTGTATTTTAAATAACTTGAAATATAAGGAGGAAAAGAAGGAATAAAAATCAGTGAAACCGGTGTTATCAATCCTTACCTCTTGCGCTCAGTGCAATAAAAGTTTGCGCATGTCTCTTGATCATCAGACAGTCCCATGTGCGTGGATCAACTGGTAGACGTGTGAGAATGTGCAAAATATAATCGCCTGGCGTTACTGCTGATAATTCCCACTTCAATTTCGACACCACTAGCTGTTCCCACCTCTAAAAAAAAAATCGATAGTTATTTAAATTGACCAAATATTCAACAGACTTCATTTTAATTTCTAATTAACAGTAAACATTTTTTTGCAAACAATAGTCAATGTTTTTTGTAAAATCGACATTTATTGCCTTTTAGAGTTTTATTAGCGCTGAATAATTTCTGTTTTTTCATATTTAACCTATGGATACGAAGATTAAGCAATTTTTAGGTCATTAATTTCACTTAATAATCTTAAAAGGCGTAGTTATTTAAAAGTCACAACCCGGAGGTTAATTTTGTTCAATACTGTATCTACCTAAAAAAGAACTGGAGTTTATCTTTTCCTTTGTATGTATAATGAAACCGCTCGTCGATACGATGAAAATATGAAATAACATATTTTATCAAGAATTTTATCGCACATAATTAAAGGGACGTGTAGATACATGCGTGACAATTGTTTCATTATATTATTATTCCCATAAAATAATCAGCGAATCGCAATATACGAGCCTTTGTAGTATACGTTCCGATACTCGAGCGTACGCAAAGTCTAAAAAAGAGACAGAAGTTGATGTGCGTACGTGGATGAGTAGTAAGTGTAACTTCAGGTGAATGAAACAAAGGCATGTAAAGAGAGGTTAGAGAGGGAAAGGATACGGGATCGTCACGCTCGACACAACGGTGCCTACGCGTACTTCTTTTCTGTCCCTCTTGCTTCCTTTTTACTCATGAAGGCACGGTACACTGCGTACGCTCGAGTAAAACGCTTGATCTTAACTCGAGTCGACGATCTAGCTCGAGGGCACTGGGCTATTATACACCTTGGCTGTGGTTACCACATATCTACACATTTTCTTCAACACCGAGGTATTTATAACAATCATCCAAGTCTTAATAAAGAATACACCTTGAAATTAAGAAGCCTATTAATGTGGATTCAATTAAAATTACCATGACTTTGAATTATCATCATTTGCTTACAAATTACCTCAAATCTTCCTATGGTATAATTTAAAGTCGACTAAAATATAATTTTTAGATTATTTCCATTGACTTCTTTATTCGAACATTATTTATAATTTGAAAGCGAAAAATTTTAATACCTAATTTTATCTCGAAAAAAATTTTCTCATTTTTAAATAAATGCATGTATTTTATAGGTCATCCTTTTAAAAGAAGATGGAGGTTATGTGGGTTTGGAATGATGAATTTTTAGAGTTATGGCTGTAATATTTTTGCCCATGACTGTATCTGAAGTAGTAAAAGTGTATGAGCAGGTTGTAGAAGTCACATGCGTGGTAAAATGTAAGTAGATCGGTTCGCACGAGGCCGATTTTATATCTTTACATATTCAACACGGTTCCTCTTCAAAGAACTCCAGTATAACTAGTCCTCCTGCACGTGTTGGAACCTAGAAGTTCGTCAAGTTATAAATCTGGACAAGACATGGAGCAAGTTGGAAGTCTAAATTGAGTAGCTGTTAAGGAAGAGCTTGATTCACGCAGTTTATATGACAATGCTTGAAATGTCTTTCTCCAAGTCTACGAGATTTGCCAGACATGTGGGCGACAAAATGTTATTTCTTTTACGACACAAAAATGGCAATGTAATCCAAGTCCATGAATCATCATGTCTACTTTTAAACTACTATCAATACTTACAAGATTATATTATTGGTCATGTACAGAAATATTTCGTGTTATATCATTTTTTAGATATTTAAAACATCCTTTATTTATTGAATTACATATTTCTAATACAATTAAAGTCCATGATAAAATCCATTGAAATATTTACATTAATTGACCATCTATTAAAATAATTCTTGACTACAAAGTTACTTGCAAAACTTTCGCGTGAGATTACGAAGTCTGGCAAAAATTTAACGCTTCTACCTGAGAAGCAGTTCCAAGAAATGAAGATCCTTTTATCTGGTTCCAGCGACGAGCAATCGATAGGATTTCGTATGAGAAAAAGAGGAAGAGAGTATTTTGGATGAGGAAAAAATAAAAAAAAAAGTAAATTTATACCTGTGAATATGTGGTATAGCATTGGGAGCAAGAGAAGGAGGAACAAATATAAAAGCTGAAGACAAAGATAGTCATAGGGCGGCGCCTGTGAGCAAGGTGTTTACCATTTTAGCCAAAAATAAAGTACAAAGCAAGAACACGGACGTAGTTGCTAACAAAAACCAGATTCGCTTGTGCACATTCTTTGCCAGTAATTCTCCATAGATGTAACAGTGAAGGGAAATTCTCTTTCTCCTTCTCTATTCCTCTTCCGTCTTAGATGAAATAGGTACTAATATTTTTCTTTCCCGCTTGATTATCCTTTCTTCTAAGAACTACCTTGGTGACACATCTGCTCTTGTTGTTACCGTTTCTCGCAGTTGCTTTGCTCTTTTTTTATCCTCATTTTAATCCCATGAGAAATGAAATGTTTATCACAAATAATCATTTTGTGGTTGGGTTTTTGTACTTTGTAACTCACTGATGTTTACTTTTATGGCAACAGGTATTTTGTAAGAAGCTTTTTATATATTTCCCAATTATAATATTAACTATTTCGAGGAAAGTAATTTTTAATAAAAATAAGTCTTACTAGTTTGAAGAACAAGATAATAAATGATAAATTCACTTTAAGACTGATGATCAACATTAATAAACTAACTGGATTTCGTTTGTTATTCATCGATATGCTTTTTTGTAACTCCATGTAATTGCCTTCTAAGTCAGCCATAACATGCCTGAATTAATTTATTTATTTGCTGAATGTCATCATAAATTAATTACATGGTACATTATAAAAGTAAACTGGCATTAAAATTGTTCAAATTTGTTAATGATTCCTGTTGATAAAACCAATGGTAAAATATGAGAAAAATTTGGTGAGGTATCACTGAAACTTTCTAATACACATTTATTCCAACGAATCCCGTTCTACTACGTCGTGCGAAACGTATTCGATTATACTCACTCATGTTTTAAAAATTGTATTGAAGAGATACACATGAGAGACCGCTAACCGATGAAACACTCGTCATCAGTCAACTCCATCGTGTTCTCAGGGTCTTTATTGTATCATGGATTTGGACACCACACCAAGGATCGTAAAACCGGATGGAATTTCGCAGTTAAAATGCCCTCAAGGCTTTCGCATGAAATTTTTGACCATTAGAAAGAAGACATTAGGCATACTAATGTTTCAAGGAAAACGTGGTATATAATATAATAGAAATAGGAATAGATATGAGAAATTTTTTTTTTATAAATATAAATAAATTTAAAGGTAATTTTTTTTTGCAAGGAAACATAATGAAATTCATCAATCAATTAGCTTGATTATCGTTAACGTGAGAGAATCTAACACAAGTTAACATTCATTCCTATGATATTAGGAATAGTTTGGCTATGAGGCCATCATCATGTGAGTGGCCCTGACTATTCTCAACAAGAGTGGGAGTGTTGACCGGCCACGAGGCCACAAATTTGCTCGTAGATACATATACATATTGACTATGGGCTTTCTAACATTAGCTCTCTGGTGCGGATGTGACGTTTCGAGAGAAACGTTCGACCTTATTGAATTTAAATCGCTTTGTTAAAAACCACTTGAATGATGACAACTTTCATTCATCAAGAAGATCAATTACCATTAAATATAAAAATTGAATCAATAAACTCTCAATTATTTTGTAAAATGGAAAATTTGAATAAGAATTACTTGACACAATTGGAACTAGAACTTTTCAACATCTTTCAAGCCACACGTGGAGTCAAGAATTAATTAAACTACAGGTCCTTTTCTTTAATAATATTGATCAAAGTCAAAAATAACATGATGTTTGATTATTCCCCTTCTTCGATTTCAGATCTTTTCAGTTCAAGTCAAGTTTGGAATATTTTGGATCAATACTATATTTTGCGCATTTCCGCTTTGGCACATTGGTGTATTCAATATTGGACATATCTTCAAAAATACCAAGTTCCGGCCACCATATGTTTTCTTACACGAGAAGATTAGTTTGTAATTGAACCACAACATAAATGAATGCACCTGTTGCACCTTGAGGTACCTTTATACATCACCGACAGGTGCAGTATTACAACTTTTAAGGTGCATCCTACTTATATCCTCTTATCTCTGACTTTTCTTCATCCTCATCAGGTAAATAAATATTTTTTCCAATGTTTTCTCATTCACCCTCTCAGCTGCTTAGCGTACCCTTGCTCCAATAATTATTCTAGTCATTTAAATAGATTTTATTTAATTGCAGGAATTTTTAGCAACAGGTCAAAAATTTTTGAACTTTGTAGCATGCCAGGATGTTATTATCTTTGTAAATTGGAAAAAAAGCAGGGAGGAAACGAGAGCAGATGACTGATTGTAAGCTTTATGTGGAGAGGTAAAGAACATAAAGAGCAGGTGAGGAGATACGTCGACTTGTTTCTAAATTAGACTGTCGACTGGAAATATTCTCGTGTCACGTGCTGCTCTTTAATTGCGGGGGCAGGTGGGTAATAGTCCTGCTCACTAAAAAAAGAGTTTGAATGGTTTTTTTTTGCCAGATAAAAATAAAAAGTTATTCATTCCATTGAATGATTCACCATTTAAAATTTAAATCCTTTTTTAAATGCTTTTTTGTACCAAGATTTCTTTTTCAAAAAAATATCAGAAATTCATTGTTGAAAAAATGTTCAAGTGTTATAGAAATATGTTTAACATTGTAAAAGGAATATTTATATCAACATCTGTTTAATTATTGAGAGCAAAAAATTACAATTTCCACACATCTTCTATTGATTTACATGAAGATTTAAGGTTTTCATTGTGATGGTTGCATGTAGGAAAACTACTTTTATGTGTGGATGATGTGGATGGAGATGATAAAGGAAGTGCAGCTGTCGAGAAGAATAGCAAGGCACGCTTCGACTTGTCACGACCCCGCGAGCCTTCGACTCCTTCGTTTCCCAAGAGAAATAATAAAAAGAATGCGACGGAGAAAGAGAATCTAAGTGAGTGAGAAAAAGAAGGGGTGTAGTGTAAAATGTCTGATGCAGCAGCTGCTAACTTTGAGCACGGGCCCGGTGCACCACCCTTCTAGAAGACACCACCTGGCTCTCACCTGCTTCCCTGCTTCCACTTCTAGCTCCTGTAGATCTATGTGATGAAGACCCACCGGGCCACTATTCATACGCACTAACATTTTTCCATACTACGTAGTAATGACAACTTGATGCATCAACTAAAAATAGACTTCGGAAGCACCTTTTAGAGCATTTTCACTTTCTACGTCATTTCTATCCGTCAGGTCTCTTAATTGTTTATTTGAAGGCTGACCTTCCTTCATTCTTTCAAAAGTCTGTCATTATCCAAATGTTATTTAGTTATTCTTTGTTTGTTGATCATCAGCTCTTGATTAAATAATTCTTTCTTTGAACATTCCATCACTAGGTTGTAAATAATTGTATAAAAACAATGAATCAACTTTTGAAAATGATTTAAATCCATCAGAGAAGTTAAGACTTGGAAATCATAATAAAGTTTACAAAAACTAATGATAAGATTAATTTTATTGCAAGTAAAAACAATAGCTTGTTATATTGCTTCACGTAAGTATCATTTTATTAAATGTAGCATTAATATTTGCAATTAAGTTGTTTGATGATAAAATAAATACTAAAAATTCCATAGTATTTCTCCGCGAGTGTAGATTTGTCTTGAGGATATTAAATAATGTTGCCATATCACAATTCTTATCTATTTAGTCTTATACGGGCTATCGCATGTTATGTTTATTCAGCACCCAAGTGCTGGCGCTTTAAAGTTCTTAGAAATTTGTTTAAAAGTTCTGCCAACTCTATAAGGTAATATCAGGTGTATAATCATTAATCTTAAATGAAAAAGCTTTATTATCCAGACATTTGTTTAAATTCCATCAATTATGATTTCTAAATGTCTAATGACTTTTTAGAGGTAGATTTTTCGTTCATTAATTTCTTCATTTCTTTAGCTAGGAATGCTTATTCGTCATTCACATCATAATTCATAAAGTCTAAATGAACGTGTGAGTTCGTACACACTAAAGCTATATGAACATGAGGTCATATGTGGGGCGACAAAGAGCAAGATTCAGATTACAAAACAATAAATCTAATGATTAAACTTGCTGGTATTACATTACTGATTCCATGCGCTGGTATTTAAACTTTATTTTATTTATTTTATTTAGTTCACTTTATTATTTAGAAAGTTATAACTCACATTCTATCACTGTTTTATTAAAAGAGTTTAAATTTAAATTGATTCCAGTCTATTTATATAAAAAATTGTCACCAAATATCCAAACTATTTAGTGTTCACATAAATTAAATCTATTTTTTTTTCATGAAAAATTGAATGAAAAAATAAATTCTTATTCTCATAAATTAGCATAAAAAATTCCTAAGAAGGTTGACAATTTCTCCTATAAAAATTTCATGGTATTAAAACGATCGATTGACGATTAGAATACAACTATCGGTATAAGAGATAATCAATGAAGCCTTGTTGCGCAAAATATACATATATCTATGCCACCCAACTCATCGTATCTTATATAGTCTTTTCATTATAGAGAGATACTATCGGCCTTGCAAAATTTTGTTTCTTTTCTAAACTAGCGGTACCTAACCAAGTGGTACACATGCTTTTTAAATTTTAAAATCCACTCCAATACCTTCTACAATCTCTTTAATACAATCTTCTGTCTCTTTTTTTTATTTTACTGAATATTAGGATGAATTTTATTAATTTTTTTTCAGACTTACCCAGAGATCATCTAGTGTGATTGAATTGTCAGTGTAGAAAACAAGACGTTCTGCAGTAAGTGGCCTTGTTTCTCTGAGTTTTGAGGCAATCAAAAGACATGCTGTTCCTAGAAGTTGGAGTTGTGTCTTTCTAATTGGACATATGGACAGAAATCTGTCGAGGTAGTTCATCGACAAGGGAAATACTTCTTCTTGACACTTTCGATCTTCACAAAGCTGTTAAACAAAAAGACAAATATTAGTTTTCAATTAATATTTGTGGATTACTTATAGATTCTTATTCAAGCTACCAAAATATTCTGACCTCAAAGTGGTTTATTTATTCCACCTACCACAGGACCTAACTAAACTAAAATGCAATATTTTATAATGAAGTCAAATGGTAAATTTTTTATTTATTTAGTGAGTTAATCTACCAAAAAAAATATTGATAAATAAAAATGAAAAAGGAGAATTCTTTTTTAACAGAAATGAAATAGTATTTTTAACAAGCTTTGAAGTTCCGCCTAGCAATTGCAAACATCATTCATTCCATCTCTTCACCTTCACCTTCATCATCTTTTTCTTCTGTATGTCTTCTGTAATCTCATTGAATAGAGTCAACATTCCTACATAATTTTTATTCTCAATCCATTAGTTTTGCTTTACGAACACTGATGTGTTCCTAAAGGATCTTATATTCAAAAGAAATTCAGACTAAACTAAGAGTAAAGCGTAAAATCACTGTTACCATTTCCGACAAACTTTACACATCATGAACACAGGAATTATATTTTATATTAATTGTACATATATAATAAAAATATGGGAATCACAATGCAACAAGTAGTAAATTTTATCAACTTTATCATTCAATCTCGAGTCTTGATGGCGCTTGATATTGATTTAACTTGAAATCGGATTTATTCCGTGATAAATCCTCAAAAGTTTCATAACTTATCATGCTATCAAGTGGAATTATATTCTTTATCATGTTCTATTTTTGCAATGAGGGTGGAATGTCCGAAGAAGGTAAAAATGAATACAGGGGTGGGTAATGAGCGTGACCAAGTTTCCTCGCACCCTTTCATAGTAATTATACTGGACAAAAATATCTTGGCAATTAGCTTGAGCAACGATAGAATAGTTCGTAGATTGGATTCATATCGCTTACGTGTTTTGAAATCAAGTGCATTGAAATACTGATATTAAAGTACTTTAATTAAAAATAATGGCTTATCGACAATATTATATGTAGTCTAAATAAAGAAAAAGTTTATTTTAATTTTCAAAAACTTTTCAAATGAATCTTTATCTTGCTTTTTTCATCAATAACTTATTGAGTTTAAATTCTCTTATTTATATATGAATAAAAAATTGTAACATTAATTAAATAATGAATAAAATGATTTGATTAATAAAAAGAAGCAGCTAAAAAAATGTTCATTGGAATTAGTCACACATCAATAGATAAGTAATACTGACAGTTGAGTTGATTAAATGTCTTAAAGGTTGTCTTATATCAGTATGTCTCTCTGTTATAATGATTACACGATGATGAGACGTAACGTATGTGTCGACAAGATCGATATAGCAACAAAAATTCATTTGTAAATCTTTCTTTTTATTTACAAGGAATAAAATAACGTGACTGGAATATTTATAACAAATAGCTTAAAGAAGTTGACGCAAAACGTCAGGAATTGATGCCAATAAACCTTTAGCTTAAATAATCTCGTCACGTTTTCCAGCTCTTTCATCTTATCTTTCCCTTTCTTTCTCTCTCTACAAGTCTTACCAATTCTATCTCTATTTCTACAGTCCAAGGTCATCCTTACAAACATTTCTAGCAGCAGGAATCATAATTACACCACGTTTGCCGACGAAGACGAGTAGAGAATTTTCGTCAATTCAGCCAACTTCAAAGACACTTTCACAAAAAATAATGTCCTTTTTTTTCTCTATATCCCTCTTCATCTTACTTAAGTTAAATACTCGTTTAGCAGCTTTTTAATTCACCATTTGATTTCATTCAATTTCTCATTAATACACATTTCATTTCTGGCAAATCAATTAATCAAAAAATTAGAGAAAAGTTGACAAGTAATAAATAAGAGAGAATCAAAATGATTATTGAGAATAAAAATGATAAAAGATTTCCCGGTATATAAAAGGAAATGCGGATGTTGTAGACGATTTTTTTTTTCTCACTCAGTCGACACAATCCGTCCGGAAACGTCCGGAACTCATTACCATAGTGAGTAGAGAAGGAAGTCTGGCACTAGTTGATTATGTTGTACGAATATAACAGCAAAAGACTGGAGACTGTCTCCAGGCAATGAAATACAAAATAAGAAATGTAAAGAGATGAAGAAGAAACACAGTACGATGGAATTTTCAACTTGCTGACTCGCAGTTTCATACCTGCGGACCCTGAGGAATTCTCAAAGAGGTAAAAAAAAAACATCGAAGGTCGTCGTCGTGAAAGAAAAATGAATTAAAAGGATCCTTTTCATATTTTTTATCACAGCCTGATTTTTTGTTATTAATCCAAACAGGATATTTGTAAATTAAAGAACGTAATTTGATACAAAAGTCTTTATTAATTGGATTTACCGAAAAGATAAAGAAGAAGTTTAGCTGTTTCTAGAGATAAAAACTGATAGAAATGTCAACAAAAATGGTTTAACAATAATTTCAGCTGTTTCTTTAGCATTTGTGGAGTTGGATATTTAATATGCCAATCATGACGTCAGTGCTAAAATTTAAACTAGAAATAACTGGTAAATTTTGATATGGAACTTTCGAAATAACGATAGGTGGTCGAAATAAAACAAAAGCGAAGCGACAAGTAGTTGGTAGAGTCAAATAGCAGGGGAACATAACGTTACCAGTTGATCTTGGAAATATACGCGCACGTGCTTGATCCTCAATCCGACTAGGCTGACGATGATGACGTGAGTTAAAAGGAATAACGTTGGAATGTTTTAGACTTTTAGTCTCGAGAGATGTTGATAATCTCTTTCTTTTGCTATTCTTTATTCAGACATGATTAGGAGGACAATGCACCGATTGTATTTAATCGACACGTGTACCGGAAATCAGCGAGACTCACCTCCAACATCCACTCGGCAACGATCTTGCGCATGAGCGGCGTAATGTCTCTCTGTACACAATCGAAGTAGGAACTGCTAGGAGCGTATCGTTCTTCGGTCTTGAGTAGATTTTGTAGAACCCTTTCATCTCCAAGAAGTGCTGGATCTGGATACGCTCTACACTCGAGTTCCGTTGTTTCGCAACACAGAAGATCCATTTTATTTCAATTATCGTTATTCAAAGTCTTAAATAGACTTGAATGGATTCGAAATTATTTCGAATGTTTAAAAAATTATTTAAAAACACGCAATAGCTAAATCTATTACGCCGAAGAGATTGTTTTCCACGTGGCTCAGCTCGGAATTTCTTTCACTCACGACTTTATTCGTATAACGATTTCAGCTCACTGACAGTGGACTTGAATTTTCAATTTATAAAAATGACTAAAGACCACACTAAACACTTGTTCACAAACAAAATATTTTTGCAACTATTAATATTTTCAACACCTTCACCTTCTTGTTGTATTTCATAAGATGTTTATTATAGTAATTTTATCTCATGAGCTTCACGTGCACAAACATTTTTTTTTTTTGGGTTTTTCTTTGTGGCTCTTTGATAGATTATTATTCCTGATAATTTTTAATCGGTTTAATTGATAAATGCACGACTTATTAACTGATTTTTTTTTAAATTATAAATCACTAAAGAAATAAATTAAATTGCGGAAAATTTTTAATAAATAAGCGTAATTTGTATCCTTTGGAGATATGATAACAGTTATTGTTTATTCTAACATATGATTTGAGTCTTCGTGCACTTCTACACGATCAGACACTGGCGGCTTACCAGGTCAGAATGCTGTCCTTCGTCGATCAAACTAAACGTACTGTTCACATTTGGGATCTCCCCACCATCCAGGCGCCAGCTTAGTGCCACGTGATATGAACCGACTTGATCCCCACTCTTTCGACCTTCGAATGAAGTCTGAAGATTCTAAAGACGGAGAAATTTGAGGGGCGCCTGCTGCTGCCGCTCTAGAGCCTAGACTTGAAGCTTTGAAACTATTTAATAGCAATTTTGTCAAATTTAACTCACCTATATTAGACTGTTTTCTACAACTATGACAACTGTTGACTTCAAATCGACAGTGTCTGCAAAAACAGATGGATTACAAGAAGTGAATAACATTCTATACATTGTTTGCTATAAATTGTATTTATCAGTGTCTATTCAATTCACATAAATGAAAAAATAACCTTTTTTTCAATTATTTGATAAAAAGTATTAAACTTTTTGCTCGATCCTGAATTTATTGAAGCATGAGGAATTGAAGTTGTCATGAGAAAAGTGATAAAATTGAGTTTAATGATAACCCTGAAAGCTGTTATAGAAGCTTTTCTTGTAATAAAAAGTATTTTATTGTTTTATTGACGACTGATGAATTTAATTTCTTTCGGAAATCAACTGGAAAGCTTTCCATTTCATTGTTTTGCCACTTTATGCGCTTCCTGTGAAACCTTTGATGCTATGGAAAAAATTGTACTCAGCATCCAATGTTCTGATGACTGGTGGGAAGATCTAGCAAACTTGTTCAACTCTAAACAAAAGCAAACTGTCAGCCGTGTAGCCTATATCCTAATGACGAAGCATTTTGTAGGCTTTCGAAGAACCATTTCAAATGCTTGGTACCTCGGAGGTCTTTTTGAAAAAGCGGAAAATCCCGTTGGGCTTCAGAGCATCCTTATAATACCGCTAGTACCAACCAGGATCTTCTTTCATTTCATTCTTAATTTCATAAAAGTGTCCTTACTTTTCATTGATAGTTTGGACAAAAGCACGTTTACTTTCCATCATCAGTTCAATGAGGAAGCAAGTCAAAGTATGATGGATCTGTCTAACAAGTGCCTTTGGTATGTAATGTCTTTTAAAATATCAATGAATTCTCTATTTATTTAGTCATATTCTTTGTAAAAGTTCTTAAGATTAAAAATATTATTTTTAGAATTAAAATCAAACAAAGGAAATAACAATAAAGTTAATTCAAATCTAGAAGTCGTTCTGGTGCTGGATTATGGAGAAGTTAATCAAAAATACAACAAGAAATAAAAATGAATAACACCGCAAAAGATGACAAGTTGTCCAAGGAAAACGAGGATTTCCGTCAGGTAATTTTATCATTAAGTGTTCTCCCTTATGTTTTCTATCAAATAAATAAAGATAAAGATAAAGATAAAAAAAAGTGCAGCAAAAGAGGTACTTTATCGTGTTGGAAACTCATGGGTGGCTTGCGTTATTCCTACTATGACAAGTTATTGTACTACATTTATGATAGTAACCACGCGATTCTTAAGGCAGACCCTCCACCGGATGTGCGTGCAATCCATGTCCCCAATTTCGGACCTCCAATTGTGAATAAGCCCTTATTGATGCTGTTACATCTATGACTATTCAACTAAGATTGCTTCTTCCAGATGTGCGATGATGTCATGATGCTCTACAAGATCAAGGACATCCTCGAAATAATTTCGAAGGTCGCAATATAAAAATCTACTTATTTAAATACCACAAACAACTGGAGCAAATTTACGCTCTCGTATTTAATTCCACTAGACCGTGAATGTTCTGGATGGTGCTTACCCACTACGACGATACGCTTCGAAGATCGTCTTCGTTCAAGGAAGCCGCACTTCGTTATGCTACCTGGATGTTTCATTTGTATGAAACTTTATCAGAACCTCAGACATCAAGGATACCCAGTCTTGGAATTATAAGATACCTTCGAAGCTGTTTGAAATTATATTTTTAAGCATCATCTGCATGATGACAAACTTACTTTTTATCGTCCTCAAAAGTCCTGAGAACTTTCCGTTTCAAGCCACTTAACAGTTTCAACCTCCAACGCACTAGAATGTTCATTTTATGATAAGCTGAGAAGCGTGAAAAAATTAATTCTTTAATCGAAAACGTTTTTGGAACTAAGATACCCTTTATGATAAGAACTTTCAAATGATAACGAAGTTAAATATAATCATTTATTAGAACAATCCAAAATTTTTATGTATGAATATATTTCAGCAAAATTGATAAAAATTAATCATTTAAATAATGAGGAAATCATGAAGGTGTATCACAAAATTATCAAAGTTTCCGGAATTAAGATATTGAAATAAGGATGTGTTCTAGTGCTTTAAAATATGAATGTTTCAAGCATCTAATGATCACAAGTTGCTTTTTATCATCAATTAAATGGAAAATCTGTGATTTTAAAGCAAGCTACCTCAAAGTCTTCATGAACAACTCCTTTTGGACCTAATAATTTTATGATAAGTGAGAAAAGTCAAGCAGGCTCTTAAACTCGGTGACGTCATTATCAGCACGTAGCCTCTGACCTCCCACACTCCTCGTTTCCGTTTCATTTCCAAGAGCCCAGACGGTGCAATTGAATATTCCACTTCGACTTCGTTCTTGCGTTTAGTTTAATACAAATTTTTTTTTTCTATTCACGCCCCTCAATTTAATATCTCTCTAGAGTAAAGTAGTCACTTGTTTTTATTATCACACAATTTACAAGCTGCTGAAATAGGTCCATTTGGCTTCTCTAAAGTGCTAAAGAGATGGACCATACTCAACTTAAAAATGACAAGTGATTATTTTACAAGTTATGCAAGTAAAACATTACAAAATTACAGTCCTACTGTGCTGTATATAATTTGAAAAAAATTATTTTCATTTAAATTTCGCAGGCAGAGATTTGTGAAATTGTTTATGACACAAATTCGTATTATTTTGATGCAAGAAAATGTGGCATTTTTTTTATTGTAGCTCATTGAAACATGTGAAGAAGTTTCATTTGTAAAGCAAAAAATTATTACCATGTTGGAAACAATCGATCATTGTTGACCTAAATTGCCTTCAAAAGTCCCGGGTCTTTAATACTTTCACGCCTAAGTAATAAGTTTGTCATAAATATTCAGTACAATTTGGATTTTCACAGTAATCTAAAATTATTGAAATAAAATTTTATTGTTTCGCTTTTAATGCTTCTTGTTAACTTTTGCCTTTTGTCAGGTAGGTAAGTTTAATAGGTGAAAGTTTATAATTTATGATTTCATATTTATAAATTTAATCTGTTGTTATTATTTTTTGACTTTAGCATGAAGAACAAGAATGAACAAAATGAGAAAAAAGTGTAATATTAGTAGACTAAATTCTCAGTCATCTAGACCACCAAGAAGTGTTTTGAATTAGCTGGAACATCAGGGCCTGTGTCACGTCAGTCAAGATTTTCAAACTGGCGCCGATATGGCCTAAGTATACAGGAACTAATATCACGTATGGAGTTGTAGAATATATTGCTGAATATAGAGGTATCCAAGTCAACTTGTAATACATTTTTGTGCAGGAAGTATGGAAAATTCTTTAGATATTCATTACAAATATTAGATAACACGGCAGTGATGATAAAAAAGAGCTAAAGGGTTTCATTTTACTTATAAAAAATAAATTCTTAACCAGTCATACATTATTGTATCACTTAAACATTCATTTAATTCTTTATTCATTGACCTACAATTTTTATTTTTTTCTGAATCGCTAAATATCCTAAAAACTCTTCTATATGTGTAAGTTTTTCAAAACTATTTACCAAATAACTTAACAATTAATCTTTGCAAAATTTTTTTAGGTCACATTAAATGACTGAGTATTTTTTTTTCGTTCGTTCACTGTTAATTTTATGATGACATTTAGTGAAAATTAATTTTTTTGAGTTTTAAAAAAAAAATTTTAATTATGACTATAAAGTTTAAAGAGGTTCATTGACAGACAGGTGTCGAACAAGTGTTAAATGATCATCGCAGTGTTATGGAGAAATGCCTCAAAAGCTATATAAGCCAGTATATTTGAATTCTGATGAAATACTGAAGAGAGAGTTGGTGAGTAGTGTATTAAAGCATCAAGTGCTTGAACGAAAAGTCAAGAAGCGTCAGTAATAGGGTATAGTTACAGCTTCGAGTGTTATTACCCCTTATGATGATTGTAAGTTGAAATTACTGGTCGCAGAACATCAACAATTCCAACGTGAGTATTTGCTATAATAAACTGCACCTTTACAGTCTCGCCTTTCGGAGTCGTCTGACCTTGCGACTTCCATATCCGCCATTGACATACACCATTATATGTTTTCACGAGTGCAAAATATAATTTTTCCATCAATTAAATCATTGTCGATGATATTTCCATGATTTAATGAAAATTTCTCATCAAACAGTTGATTTAAAAGAGCAGAAATGGTCTTGGCTGGATCCTGATGAGATTCTTGGGCTCTTAGACCCCTGGAACGCAGAAAGAAACGGTGAGCATGAAAAGAAAGAGCATGTGAAGTGGGCTGGCTCCATAAGTATATTGCGTTGGAAGCTTGATGAAGAAGAGAAAGAGATGAAGAAGAAGGAAGAGAGCGGGTTGGACCAGTGCAAAAACACTAGCGACTGGGCTCTTTCCGTGGAGGGCGAGCCTCTGTATTTGGTCATGAGAGGAAGATCGCAGGTCTTTAGGTCTCAAGGGTGGGAACTGTCTCCTCGAGAGGTGTATGCCCCAAGCAAAGAAAGGCATTTTCCAGTGCAAAATTCCACACGGGTTTTAGATACCAAGAAAGTAATAATTTCCTATGTGTTGTATACGAAAAGTTCATTACCAAAAAAGTCTTGTGGTTAACGATTTTTATCATGATAAGAAAAATTAGATATTAACTACTTGGCCCTCGGGGGCTAAATCTGAAAGTTTCAACTTTTGTTATTTTTCACTTTTACCAGAAATTAGCTTTCGTAGATATTAGACAGATTGACAGTTTATTTTTAACTTTAAATATTATTTTTATGGAATTTATATCAAGATCGAT